GTTTTGGTTAGATTTTGGAAAATTATATTTTCCAAGTTTGGATCTTTGTTTCTGTTTAAGTTTCAGCCATGTAAATGATGACCATATTATTAGTCCCGTGAGGAGATATTGGGTATGGTCTGACTTGGGGAAACCCCCGGAAATTTTGGGTAGATTTGTGAAATATTTATTCCAGCTATGGATATTAGCTGCAATTTTTGGCCGAGATAATTCTTATCTACGGCTGCAATTGATACACTATTCGAAGCTTTGAGCAAGTAAAATTAGGTTCAATTGCACAATTTTCAACACACATCTTCACGTTTGCTTGGAAAAAGTAATTATGTTACAAATAGTGAAGAGTGGAACACTGAAATCATAATCTTATCTTACCGAACAGTTTTTCGAGTGACATGACACCCCGTGATTCTGGTTCGGCGGCCATTTTAAACTGAACAAAAATTTCGCATAGCAGTTGGGTTTAATCAAATCATATAATTATACGGTAAGGTTTCACCTTTATTTCAATTGGAATTAGTTTATTATAATAAGCTATGTACAGTACAGTTTGGGGTCAGTGTTATTGGAAATTAAGGGAGTTATAGGCCAGTAACTTTTTTTAGTCAATTGACTAAAAAACTTGCTCAAAGGAAGTCCCTAGGACGGTCCACTACTGTGGCTGGAGCAAGACGGAAGACATCAGTAGTGGGACCATTTCTATGGATACCTTTGCTTCTAGAGAGTCTCAGCCATGTAACTTATGACCTAATTTTTCGCCCGATAACGGGTACTTTAAAGTGCGGCTGTGGCTATATTCCCCAGCAGTGCACGATCTGACCCCTTGATGTTTACTCGTATGGACATCCACTACAATTTTTTTTTATTTATTTATTTATTTATTTTTTTTTTTTGGGGGGGGGGCAAACCTTTTTTAACTGATGACCATATTATTTTGTCAATTATGTCATTAGCTCCGGGACTATTACGCATTTTGCGACTGCACTAAACTCGCATATAATAGAATGAACATATTTTAACTATACTGTTACGAAGTCGAATCATGTTTTATGTAGTTTAATTTTGATTTTTTTTTTTTTAATAAAATAATAGAATAAAATTAGGAAGTCCAGGAGGACCCCACCAAACATAATTATTTACTACAAACCCAGAAGACAAAAACCAGACAGAAGACAGCCATTATAAGCCATGAAATACTACCAATGTACAAAACGGTCCCGATTCTTCACAATACAAAGACTTTACCTTCTGTTCTGTTTAAAATGACTGGAAAGTAATATGAACAATGAAAGGAGGAGTGTTTCACAAATATTGTATTTATTTTAAGGAATAGCATTTGCTGTTAGAGGTACAAGCCATGCAAACGTCCTTAGATAAAAAAAACAAAAAACAGGATAATTCCATTAAACATATATTATGCAAGAGCTAAATCTGCCTATTGCAGGTCTTTCTTTAGAAATGAAATGTTATCTAAATTATTAATTAGACATTAATTAACGTATTCAGACCAAAATCAACTCTCGATGTCAACGCTAGCCTGCGATGTTTACTGGATTATAATCCCATTTGCTGCTCCACTTTCATTCTTGATTTAATCATGAAATGGATAATCGAGACTATGTTTTTTATCGTACCGACCTTAGTAATGATGATCGAGGTTAGGCCGCAAATTCAATCGCTAAAATCTCGGTTTAGAGTGAATCAATTTGACTGAAATTTTCAGCAAATTCCCTTTACATTATCTAGTTTTTCTTTTCATTATTATAGTGAGAACTGTCAGCTCTTTGTCTAATCTCCCATAATGTATCTTTAACTGAACGTCGACGAAGACATAAATTAAAATTACTCTATAAGTTAATCAATGGACTTTATAGCTCCCTTTTATATTTCTAGGGGTTGGGGTTATCTTGCCGTGAAAATACGAGATCCGAATATCCAATATTTAAGACACCATGAACATTTTATAATCAGTACAGGGGTCGTGTATCCTACGGTCTCGGGTGCCATGTGTAATAAACAAAGAAAACATACCCTACAGGACAATTCGGAAGTAATCAGTAATGGCTTATTCACAAACGACCAAATGATATTTTACCCCCCCCCCCCAAAAAAAAAAATACAAAAAAACGCGTACAATGGACGAAGCAGGCGTTAACGACTATCGTTCAATTTGAACTGTTCATGTATTTTACAATTGATTAGACATAACAATAAATCTTTTTAAAATTGAATATAAGCCCTTACATTAATTTTCGTCTATTTTAAGGTTCTAAAGAATAGAGATACACGCCCTTTCAATGTAAAAACAAATGTCATTGTACCTTATTTATAGTTTTACCAATGCCAGTCTTCGTATGTAGAAGAAAAAGCTTCACCTAATTATAATTGACAGAATGATTAAAACAGAATTATAAGAAGGGAAGTAATTCACAAATGTAAAATGGCTAGTAATTGTTTCGACTTATTGCATGTGATTCGTCTGTTTATATAAATTATCTCTCGACATTTACTCTACTTTACCCATCCCTCCCTATATAAACAACTTTTACATGACAATTTGTGTTGACTTTTTGGTCTAATATCGAAGCATTGACCTCATGTAGAAAAATGTCGGCATGTATTATGACATGAAGGGTTCTTTGTGATTATGAAAATAAAGATCATCTAGAAATTAAATATAAATACGATACGTGAAATGGTGACCAGTCAAGGTTCTTAAAGGCCTTCTGGTACATCTTTAAGAATTGTATTTTGTGATAAATAAAATATCATACTCGTCTTTGTGATATTGACTGTTGCTGATTTATGTGATATCCAAACGACAGCTACATCTTGCTATAGCAAGTATTAAAGTAACAATTTCATATTTTCTAAGAAAGTCAAACATAATTATTTCGATGTCTTTTGCTTAATAGGTTGTCAACTCACTATTATACGATCATAGGTTATCTTTCTCACACTTAATAGGATTATTCTTTAACAAGGTAGGACTGTTTATAGATGACATCTATTTTAGGGCTTTATTTTAATACATTTTAAAAAAATAACTTAAAAATATGAAATTATAACTTTAAGTACAAGTATCGCGAATCTCCATTTTGCATCAATAGTTTACTTTATAGCCGCTGATAAAAATTAGCATTTTTCGGACAATCTCATTGTTGATAATGAACGGAATTGAACTGAACTTTAGGGATTCAAAGTTCTTTATAGTTTTCGTTCCCGTGGGTGTTTATAGTTTGGTCATTTTGACTTTCTACGATGTTTTGGTGAATTTTAATGACAATAAGGAAGTAAACAGACGTTCATGTGATGAATTCCCTGTGAAAAATAACGCTATATGTTCAGTAGACTTTACGTAATAGAAGCAGAGCAGGTGAACCTCATCTAGGATTTTGAATATATAAATGTGACTGATATAAATTTAGACTTCACGGAATGTTTAAAATAGGGTTACATGCCCAAAAATGACATGTCATTAACATAGATGTGTTGGAGTTGTAATTAGTAGCCTTACTCCAGACGCTCTGTCGTCCTTTTTTTAGAATTAGCTCCCCTGGTTCATTGAACATGTTTTCAGTGCCAGATTGAGTGCCTCTTTTATAGGCCAACAGCGCAGTGGACACTCACTGTATTTCATAATGCATAATTCGCTTATGACTTACAATGTAGGTTATATTGTCGATGTGTTTGTCTTTAGTGTTTATAGGCAATTGTTGTGTTGCACAGTCCTGCTGCATTTGCTGTTAAATAAATTTCGATGGAAATTCAAATCAGCGTGTTGTAAAACGTTTTAAACGTTTCAAAAGGAAAAATCCACGAGGAATTATGATATGCGCAATATAGGATGTAATAGATAGGATATGTTATTGTTATAGTTGAAATTGCAAAAGCTAAGGGGAGCCTCGGCGTCTCAGTGAGTAATGCGTCGGCTGGTTAATAGGGACGTCCCGTGTTCGATCCCGGTGTTGGCCGAGAAAGGCAATTGAATTGCTGTCCGGGCAAAATTTCCCTCATAGCACACTGCATTATGTATTCTAATCTTCATTAGCCTATTAACTTTTATGGGAAACAATCACTAGTTTTATGTTATCTAGCACAATGACATTTAGTAAACTTGAGGTCAATATATAAGATATTTCACACTCTTGTATATTTATCTTCAAGTTTACTAAAATGACCAACACACTTCCCTACCACATCCCCATATTGACCGTTACTAATGTTATTGTGCTTGATACAACCCGTTTTCCATGTACGTGTTTTCGTGGCGTTTCTGTGTCCGTTTTCGCCAGTTTAATGTAAATGTAATCGAACCGTTTCCGTATAATCTGCGAATACACGCGTGGAAACGGGCTTAACGATAAGAGGATACTTGTCAAAACGTCATGGTTTTAGAATAATCCTAGTAATTGGTTCCCATAAAATCTGTGGTGTGTTAATGTGTTTATCAATTGCTAAATGCCACTTAATGATTCATTATCTCGGTTGGTGCAGAAAAGTAAGACGTTAAACCCCATTTCATCCATTCCTTGCATAGTTAAGATTGTTAACAGATATGTTGAAGAATGCAGTTCTGAGTTACAGAGGTGCTGCTGTGGTTATATTTCTCTGCGGCTGATTCAAGTTAACGACAAAAGTATTTAAGCATATTATATGTAAATGTGTTATTAAAACTTAGTTAAAAAGGGGAGACGATCCGAGGCGCATTATCGTTCAATTTATATAAAAATAACAACTCACTTCCTTTGGGGTCACTTTCGACAATGAATAACAGGATGTCGTTAGATTATTTACATATAAATAAGACAAAAAGAAGCATATTGCAATCCAGGTTCATTTTTTTTGTGTGTGTAACTATGTCTGTTAAACGGAACATGTAATAGATTTTTTAAATATTTTTATATTGGGCAACGTGCAATAGTTTTGTGTAAAATATCAATGCACTATAACCTTTTATAAGTGATAATATGGTATCTATTGTTAGTGTCGTAATCCTATCAGAAGTAGATTGACAATATGTCGATATTTCCTTGTCGGTAACACGTACAATTTGACGACAAAGTCAACATAAGCCTGTCTCATCATCGCTTTATCTTTAGAAGGTATCAGACCTATTTCTGCAGGTGGGTGTAAGTATTACTTCATCCTTGCTTTCATTCTTTGTTGTATTTTACTATTGGTTCCATGTGAATATGCGCCATGCCTATGTCGAGTAGTTTTCTTTAAATCCGTTAATAACTAACAGATACCCCGATGGTAATTTGCCAATATACACCAAACATATACCATTTTGCTTTATTGTTCAATCCCGGTTCACGTTTGTCAAGTAATGTCTGTGTGGTTGGCAAGGAAACCGTATTTATGACAGTTTCGGTATTAAATTGTCGGTGCATGGTAAAGTTAGGGGTATAAATGAACGGAGTAGAAACTATCATTAGACGTAAAATGTCTCGTTCTCCTTAAAAGGCCGTTTTATCCAAATGGTATTCGTTTAAACCAATTCAAGAAAATGTTTAGCATATAAATGACATACATGTAATTGGAAATGAAATGAAAATGAAATGAAATGGAGTTTAACGTCCTTCTTTTCTGCTCCTAACCTGGGCTAATGAAGACGGGCATACGCCATACAGTGTGCTATGAGGGAAATTTTGCCGGACAGCGGCACTACGGCCTACTCTTATATCGAATTCCAACTGCCAAGGGATCTTTTACGTGCACACCAATGTGTACACGGGACCTCGGTTTTTCGTCCCATCCGAACGACTAGACAGTTTTCCTTGTCAGCCCCTCCGTTCTGACATATAATTGGAATTAAGAGAAAGGTAACTGGACACCAAATGACGTGATACCAATCACTTTGTTTATGATCATATTAGTTTTGTTTTTGAATACTGGATGTGAAAGAGGATAATTGTTGATTTTATTCAGCATAAAACCAAGACTTTGGCTTTTTAACAACGGTACGCCAATATCTTTCAGGCATTTTACACATAAATTGGATATTTCATGCTATCTTTTTACTAAAGGATGTAGGGGGATTTGGTCACAGGTACTTGAGACCACAGGTACTTGAAGGGATTAAAATTTCTTACATTATCTTGTCTAGCATACTACAATACTATCAAAGTATATCACGCGCCATATTGTTTTGACTCGATGAAGACATTTCATCGTCGATTATCTACAATATTCACTACATGTAACACCCTCATTCCGTTTTATTGCAGATTACACTTTATTTAATTCTTATAAAGCCCCAATATCCGTAAATTGACCAATTCATAGCGTTATTTTTTTCATATTCTGTTAGAAATTGTAAGAAATTTTAATCCATTCAAGTACGTGTGTACGAGTCTGTAGGATTAAAACACCAAAGATACCAAAGTGTGCTATGCTTACCTCTCATTACGCTATTAGTATATAAATATTTCATTAAATGGTGTGTTCACTTGTTTGCACTGTTCGGTAATGTTCTTCATTTCGTGTTCAAATTAATTGGATGAGAAAATATGGCAGTACAAATCTATAAAGTTGTCGTAATAGCTGGTAATTTAGTTGGTCATGAAGTCCATCCTTATTTCTCTATAACTGTACCATTTATATGCGAATAAGAAGCGAGAGGGTGGGAGTGTCTCTTTTTATTTAACTTGGGTTGAGTGCTTTACAACTAATTGAATCAGTTATATACTCGACGAACTTCTCATCCTATATTTTAACGAAAAAGAAACCATGCAAATATAGCATTCCTTAATATGATCTTTCGCTTATAAAGGCTATTCTGTCCCACAACAAAATAGTGAATTATATTTGTACAGCTATGACGTCGATAATAAAAGATGGAAACTGTTTAGTGCTACAATTGGTCAATACTATACATGCGACTCAGTATCAGATGTAGAAGTTCTTTTATTAGCCTCTGTGGACAAACTGTGTTATACAGATGAAATAAAATCTATAATATTACTTCTCCTGAAAGTAATTCAGCATGTACAGTATCATATTTATCTTTAACTACATGTAGTCACAGAAAATGAAATAACATATTTGTTGACAATAAAAGAAGTAATATCAATCTATAATTCACCGTGCCCATTTTATTTACACAAAACTCTCCAAGTTGTTAGTTTGCATTTAATCCACGGTTCGATATTTCTGGTTCTTTTGGCGTTGCTAACAAAATAGTCCAAAGACCATTAAGACGTTCTTGGAGAAGTTGTGTAAATTTCTGTCACTTTTATCACACAATCTTTCATTGACACTCGGAATTCTATAATCCCAGTTTATAGAATACCACCAGATTTAAGCTTTGACATTTTGGAATGTATTAACATATTAAAATTGGGGAAATGTATACTTATTTCTATATTAGGTAATACACGGACGGAACCCCATTAATTTGTTCTGAAATCCCTGGAGAGAGAGAGAGAGAGAGAGACAGAGAGAGAGGGGGATATTTCAATGGCTCTCTGAATGATGTAAATATGTGTAGTTTAGATTACAGGCCCACCAAATCTAGTATCACAATGATTTCTGAGCTCGAAATCAAGAAACCTTAAGGTTTTGTAATTTACGTTGTAATCTCATTCGACTTTACGAAGTCGGGTAACCGATGTAATTTTAACGCTAAAGCAAAGAATTCATAAGCAGTTTAATGATACAGAGTATCATATATAAGATGAATAACCTCAGATTTAAATTAGATGATAATTTTCACCCGTTTTGTTCTGAATTGGTAATTTCATTAACATTTGGGGACATAAGCCTTGTTAACGAAAAACTTCGCGAGTTGAATTGTAATATTGAGGCACACACAATATACAATTTAGCACCCAGCAGACCCATTAGAGACCTTATGGTAATAATTAAAAAAGAAAAATGTGTAAATGATAAGAAATATAACACCAAATTAAGGAATTGGGTTGTTGATCAGTTCTCTAGCCAAGTGTTTTATTCAGATTTATTCTAATAATATACAACCGGGTTGTGTTCTAGCAGAATGGGGGGGGGGGGGTGGTGGATGGCTGAATGATTAGCAAGTGCGTGCTGTATCATAAAGCCTGTCATTGAGTCAACTGGCGTGGTTTCGAATCCCCGGTTGTACGTGACAAGGAGTAGGGTCGCCTGTCCAACCTCATGGGTTTTCTCCGGGTCCTCCGGTTTCCTCCCACGGCTTAAGACCACTACGCGCAAGCGAATTATTGAAATAAACCGTATGTTAGTCCCGAAGTGACCTAGTTTGTGTCGAGTGGGCGTTAAACCCCATTTCTCTCTCTCTCCCTCTAGCAGAATGTTTTATAAAAAAATAACAATCAATCAACATAATAAATCAATACTCGGTGGTTATAAAATAAGTTCCGCACGAAAAAACAGAACAAAACTGATACATAACTGATGCTCCAGTCCTATGTTCAAGTATCCGAGCCAAATCAGGTATCGGAACTAGTACCAAATAAGCATAATATTACTTGGCCTTGATAAGACGTATATCAATTCTAGAGGCATAGTTCTATTCAAACTATAGTTGATTGTCCGATCTGAAGTGAAAATGGTTGAACACATTTTACTACAACAGCGCACAGGTATCGGAACTAGTACCAAATAAGCATAATATTACTTGGCCTTGATAAGACGTATATCAATTCTAGAGGCATAGTTCTATTCAAACTATAGTTGATTGTCCGATCTGAAGTGAAAATGGTTGAACACATTTTACTACAACAGCGCACAGAGGCGATAGAGATCCAACATTCACATTATTGTAGTTTGCAAGGTATTAAAAATCACTCATACGAGGACTAGAGACTTTAAAATAAATATCATAAAAAAAAGATCAGTACCATACTATTATGATGAAAACTTACAATAAGATGTAATTACCTATTGACATCATACAGCAATAATTTTTACGTTTTGGGGGAATATGTTCAATGTGAAAGTGATACAAAGACGGATTAGAGAACGCCCTGGTAGATTTCCTTTCATGTTTTTCCGGCTACTGTCGTCTTCAATGATAAACGATTTATTTCTCAAATATATTAAGCTTTCTGTCTGTAATAGAATTGATTCTTGCTGGAAACGTTATTTTTCTTACTTTTTATAACACCCCAACACGTTCATATTGTTGAACACAGACATAGATTTTTGGTAGAGAGCTACTTTATATTGTCGGGCAGTCTTTCTATCCTCAATCGGTTAAGTGAGCCATCTATCTGATTCTGTTAGCCTAGTGCCTGGCATGTGTTAGACAAATAGTATAATTTGACTGACCTGTCCAAAAATATTGATGACCTTTCATCTTAATTATATTTACACTAACCAGCTCAATATAGACATTTTATATGCTTAAGATCATACATGCATATATATCGGTATTTAGTCGCACTGTAAAATGTGTCATGTTCCAAGTTCCATTACCATCGTTAGTTCAAGTTCCAAAGGAATGTTTGCTTTCATCCATCAATTTTCGCAATGTTATTTGGAAGTCAGACAACCAGACAAATAATTCCATCGGTGATATGTCATTTGGAAATGACTAATTAAGTTATAAATTCAGGAAAACTAGTAACAATTATTGAACATAATTAATATAATTTACGAATACATGAGAAACATGACCGATACCGAATTAAGAGTAAAATTGCCCATGTAGCTTAACAAAGTTAGCGAATTATTCAGCTGACTTAGGTTATACATAATTTAGAACTTAAATTTCATGGTCATAATTTAATAGTAGTTGAGAAAATGAATAAAAACAATTATTTATTAAAGAAGTCTGAAACAATATTTATTTGACGAAAATCATGGGGGGGGAGGGGGATGAGTAACCCGGTGGCTCAGTGGTATGGCGCTTGGTCATCGAGTAGGAGGTCCCGGTTTCGAACTCGGTGTTAGCCCATAAAGTTACTCGGGATTGTTTTAGAGTGGTTCTCCTTGTTGGTGATACCGGACACAGGGTCTGTCAAGGAATGGCGTCTAGGCTTTCGGATGGGATAATAACGCGAGGTTCCGTGTATACGTTGGTATACACTTAGATAACCCCCGACAGTTGGAATTCAGCGAAGAGTAGGCGTAAACCGTCTTTAATTGGTGCAGAAAAGTAAGTCGGCCATTAAACCCCATTTCATTTCATTTATATGCACGATGAAGATACTTCTAATCTTTCAAATTCAAAGTGAAACTTATAATGTGGCTTTCAATTCCCCTCGTGTCATGTATTATAGACCTATAAATATATATATATATAATACTATCTTGCATTTATTAGCCTACTTATTGTCAGTTGACGTAGGCCTACTAATTTACACAATGACATACGATGATTAGTTATGTATTTAACTGTTGACTAAGACAAAAATAAACCAAGCAGCATGCCATAACATAATAATTGTTTGCATGAAATTATATTTGGTATGTGTAAACACGTTTTCAAAACCTAAAATAGAATGACAGTAATATTTATAATACTGGTTAGATACAACTGACCAGTATACAAGAAAACATACAAGGATTCAGGTATAGATCATATACATCAATTAAATACATTGTACTTATATAGTATAGTTGATATTTCGCGTTTATTTTATTATATGGCCTTATAAATTACCATGTTTGTTCTGTGCTTATAATCCATATCAGCAACTTATAAATCATATCAGGTTCTTTGTAAACCCAAACCCTCGCGTGTTGATTTCTGTAGAATCTTTGGGGAATTTAATAATATGTTTAATTTGATCAATACCATTAATCTTCATTAATTATAAACCACGATAATCTGATAGCAATCTATCCTAACTATAGATACCACGTATCTATAATGGGATAGTTTAGACCCGGAGGATTTATATCTGTTTATTTATTGTGTAGATATAGTAGAAGACTAATAGTATGAATGACTATTTTAACTAGCTAGAATGCTAATCAACACTTCATGTACGACTGAAATGCAGCTGTGTTCCATTGATTTTGGTAATAGAGATTCTCTACGAAACGTTCATATTAACGACGTTGCATTGATAGCCCAGCGCTAAAAGTTGAATGAATGAATGAATGATTATCAAGAAACCATTATGCAAATATCTAAAAAAAAAATGGCATCACGTATAGAACTTTTATTCAGATTTTACAAAAGGAAATTCTGTTTATATAAGAGATAATTGGGTTGTTATAGATATAGTAAGCATACTGTACCTCATTCATGGGATTTGTCACTACAGCTAGCGATGTATCCTGGATTTCAGAAGTCGAAGTTTCAAACTCGGGCCCAATAGCCATCAGCCGATTCATTAGCTTATTGATTTCTGTTAGGTATAGGTTAATGATATGTAAATGAAGGTATAAGTTCTATATACTCATGTAGCCCTAGGTTTAAATATCATTTATATCGAAATAATTAAACCTATGCACCTTAATGAGAGCAACTGTTTAGTTTAAACCTATTTTATTTTTCATTAAATGACAAGGGGGAGGGGTGGGGTCGAACGCTTGGACTGTAATTCATGTAAATCCGGTTTCCTAGCTCTAAAAAAATCTGAACTCGGTGATAATGATTGTGTCGAAAATGAAGCCGTAATATTCAAAGCCCATCTCAAGGCTTTGAACACTCGGCCACTCAACCCCCGTGGTCATTTCTACTGTTCAGGCTAATTATTTCGCCTCGAGTTGACTGAGGTTTCGTGATGATCATTAGTGAGGTAGCTACAATGTGGTCTATATATCTGTGTAAGTAGAACGATCTATATATCAACTTAGTGATAATGATCGATAAGAATTCTCTCAGGAACCAACAAACATTAAACATGATATGATTGAAAGCCAACCAATTGATTAACGTCGAAAACAAAACCAGAGAACCTCACAGAATGCTGTTTTGAAACTGTGTTTTGTCATGAAATCTATACAATAGAATTAAAGTAAGAATACATGATTGGCTTCAAATCAAGAGTATGATATAAAAAAATGACTCCCAATAACTGGGAATCATGATATAAATAGATTAATAATTGATTTTAATGTTGCATACATATCATGATATGATTCCAAACAAGACAATATCATGTTATTTGGTTCACAAAGGTTGTCTTTCACTGTTCATGGAGAGAGTCTGTATAACCTAATACTACTGGACATAGAACTATATAATGGCTGGCAAGTCTATCAAGAAGTATGCTACAAGCAGTATTGATCTACAATTTCTGAAACGATGTCGATTTGTAAGTTTGGAAAACTACCCAAGGATTGCTTACTACAAGGCTGGTGTAACATTTCTTAGTAAATTTCGTGAGCAAATCTCTAGTGGTATGACCTTTTCGATCCCCAAGACCTATAGATTAACTATATGAGTTACTGTATAGAAATGAGAATCTTCTAAAATGAATACTCGCTGGTACACAGACCATCACATCCTACTAGCAGGGTAACTGAAATTGCCCCGGAAACTATTTAATACCGGAAAAGGCACACACGACTGTGACTATACTACCTATATAGAGTACCCTATGAATATACATATCGGTATTTATAATAGAATGGAATCATCAACAACAATCAAAGAGGGAAGATTGAAATATATAACGTGTTACAAAACAATTAAATAGTCAGATAGTAATTAAAATCATCAATAGGGCAGCCATCTACTCTCTGTTATTAGTAACTAAACGTCTAATTGACATAGAATGATTAAAAGGGGCATAAGATTAATATGTCTAAATGAATGAATAAATAATGAACGAATGTAATGTTGAATGAATGAATAATAAATGAACAAAGGTAATATTGAATGAGTGAAAGACGAGCAGTTCTGACATTCGTTACTGGGTTGTTTGTTATTTCTTTTTATTCTAGATTATACGGAAAGAAACTCTCATCTCTTTATTTATCTGAAAGACGCATTGTCCAGAATCAAATCAATGTTATTTTAAACAAAAAGTAAAGGAAACCGTCAACAATCTAAGTAAGGACTAAATCGGATCAAATTGAGAATAACACATCTTTTAAAGGGATAAAAAGGGATTTATATACACTTTTTAATTGTGAAATAAAATAAAGCTGAGTTAAGAGAAGGAAAGAAAGAAGACTTAAAGATATAAGATTATATTAAAAGTTTTTACTATAAGTGATATATATAGATGATAGGATTACATACAACAGGTTTTATATCTTCTATTGTTATTTTATATACTTATATACTTACATACTTACTTATATGTATGTATTTTCAAGTATATTTCCTATTGGCATTTTATGTTATTCATGTTATTGATTGGTTGTTATAAGTTAATGTAATAATACAACTATTATTGGCATATAGAATGAATAAAGTATGATGTTTAGAATAAGTATAAATAGCGGAAATAAAATTATATGTTTGTGTATAATACAGTTATTAAAGTTCACTCAGCGAGAGTGACAGCTTGATATTATACAATGTAATTCACATCATCAACCAAACTGCTGAAATAGCAACATTAAAGTTCGCCCTTCAAATTTGAAATGGTTCGATCCGTTTGAAGAATTGACCACTTTCAACATATAATACGCGGCAAATCATTATTACTTTTTACACACCACCACGTAGCGAGCTAATTTTAAAGACGTGTTACTATTTGAAGGATCACACAGTTTAAGAGTATTACGTATGTAACCCCTATTGTCACAGCTATTTGATAGTATAACTTTATATATTGGACAGTGTTATACAGCAGACCGGTCATTGGTATTATATGTGGTAGGTAATATATTTAAAGCAATTGCTATGTTTTGTATTTAATTCTAGACCGACAGAAGATACTGTGTAAGATGTAAACGTAAAGAACTAATGAAAAATTAAATGGAGTTACAGGATATAATTGATCTCCCCATAAGGCTAGTTATTTACTTATTATAAATGTATTAAATAATCATCTGTGAACAAACGTAGTCATATTATTTATTTATTAAGACAGAAGGTGAATGGTTCAGAAGGAGCGAATTTTAAACGATAATGATCGATTTATGTAATAATTAAGTTATGATCATGGGTATAATAGATCCAATAGATTGACCGTGGAACCGTCATAAATTGGAAGTCTCACTACTGGCCCCAGTACGTCAATAAGAGCGTGGTGGTAAGGTATTATCGTTAGCTATCAGCTATAAAAAGCTGTATTATTCTTATTGAACGTTTGGCTAAATAAGAAGTATGGCATGTTTGAACAGGTTGGGAGTACATGTAGTATTATTTAGAGACAATGATTGCAATGGAAATAATGTGCTTTTCACGTAGCTTTGGTATGGACGTATTCTTTAATCAAGCTTGGAGTTGGATTCCAAAGGACGAGTAGCTTCCTGGTATAGTAGAGTGTAATTCAATTTCTGTGTTAAGGACAATATCATTTGTGTAATTCCATTTCTATAGGGTCTTTGGTAAACTTAGTGTTCTGGGGAATTAATATATTGGATCATGCACGGGGCTTTGGACTAGCGTCTGACAACAGCACTCAATTCAGTTATAGATTTTAGCAAAGGCCATAATGCAATGTTAAAGTTTTCGATAAATAATGATCGAGAGTGTCTGTAGATCTTTGCATTTTCAGTTGCCAGAATCTCGTAAGCAATCTTATGTTTCTCACTATTGATTAAGTTTATTATCTAAAAGGGAGTCATAATCAACTCGTTTAATTGATTCAGCTACAGATCTGTTTCTTTCACACTGTACAAAAAGATCGATCACTGTATAGGTCAAAGGTCAAAGACTTAATGATAATGATTCTTGTTTTTACCATTGATTTCAGACATGGCCTCACATTCCAACGGACCGGAGTTTCATTTAACTTGTGGATTATGTGCTCAAGATTTTGATAATCCCGTGACCTTAAAGTGCCTGCACAGTTACTGTATGGGCTGTATACAGAAGCATATATGCAAAACACGGGACGCAGATTCTAAAGGTTACTTTAATTGTCCAGTGTGCCACGTGCCGATAGAAAAACCAGACCGAACGATTCCTGCAAGTCAGTGGGCTAATAAACTACCACCTAGTCAATTCCTGAAGTGTCTGGCAGACGCAATAACTGGCAAGTCATCAGGTACGGTGTTCCATCAACTTTTGATTTTCATTATTCTAAATGTCATAAATATTAAAATCGTATGTAAAGCACATTTAATCAAAAAAGTGTATTATCATCAGACTATATAACACGTCTGACTTTTAAACTAGACGCAAAAATGATATTTTATATTGAACATCTTTCATCTATTCAATATCTGTTATGTTGTTACTTGAATGCTCGATTCATTCGCGTAATAACTAAAGCTTGAAAGGTATCGTCAATATATCAAACCTTTTCATTTCATTGATTATCGTTGAGTATATGGATATTATATTGTCCCTGGAGACCAATACATCTGATTATAATTGGTAAATCTGATAATGTTGGCATTCTGTTTGTTCTTGCTGAGGTCATTACATACACTGATATATACATGTATATATAAAGGTTAAAATGATAAAATTTGTTGAATTCCAACTGTCAGGGGTTCTTTTACATGCACGCCAACGTGTACACGTAATCTCGGTTTTAGTCGAATGCCAACTGACCTCACTTTTGTTTTTCGTATCATCCGAACGACAAGACAGTGTTACTCCTTTCTACGCCCCTGACAAGGGGGCACCATACAAGAAAATCCCGACGAACTTTCTCGATCAAAACTGGCATTGAACTCGGGATCTATTGGGCTAGCACTCTAATCACTGAGCCACCTAGACTTCTACTGAAACTATGATAAAATGTGATTTCTTCTATCTCTTTTAATAACAAAATACTTCATTTGGAAGCTTGCATAGCTAGTTTTAAATGTAACAATTACGTATTACTTAATGTAGAATAACCCACCTAACATTTTTTACACTCAATGAAGTTCTTAACAAGAGGTGGTAAGAGATCTTCCCGGAAAACGATTTGAAAACCCGAATTTATTTCTGTCAACTTCAAAATTTTTAAAATTACGCATTCACGTATTTGTTGATTAAATGTTTACATTTCGCAGACCTTATTATTGTAGCGTTTCATAGAAGGATTAGATCTATAGAAGTAGAATGAAAGATGATAATCAATAATACTCGTCTAACTCATATCTTAAATATCAACAAAAAGGCAACTAACAGATACAGTAAAGATACTTATTGAACGATGTAGAGACATTTTTTGTGTTAGTTCGTTAATTATAATGAAAGGCTATTTATTATATTGTAATCAATTTTATCTCAGATTTCAAGTATTTGGTCATCGTGATCAAGCTTCAACTTCTGAGATTCGAGTTTCGCAATCACTTCATTTGGTTTGCCAATGCTCTTATAATTCACAATGTTCGTATTTTTCTTATTGTTTATGTATTGTTTTGCGTGATCTTAATTAGTAGTAGTGTTTTGCGGTCCTCCTGTACATTCTATTAAAGATGCAACCCAGGATTGTACAGAGTTTCCTTTGATAACCATGCAGTACCATGAGAGACGTTTTTTATAGAATTCTAATTGTCAAGGGCTCCTTTACGTTACGCTGTGTTCCTTCTCGGGCCCGCTGTCCCGTAACATCGACAAAGATAAATTGTATCGGTCAACACCTGAATTGAATCCCAGACCTCCTGGTTAGTTCTATAGCTAGTACATTACTCACTGAACCACTGTAGCTCCCACTATTTTATGCGGGTTAAGATGAAGTGGTGTGTCATTTGATCGGTGTTTGATGTGTCGTCTATACTTAGAACGTGGACCTATGCGGCATGAATTATAAGGAGATATGAATTATCGTATTATTTGTATTATTACAATTAGAAAGCAAAATATGAAGAACTAGCCCAATTTTGTACGGGGGAACAGCTTCAGTGTCGATATTGAATGGAAATAAAATTAGAACAAACCCACCAAAGAAATGGAGTAGAGAAAATGGAATATTATATGAGTTCTAACACACACTAGAGATTATTGTGTTATAACATGTTTAATATTTGATAAGATTAGAATTACAGTCCCTGGACGCCATTAGATAGATTGAAAAAAAAACCCTTATAAACTACAATATTGTAAAGGTTGAATTTCTAAAGGGTATATACTCGTATCAGTCCAAAAGTTGTTTGTTCAATTCTGTTCGTTATCCTCTGTAGACGATATAAACAGGCCAACTAGAATCTTCACGAAGATCTTTCTAACCCGATTCAATCTAACCAGGAGATTATCTACCGTTGATATTTTGATTTTGTTTTCTGAATTAAATGATAATTAATCAATCTGAATACATTTTACATTGGTTTAAGCCGCGAGAAATTTGATATTTGATGCACAAAGATTTCAGAATCACATTTATTGATTAAAATATTGTCTTGATCAACATTTGGTTCATGTTTAAGTTTCTGTGCATCCAGTTTAATAAAATACTTATTTGCAAACTCATCTGTATGGAAGAAGAACATCTGTATATTTGACCTCACGACATTGAAGTGGCGCACACACAGAGGAAATTGAATTCCAAATTGGTGTGTTTATTTCAATCAATTAACCTCTAGGGATCAAAAGGTTAAATTGTTTTCCTTTCGCTAAGATAAGAAAAAGTCAATCAATCAAGCATTGGGAGGGATTCTAAAACTCTGAGAAGTAAACGAAAGGTCATTGATCTAGAAAAATAGCAAAGTTATATTGTCTATTGTGCCGTGGTTTATTTTTTCCTTCGGCTTCCTTTCTGGACTATATAGCTATCAAAAGGTGAATTAGGCTATTTTCCAAGTTTAAATAATAGTCTAGATATGTTATCCCCCATATATTAAACTTAATTGTCCTTGCACGTGTACTATAAGAGAGAGAGAGAGAGAGAGAAATGGGGTTTAACGTCAACTCTACACAAACTAGGTCATTTCGGGACTAACACATGGTTCAATTTTATTTCAATAATTCGCTTGCGCGTAGGGGTCTTTAGCAGTGGGAGGAAACCGGAGACCCGGAGAAAACCCACGAGTTTGGACAGGCTATCCTACTCCTTGTCACGTACAACGTGGGAATCGAATCCAGATACAGCACGCACGTGCTAACCATTCGCCCCCCCCCCCCCCCTCGTGTACTATAAGATAAGTGAAAAGAAATGGGGTTTAACGTCCTACTGTTTTGCTCCCTATAAGATAAGTAAGTATAGAACTGTTATATGAAGTGAATAATGGGAAATCATGCAGTATTTTATCAGTAAATCCCGTAGAATCTCTAAAAGGTTCAACTATTTTAACAGAACATGTCAGGATTCATTAGTTACACTGAATACAAATAGTGGTTGACATCCAGACCTTATTCACAAACAATTACGTATACAGCCAACTTTTATTTCTGTAAATGGCAATAATAAACGTTTTTAGAAAATTACGATGACCTTAGTTGAAGCACTCACGATGAGAACAATCGAAGCGACTTACCGGCCTTTCTCGGCCCTGGAGGAAGATTAAATCGAAATGTCTTAGTGCTAAGGATGAAAGATAGTTTCCGTGAATTGCATAATATAGTGTTCTGTTTTGATCAATTCATTTAAATTATAATGCATGTAAGATTAAATGGTTAACTAATAATTGTCTATTTTCAGGTGACCTTTGTTCCCTATGTTCACAAGGTAAAACGACAGTGCAGGCCTCTTTATGGTGCCAAAATTGTCACGATGGTTTGTGTGACGCATGCTCGGATGTGCATGCTAAAATGAAAGTTTCCAGAAATCATACTACAGTTCCAATTGCATCGGTTTCTAAGCAAGAACGAAACAAGTCCGGTAATCCTGTTTGTGTAGTTCACCCAGAACACTGTGTAGAATTTTACTGTAACCATTGCTGTGTTGTCTTGTGTCAAACTTGTGCCATTGTTGATCATAGAAAGTGTGGGGATATCGTTAGTATTGCTATTGTAGCAAGACAAAATCGCGCCGAACTTCACCAAACCCTCAACGAAATCAAAACGTACGTGACTATGGATGAAAAAAAGAAAGAAGATATTCAACTTCATACGTTGAAACTAAACGACAGCAAAGTGGACGTGGAAACTGCCATTAAACAATACGTGAATGATCTTATCACGAAACTACGGCAATCAGAACAAGAACTAATAAAGAAATTTCAAGTCGAATACGAAGCCGCCACCGTTGAATTAACAACACGAGAGGTAAATAGTAAGAAAACTTACACTGCCCTAAAGCATGTTGAAAAATTCATTGCTTCTGTAATTACAATGGGCTCAGACGCCGACATATTGAATAATGCACGATTGATTGAAAATCAGAAACAGCGTCTGGTAGACAATCAAACAGAACCGGTCGAAAAACCAATTTGTTCCGATATGAAATTTGTTTCTGATGCGAATCTGGCTTCCTTGATATCATGCGGCTATATCGGTTGTATTAAACCCCGTACCGCTTACAAAGTACAGAAGATCGAAACTCATTTAGATGGTGAAAATAAAGGAGAATCATGTGCTATAGATTTGACAATTGTCACTATAAAAGAGAAAAGCATTCCAGTAGTAGTTGATGGAACCAATAATTGTGTTAAAATGCTTTCCGATCCTCCACATAAAATATCGTTGCGGAACCCAAGGCGAATTGCGAAATTAAGTAACCGCACTGTAATAGTTACTTCAAGTAAACACGTGTCTTTCATTGATGTCGAGCCTCGTTTCCAGGTGAACAAAATGGTGGAAACCCAAACGGATTACACTGGCATAGCTGTTATTGGTGCCAATAGATTAGCTGCTAGTCGCTGGTCTTTCTCTGGCGGGGGATTTGTTGATATCGTAGATTTTGCTGGTCATGTTTTACTTAAACTAGTCCTTAAAGATTTACTAGACCCTAGTTATTTATCAACAACTACCACAGGAAATATATTAGTGTCTGATTGTCGGTCTAAGGCTTTGACGTGTCTAACACAAACAGGAGAAGTTGTGTTTAGTTATAAATCTGAGGTTGGAGATAAATTAAAATTACCTTATGGAGTGTGTACTTCTAAAGATGGAAGTATTTATCTAGCAGACTATAATGGTGCCAGGGTGATTAAACTTGGAAACAACGGCGAATATCTTGAAGATTGCTTGACTAAAAGTCAGGGAATTGAACGACCACGGGGTATAGCTTTCGATAGCTCCGACCACTTGTACGTGTGCCATTGTAGGGGCTGGATAAACGTTTTCAGAACTTCGTAATCAATTATATGCAAGCAATAATATATCTGAAAATTTTAAATCAGTATGTGGAATTTTGATTTTAAATGACAGTATTATTGAATGAAAAGATGCATATTCACTTAGTGATTATAAATATAATAATTTAATATGAATCTGTATACATTCCTTTAATCTTGAAGACTTACTTCTCACTATAGTTACTACTAATATATGATTCTGTTCTGTATACATTCTTTTAGCTTGAGGACTTACTTCTCACTATAGTTACCAATAGTATGATTCTGTTCTGTATACATTCCTTTAGCTGGAAGACTTACTTCTCACTATAGTTAGTGATCGACAAGTGTAAGTTAATTACTAAAGGAACTTTAATTAGCCAAGGATTTATACAGATGATTACTTTAGTGAAATATTTAATTTAAAGAAAACACAGTAAATTTAGCCACATGTATGTACATATTTATTGACTTTTGCCACATTTTTTTACATATTTATCACATTTATTTACATATAGACTGGTAAAATGGTATATTTAAAACAATTGTCTCTTTTTTTATTATCTATTTAATGACTAATGATACATTTATAAAATCATTATTCACAAATGAACATTCATTTTGTTCATAAACTAACAATTCATCCATACGCAAACTTTTAGAGTTTGATTAAAACCAGTTCTGGCCGGGCAATTAAACAAATGATCATTTCCGTAAAAACAAAAATGAAATTGGTTACAGTTAAAGGGGTCAGCATACATACCGGGAGTCCAGGGACATTTGAAAGCTGAAATTAATAAATAAAACGGGTTATTCATACTTGTCTTAGGTTAATAAAAGGTTCTATAGATAGAAACTCGATGTAACGCAACCGAATTGTTTGATATCCGATGTGGGAAGAAAGCTTATCGACTTATACTAGAGGGGGTGATTTTTGCGAGTAGAACCAAGTCTGGTATTTGACGCTATTGAAGGTTTAATCGAATATACATGTAAATATATAGCCAATTCATGCAACGACACAATCTGAAGCCCGATAAATTTTATGCGATAAACGTAGTAGCTGTAGATCTCGTTAGTAAATCATGTAATTGAAATCATGTAAGGGAAATCAAAGGGGAAGCTAATTAGTATAAAAATGGGTAGCAGTATATAAAATTGATTGAATGGTAGAAAACGTAATCAAACACACTTTCATATCTCAATACCCCTTAATTATGGTAATGGATTAACCTTAATTAACGTAATAGATTAACCATTACAATTTATTAGTATTCTGATTCCAGTCGTACTTTTGTATAGCCACCTTGGTTGATTTTCTGAATAACACTTTACGTGTTATTTAACAGTTTCATTTCGTATTTAAACGAATGAACTTTACTGTACCTACTGGGATAATGAAGAAGGGCATAACCTATACAATGTGCTATGGGGGGAATTTTGCCATGACAGCAATTCAATTCCAACTATCAAGGGTTCTTTTACGCCAAAATGTACACGACACCTCGTTTTTGTTTCATTTGATCCGAAAGACTAGCAAAGGTCATTGACAGGTCCTCCGTCCTGTACCACTGACAAGGAGAAGATTTGAAGAAATATTACATGTTATCAATATCCCTAAGTATGTTTGTATATGATTACCATTTCCTCCAATTGCTATCTTTTAATTTTAAACTAATGTTTATAATTACCAGTGGTAGGGGGAATGTAGGGTTTGGCGGTAGTAGGGGGTACCCATGGTTTTCTGGTAGTTGGTCGTACCCATGGTTTTCTGGTAGTTGTTGTTCTTCTGGTAGTTGGTCGTACCCATGGTTTTCTGGTAGTAGTTCTTCTGGTAGTTGGTCGTACCCATGGTTTTCTGGTAGTAGTTCTTCTGGTAGTTGGAGGAACCCAAGGCTTCAGAGTGGTAGTGGTTGTTCTTCTGGTAGTTGGTGGTGGTACCCATGGTTTTTGTGTAGGTGGGGACGGGTTTAATTTATTTTGACACATTTTTGATCTTTAAATTAAAAATAAAACCAGATTTATACGAATGGTGGGGTGGGGACGGGTTTAATTTATTTTGACACATTTTTGATCTTTAAATTAAAAATAAAACCAGATTTATACGAATGATTTGAGACAATTAGCTAATTATAAAAACTATTGCAAAACGTTATAGGCAATATAAACCCAATCTGTAAATTAATTAGCATTTGTAAAGATCTTACCCTTTTCCACTGAGTATACAATCGCTGATAACAGATAATAGAGGATATGTCTTTCCACAGAAACCCCCAGTAAAGTCATCCAAGTCTATAGCCCAGATCATAGCTCCACCAAAATTTTGAGATAATAGCCAGTCCAGCTAAATTCAATAGATAGATATTATGTATTAAATCAGTTTATATTTGTACAGTGTTTTTGTAAATTAAGTTCTATTTTAGTTATAAGGAATCAAACGCCTTAAAGTATCGTTGTTCATCTAGTGGATATGAAGCTTTAGCCGTTCTGCCAATTGCATTACTGAAGTAAATTTAGTAAATGTATTTAGTTTTGTTATCTTTCAATTCGCTAAATGCCACTAAAGGATTAAGTAAGTTATTCACAGACTTCTAAAGCTCGTAACAGACATGCGCTATTTCCTATTCGATTATGTAGTATCTATTTTCATTTGCCACTTTGTTTCTAACAGAAGGTTTAGCGCCCCCCTTTAATACATATGGAGTTACACCCCATGAAATGCAGTGAAAAATTCAGAGATATGTTATTTTGGACATGTGTATTTTTGATAAAATGGGTGTTCTTCACAAAATGGATAAATAGTATTGAATACATAACAAAGGTTGGCAGTAGTATTAATGCTGGTACCAAATGACACATTTACTGTATTTATATCGGACATTTGAGTCTAAAGGAATTTCGAGCCAATAGCGATTTTCAGTGACGGCCAAAATTACCAATGCGAGTATCGATTTGCGCTCGATGCATCCAAGCGTTAAATGTTATTTGATATCAGCACTAACAAACACTAAAATTTTGTTAAGAGGCCTCTCCCGTTAAGCGGTCAGTCTTGAAAATTCCCTTGAGTGGCTGCTGAATTCAGATTATATATTGTACTTTCAATTCTTGATCAGAAAATTGGCTTTATAGAACCACTAACTACCTGTAATTATAATTTACACACACCTTTGTTAATATACTGGCTTCATCATCATAGCCAATCCACTGATCACCTGATACAGCATATGGTACTTTCATGTCATCATTTGTTGTTGTTTTATATTTATTATATACAGATTCACAGATCTAGAACACATGTATAAAGAAGATGTTTTGTTTTGGTAGGTAGTAATTATCAATGATATCTATCTGATTTTTTGCTATGTACAAGGACAAAATTAACAAATTTCATACAAAACATTTATGACTTTCGAGTACTTTCCATTATCTATTTCATTTGATTCTTTTACTTTTTGTTTATTTTCGATTCCGCGGTTGTACGTGGCAAGGAGTAGTGTCCTTTGTCCAACTTCGTTGCTTTTCTCTGGGTCTTCCGGTTTCCTCCCACTGCTAAAGACCTCTACGCTCAAGCGAATTATTGAAATAAAATTGAACCATGTGTTAGTCCCGAAATGATCTAGTCTGTGTCGGGTGGACGTTAAACCCATCTCTCTCTCTCTCTCTCTCTCTCTCTCTCTCTCACTTTTGTTTATCTCCCCAGTGCATGAAATCAGTTACTCTAAATTGCGGCTATCGATGTTATATTAAGTGATAAAAATATCGAGTTATTTTCAAAGATAAACACACTAGAAAATATATAATAAATTAATATATATCTGATCAACCACGTAAAATACATTACTTCATAGTAAAAAAAGAATCCGGCTTCTCTAGAATAAGTTCCCTTTTTTCCACCTCCGGTAACTGGAGCTCCTAGGCCCGTGTTGGATCTGCTGGCCAACGTAAACGTTCTACCATACATCGGCATGCCGGCTATAATCTTTTCTCTAGGTGCACCTTTCTGAACCCAATATCTAGCAGCGTAGTCCTGAAAAAAGAACACAGATTGTAAGCTTACGTTGTCTCTGAAATAATCTGAGTTTGCCACATGTTACGGCCGTTATTATTCCCGCGAAGCACAGATAAAGGGACTACGTCTCTTTAATATAGATCAACATAAAGTATTGAATTGGGTGTTTATGTCGATTAGTAATGGTCCCCACATTTCAGTTTCCCTCGCTCCGTCAATAATTGGCTTTTAAACGCGATATAAGCTACAGTGTTCTATGGATTCTTTTCAAATTTGGTGTTATGTATTGTGGTCATGCGAGGACTAACCCTATCGACATTCAGAATTCTACGACTTTTCGTTCCAGAGTTATCAACCCTTTACCGAAAACCTTGTAAACATGATACAGGCTGTAGTTTTTAACGGGTGTTTTTCAAATTTGGTTTGAAGCATTGGAATCGGGGTCATTAATGGTTGAACCCTATTTTTAATGCGCCACGATTTTCGTTACCTAGTTAACTCCCTTTTTTCGAAACGATTGTGTACGCGAAAGAGCCTATAGTTTTTAAGAGATTTTGTCAAATTTGGTGTGAAGCACGGGGTTATGAAAGTGTGAACCCTGTTGATATTCAGCGCTCTGCGACCTTCCTCATACAAGGATGAACTATAGAAATTGGGTTTCTTCAAGGATCTGGATCCTTTTCAAGTTTGTTGTGTGGGCGTATTACACAGTTGATTACAACTAAACACTGCCTTAAAGGACAATATTGGTGCCAGTCATTATCACATATGGGATAGAACTGGTTAAACACGTTCCAAATATTATTTTATCACAGAGATCATCGCTATGATAGATGAGTAATTAATGTTTCAACAATCGGAAGTGACGAATGCAAAATGAAAACACGAGTTATCCTTCTATATAACTGACTGAAGTGACATGGGCGAATTTCTGCTCACTAATAATTCCTTCGAATACCAAAAGTTGTTGTGTGAGACTTTGAAAGGATATCTGACAATTCATAAACAAAATTGACTGTCACTAGATAAGAGAACATGAAAGAAATATAGAAAAGTCCGTGCATTACCATGTTTTTATAAGTATAGAATGAATAAACACTCGTGAATGTACGGCCTGTTTCTATTTTTTCTCGTGTTCTCTTATCTAACGACATTCAGTTACTTTTTTGAATTGTCAGATATACGTCCCATTTTCCTGCCCCAATTTGACCGGACAGAGGCATAACTGACAAATGTTCATTTACGTGCATGTTAACACAGGACGTCGCCAATTGTTTGTACCATCCTAACAACTACGCCCTGCACCACTGACAAGGATAATGAAATGAAATTGAGTCTAACGACGGGCAATCGTCATGCAATGTACGACGAGGAAGTTAATGTTTTGCCCGAACAGCGGTCCTGCGCCCTACTCTTATTTCGAATTCCCATTGTCAACGGTTCTTTTACGTGTACCCCTACGTGTACATAGAACATTGGGGACCTCGGTTGTTTGCCCCATCCTTGCCAGACCCCCAGTTCTGCATCACTGATTAGGGCACACCACGTTGGAAATTCCTGGGTAACTTTCTCTGCCAACACAGGGATCGAACAGAACCTACGATTTAGTGAGCCAGCGACTTACCCATTGAGTCACCTTGGCTCCATCTCAATCAATGCCGTCTAACCATGCTAATATAAATCTTCAAAAATCGCCACTGTCTTTTTTGTTCCAGTGTATTGTTTTATTTAATTTCCTAGAACACTATACTCATTATCTCATGCAGTCAAGAAACAGTTTTGTATGGGCAGGTCTTATTACATTCAATATTTGATTATATTAATGCGTTTGATCTTATTATAGTCAAATCGGATATCAAGTTGGTTAAGAATAGGGATTCCAGCATATATATACAACAGAAATATACCTACCACATTAAGTGTGGGTGTTGGATCACCTCGGTATGAGTACAAAGGAGCATGGTGTCCAGTTTGTTTCTCCCAAGTTCCATGCAAATCGTATGACATCAAATTGATCATATCCAAACTCCTACAACATCAAAATAAATTTATTTTATTCTAATTATTTATTACTACACATAAACGAGAACTTTAATATTGATTCTTTAATTCCAAACTTATTTTGGAACTATTATTGGAAAAAAAATTTGATTCAGAAATAATTTTATGACACTAGTATGTATACTTACTTTCCCACAGCAGGTACATCATAACCAGCGTCAATCACAGTCGGGCTTGCTGGCACAGCAGCCGATATCAACAATCGTTCTTTACCACTACTTCTTGCTTCTTTCTCAAACGATTCTCTTAATTCCTTGACAAATGTACAAAATACAATATTATCTGCTTGTAGCAAAGTCTTAAAGTTTTGAAATATGTTATTATAGAATTGATTTATTTAGATATTTAGACCACAGATACTATAAACGTATTCAACCTACCTGAACTAGGTATGTAAAGCGTTTCTTATCAATAGCTGGACTTCCTCGTGAAGCAGGATATTCCCAATCTAAATCTAAGCCATCAAAACCAAATTCTCTTAAATAATTGATACTGGTTTCAATGAATTCTTGGCGATTACCATAAGTTGACACCATGGCTGAGAAATCTTTGACCCCCATCGTCCAACCGCCTACAGCCAGAAGTACCTTCAAGGAGGGATTTTTCTTCTTAAGATCCAGCACTCGCAAATATCTGACATAACAATATTACTTATTTACAAATGCTAAATTATTATAATACGAAGACACGTTTTTCGTATTATTTGTCAGTTTTATATACCTATACATTTAAATCGTAACGACAGTAATCAGCAAATTGGGGTGGGTGGGGGGGGGTAACGTTCATTTCGAGACTAACATATGGTACACTTTTATTTCAACAATTCGCTTGCGCGTAAGAGTCTTTAGCAGATTGAAGAAACCGTAGTACTTGGAGCGAACCCACTCCCTGTCATGTACAAGCTTGAGGTCAAAACCACGTAATTTGACACAGTGGCAGATCTTATGATCTGATGTGAACGCGTTATACCACTCGACCCCAATATACAACATATTGATCTTTGATTTAATTTCTCGCTAAGTGGCGTGTAAGTGAAGGTTGTATTTGTTGTTCCAGAGATCTTAATGGACTTCAGAATTTTTAATAAAGCTTTATATTTCCATTTTCTTATTTGTAATAAATGAATACATGAAATATAGTAGCTCTACAAATTATTAATATTAGAATGGATTATATTTTTTAAATCAAAATGCCCGGATGGTAAATATATGTATAAGGTTAACGCACACACGTGCTGGAATCTACAAGACTATCCTGAAGAGTAATTTAGTAAAACGGTCATTTACGACGCCCAACCTATTTCTTTTAAAATATTGTGCACAGTGCCATAATTAAATCGTAATGTCAAGTTAAATCAAAGGTTGTTAGATACGTAAACTTGTCACACGGCAGCATCTCTCTTACAGTTGAGCTCATTGACAAGCCGCAGTAGATGTTCCTACACCGCCTCGCAAATTAGGAGAATGAAAGGGGTTGAATGTCCTGGCAGTAGCGTTTCTCCTATTCTTTTTCTCTTTTACCGGCACACCCATGTGTAAACGGGTGGGCATCGGTTTTTCGTTCCATTCGAACGACTAAGCACACTTTCTGCGTGCCAGCCTTGACAAGTGAAGGGCGACTCCCGGATTCGTACCTGGGACATCATAATGGAGAGTACAGTGCCCTGACAATATGACTTCCGCGATCACGATAGCAGTACATAAACTAATGCAATTATGACCAAAGTGTTTTTCATAATGATTTACATGAGATGATTTTATTATTATCTAATTATTCGTACTCACAATCCCCTGGGATATTCAAAACTATCGTCGTTCCATTCTGTTGGTGCTAATCTGTTTCCGGTTAATTTAGCAAAAGCGTAAATAATATGTGTACAGATTCCAGGACTGATGTCTTCCGGTAAAAATTTGCCACCAGAAGGACGGTATTGCGACCAGTTAGCATAGTAACAAACAACTTTCAATTTTTCAGCAGATACCAATTCTAAAGAAAAGAGAGAGGAAGAAAAAGAAATAATTATAGCATCGTTCAAGAATTATAGTGAATGCACTCATACGAAACGTTAAATATGGACAGTTATGAATGTTTAATGATATTGCACTTAACACAATCGAAGTGCAGATTTAAATATCGTTATCTGAGTAGGCTGATATACGTAGGTTTATAAACAGCTCATAAATTTATTCGCAGAAAATAAATTCCTCAGTGGCAATGAATGATTTATTCTTTAGTATTGTGTGATACGTCTTACTACGGGTTTTATTTCATGTTTTTATGAAAGGAAATACGTCATGATCTGAATAGCTAGATGACCTTCTTAACTATAATAGCACGTGGTATAAATAACATTAGATAAAGTGTTACCAAGTGGGGTGTTAAATACTAAACGACCTTTTAATCAGTCTATTTTATATTCTACGTTGACAACTGTTAAGTAATTGAACCTTTTCACCACAATTCATCAAGGCCAACTGTGTTTTTTTTACAGTTAACGATTGAATGTACTTAATAAAATGGGCATTTAAATTAATGCGTGGTCAGAATATTAATGATAGCGAAGAATGTCTCGATAAATACTGATATAGACTGCCAAATAGCTAATTAATAGACCATTGAAATAACAAGAGCAGATCCAGGAATTTCAGTAAGGGCATCAAATTTAGAAGGGGTACAGTAACTTAGACCGAAGTGGGGCGAGGCTAAACATCTTTTAGACTATTGCCCATAAACTGTAGACTATCAATAACCTAACTCGGTGTAAAGAGATGCACACCCTTCTTATTTATAAATAATAAACGTTTTATGTTTTAGTTTAGATACTTTGATTTTAGTTTTCCACGAATTCCTCCAATTTAGTATTTAACCACATTTTTGGTAAGCTGGTTAATCGACAAATTTTTATTTATGCGGACACGACAGGAACCTGCAGAAGAAACTTTAGAATTACACTTCTTATAGGAATGCTAGCCTTGACTACTTATATAAGTGTGTATAAAATAAAGATCTTTTGTCTTATAAGGTTCAATGTAGACAGTTTTATCTTCACCAACGATTTTAACTCTTTATCAATACTGCAGGACAAAAATAACTAATTAAGATTTATTGAGTGCGTCTTAAGCCCGAACAGGCGGCTATTGTTTGGTTCTTGGCGACTTGTAATATATTTTCGAAGGACAAGAATGTGTGAATTATTGTTATTCCGTCCAAGAGTGATGGCTTTACGGTAAACCAGAAGCAATACAGTCCATATTAATATAGCCAACAAAGAAGAAGATATGTGTTTCTAGTGCCAACACTAACCTTGCACACACGAAACTGTGAGAACGAGTACATGGAAATGACTCAAAAACATTCGAATCAAGACCCAAACTTATGTAACTGACCAAAAACCAGTATACGCCTCCTGCAGGTCAGGTTGGCACCAAGCTGTATTTCCTGATATGAAGGAAACATCGAAGTGATTACGGAAAACATATGAAACAGTTTCGGGTATGATTTATGATAAATCCTGCCAAGTACACAAATTGAGTGCTAGTCAAAATCAAATGGACTGAGTTTCATTCTAATTTACAAAACGACAATATTAAAGGACGATATAATTACAAATCTATGCTAAAGAAAATCAATGTACAATATTTTTAAAAGAAAAAAACACAGTTAGAAGATTTCTTTTTTAGGACATTGGATAAAGACAAATAGTTTGTGGTATTTGGTATCAAATATCTAACAGTCTGATATCAGATCTATGTATACTGTACACTCCGCGGCATTTGACACGTAATTTTCACGTACATGTTATGGTTCATTCTGCAGTATGGCGACGAACTAACACTTGCTAAATATCTATCAAGTAAACTAAAAGGTTTTTTTCAAGAAAAAAATCCACAGTTAACGTAAGCCTACCCATTAATATATGCTAATAAAGAAAATGAACAGTTAAGCCCTTAAAATGTTACGATAAAACAGAAATATTATGACGTGTGCTGTTGAAAACTGTTATAGCTTACACTTGCTCCAAAGTAACTAAAATAAATTAGATGATATATTATTTTTTTTTATTTGTAATCTTTTTAGAAAATATGTTTCATGAACGATATATAAAAATTATTCCAAGCGATTCTCTAAATAAACGGTAACACTATTTTTATATAAGAATGCATTATGTAAGAGCTAAATCTGACTATTTTAGCTTCAAATGTTACATAACCTATTATTTACACATTTATTCTCATGACGAGCCTGTAATCAATTCTTTATACCATTGGATGGACGTGATTTACATGGATTAGAATAGCCGCGAGATTTAAAAATTGAACGATAAAATGGATATTTGAGACTATGTCTCGATTGTCAAGTACCGTTGCACCGATAATAAACAATCTACGCTACATCTTCAAACAGTCATAACTTCGCTCAGAATACAGTAATTTGAATGAAACTATCAATATTTTTATTTTTCATTATCTATTTTTGAACCAGCTCGTTGTCCAAATCTTAAATTTCTAGCATGTTTTCTAAATTGATATTTTAACTAAATTTCTGCCAACTAGATGGGATTCGTATGAAAAAAGCATCAATTACGTATCTATCTGGTTCTCTGTTCCATACAGAATTTATTTTATAATGGGGTTATCATGTTGTCTTTATAAAAATCTTTAAATCTTTGATGTTGTGTTTCTTATGAATTTACATATTTTTCTTTTATTCTTTTATTATGAAGTCTACACACGTCTGTTGACTGGTGACGGTGACAGATACCTACTTTTTTACTTTATGGTTAAAGGTTACGCTTTTGTAACCAAAAGGTAATAATATAAGATATTTGATAAAATATGATAATGTTTGGCTAAAAAGGCAGTACGAGCATGCGAACTGATATTCACCAACGAATTTATATTCCATTTTTTTAAAAGATGAAATTAAGAAAAGATGCTAACAGAGATAGAAACAATATCTAACTTAATTTTAACCTTTGTCATACCACTTTGTTCAGTAAATTCCGGAAAATTAAAGAAAGCCACAGTTAGTCTTTTTTTATATAAGATCATTATTATCCTGAGGTAAAACGTGCCACGTGGAATGGTCCAATCCGTGTGTCATAGGTTTGCCTACTAACGTGTATATGAAACACCAAATCCATATAAGAAATGTGACTGCGATTCTAAATTCGTCTGTCATCTCAGTCATTGAAGACCACGCCGCATTATAATCGCATTTAGAAACATAGTTTCTTCATAAGACCAATTATATAATGGACACAGCAAGTAGTCGAATTTATGGGAGTGGGGGGAGTAGAAAATTATATCTATTGTATATCTAGTTCCATCGACCCTTCCTATAAATTCTAGTTAATTACCATTCGATGATTCCAAAAAGGAAAGACTCGCGCGGTGCTTTTAACGCATAAAATGATCGGTCAATAAGTACATTAATATTAATAATTTCCTAATTATTTCTATGCTTCATTCAACTATAATTATAGTTGTTAGAAAATCTTACCTGTTGATGAAATATTATTTTTCTCTATATTAGTATTTATAGATAGCAAAATTATAAACTGTTTTGGTAGCCAAAGTAATATTTACGCAGTCCATTGTGTAACCAACAGTGTAGAGATTTATGTCACAAATGTTTATAGTATATATATAGTAAGAAACTCAATCATAATTTCAATGAGTCATTGACGAAGCCGAAAAAACATCAGCTTTTGTCACATAATAATCTTATCTTTTAATGTTTATTTACTTTTAAATCCGAATCCGCAACCGCCCATGTTGACATAAAATACAACTTAATCAAAAATTGAATATTATTCAAAGTTGAAACTTACCAGCATAGTGCAGCGCTGCAACTAACGAGATCGCTAGCAATAGTTGATGACCCTTCATTGTTGAAGAAATGTGAAGGAATAAGGGTGACTAGAGATATACCAAAGAGATCTTAAAGGAAATATAAAGAAGGGGGATTAATTGTCTTAACCACCCTACCTTCTTTCCTTTTTAAAAGAAGAAAAGAACTAAAACGGCCCCGTGCCTAGTTTTGTATTATAAAGCTTCTGTAAACCAAAGGAGTGAGTTTAGATATTTATTTAGAGAATGTTGGTGACTAATTTAAACCGTGATGTGATTATTCAAATACAACCTCTTTTTATTCTTCATACCATTATCACAATTACCCTTTTTCTCTTGTTATTTTGTGAGAACGCAATTAACTTTTTTTAAAATTGAACAACAGAATTCGGATATAACTTGTTTGTCTGTAAACTGTAATTGTCATTCATAGTAACACATTTAACACTTTCTCTGGTGAAGAAAATATAGATCTACTAATGTTGATTTGCGCACAGAATCTAGAGCCTTCGTTTTATTTTATCTTTTAAAATAGTATTTTATTTTATTTTATTTCATATTTGAAAATAGTATTTTGGCCATCTGGAGTAGTAATCAGATGGTGCAATATGTCTCTTTTGGGTTTAAGGACATGTATTATAATTACTATCGAGTGACCACATGATACGCCAACATTTTGCAAGAGATGGATAGAGAATATACTAAAATCAAAAGCGATTTTTCGTACAATCAGGGGCCATAATCCAGAAAGTTATGATCTGAAATGTGCAAATATTGAAGTGGACTGAGATCTTTGGGATATAAAAATATATTTTAAGTTTCATCAAAATCGGATAAAAATTGTAACCTCTAGAGGGTCCACAAACTTCGAATTACATAATTTTACACAATTTGCGTACAAAGAGCGGCCATTTTGTCGGATAGTTTCCTTTCGATTTTTTCCGAAATTCAAATTCAACCCTCATTATGGTGGAATGATGATATATTTAAACGGTTTTTAAAATCGGATAAGAATTGTGACCTCTAGAGAATTCACAATTTAAAAACAAACCCACGGTATTTCGTACAACCAGGGGCCATAATCCAGGGGAACCAACATCTTTAGGTTATAAACATATATTTCAAGTTTCATCATAATCGGATCAACATTGTGGCCTCTAGGGGTTCACAACCTAGATATGTAGACATATTATAACGGTAAGGTACAGTAACGTGTGTTTATAAACAACTGCATAAAATAGCGTGGAATAACCTTGACAATACTACTGCGATAAGGACCATCCTTACCCAAGTACTGTTCCTGATAAACAGTTTTAACCAGAACTCTAGAGATCGAATAAAAGTAGGTGTAATTTACATTCAGGTGTACAAAAAATATTGCCTGGTGTTTATTTCATAATCATTACTTTTTTGCTATCATTCAAAGGCTGTAGAATGGAATGTGATTTAATGTTTCATTGACTTCATTGAATGCAGATTGAAGTTGAGGTGCAGTATAGCCCTGTGTCGGTAGCTATGGACGCTAATAATTTGCCCCCAGCAAGAAGTCATCAACGTTTGTAAACCAGAGCCTTAGTAAATTACAATTATGCATTTATCAGTCCCTATCGACAGTAACAATAATATCCATTGATCAGTGCCTCATTTATCAGTCCCTATCGACAGTAACGCTTTTATTCAACTCGAATGAATTCTCCATGGTAAGCCATTATAAGACAGGTCATATGTTTTAATATAATTCTAGATTGATAAATACAGGAATATAATAAAAAATATTTCATAGGAATTCAAATACGAAATAATTCACATATATATATATATACATATTTATTAACTTTGCCACACAATTCCATAATATATTTATCACATTTATTTACAAATAGACTAGTATATATAAAATATATTTAAAACAATTGCCTCTTCTTTTATATTTATACTTCACATAATATAGACTTTTGTAAAAAATTCTTTAAAACCCGTCTTTTTTTATACTTAATTAAACATGAATTTATTAACATTTCATATGACTACACGTTTTAGTTTCGGGGTTGAATCCAGTCCCTGCCGGACATGTAAACACGTAATCTCTGCCATTAAAACAAACATGGAATTTCTTACAGTTTCCGGGATCAGCATACAAACCAGGAGTCCAGGGGCACCAAAAATCTGTTCAATAAAGAGGAAAATATAGTAAACTGAATGTAATGAATTACAATGAATTGAAGCAGATAAATGTGCGTATATTTTTTCTGTCAATCTTTCTCACTTTGGTATGTAGCCTAAAGTAACATTAAATAAAGATATATTATTGAATAATTACAACTCTCAAGTTCATCAAGTTATCTTTGGATTTAAGAATGGACTTATGCAGGGTATATTATCACCACAAATATTATCACCACTAGAAGCAACAAATTCCAGAACAAGCCAGAACTCATACCAAAATGGCCGCTTTATACAAATGAGTATTTAGGGGAATACTAACCCGAACCCTAACCCTAACCCTTTTAAGAGAAGTAAAAACTAAATTAGACCCAATTTCAGTCTTTTAAAAAGGGTTAGGGTTAGGGTTCGTTATCCCCAAAATTCTCATTTATATAAAGCGGCCATTTTGGTATGAGTTCTGGCTTGTTCTGGAATTTGTTGCTTCTAGTGGTGATAATATTTGTACCGTGCGGTAAGGACGGCCAGCCCTCGATAAACTACTAGAAGGTTTTATTACTCAACAAATACCTTCTCGAAGTATGTAATAAAATCTAATCGGGTGTATATTTGGTTGGCGACTTGTTAACGACTACTGGAGACAGTGAATTAATCAAAGCCAAACATATTGGTGAATTCTACAGCAAATGGGTGGATTAAATCTATACAGTACATTACTGATAAAATCAGATGTAACAGAAATTGTGACAGTTATTACGTTCACCAAGATGGTTTATTTATTGATGAATTATAATGTTTAGGAAGAGTAGTCAACGCTACCCAGGGCATATGGTCGAACTGATGACACAAGATTAAATCTCTACACTACATTACCAATAGATAAAATAAGATGTAATAGAAATTAAATAAGTGGTTACATACCCCAAGATGGTTTAGCTGTTGATGGGTCATAAGGCTTAGGTGTGGTAGTTGGTGCAACCCATGGCTTTTTAGTAGTTGGTGCAACCCATGGCTTTTTAGTGGTTGGTACAACCCATGGCTTTTGCGTGGTTAGGGGATTCCAAGGTTTTTGAGTTGCTGGTGAATCTTTTCTTCGACATGTATTTGAGCTAAAAATGAATCAGTATTATAATGTAATTTGATCTGCATTTGATTATCAGATCGAATGAAACCCTTATGGAAATCTTATAAATAAACAAATAAATGGTAAAAATGGTAAAAAAATATATCTTACCCTTTTCCATAGATTAAACAATTACTGATAACAGATAATAGAGGATATACTTTTCCACAAAAACCACCACTAAAATCATCCAAGTCTATAGCCCAGATCATAGCTCCACCATATCCTTCTGATATCACCCAATCCATCTACAAGAGTTTAAGATTTCAAATGTATATAATCTGTTTGTTTACGTTTCTTATCCGCACGCAAAACTAGATAAATTGATCATATTTTCCAAAAATGAAACTCAGGTTTCTAGTCCTAGATATGTTTCATTCAATCATGCCGCATATTTCCAAGTTTTGTGTTTTCTCTGTTTCAGAAGATTTTCTATAGTTCTTACTTGATCGTTCCATTCTTCACTGTACTTTGATCAATTGCGAAACACGTTTGGACGTTTTATGTTCGAAACATAGAATGCTGGTTTTTGCGAGAGTTATACAAAAGGGGTGTTAACAAATCATATTCCTGCAATTTCGTACCACGCATTCTAACTTTTGTCATCTTGCGAAAAATAAATGAACCGTTTACCTTAGTAGCCAAACTTTTTTCATCATCAAACCCAACCCATTGATCACCAGCTGTAGCATATGGTGTCTGCATATCATAATCTCGCACAGTTCTATAACTACCATATATACTTTCACATATCTACAATTCGTAATAAAATCCAAAAATACAATAAACCTAATATTGCGCTTAATATAAAATATGTATATTCAACATATATACCAATATACACGTATATAGTAAATAATTTTTGTTTTTGTTCTTTGTTTTATATGAATCTATAATATATCCGATGATAGTATGAAAAGACACAGATTTAATGAAGCGTGTTTTTTAGTCAGATTGACAATGTCTTACCTCATAATATAAAATGGTTCCAGATACACCTGAGTATGCTCTTTTCGTCCCACCTCCTGTAACTGGTGCACCTAAACCCGAATTATACCGACTAGCCAGGGTATATGTATTTCCATACATCGGCATACCAACAACGATTTTTTCTCTCGGCATACCTTTTTCAACCCAATATCTAGCAGCATAATCCTTAATAGAATATTAAAATATATAGTGAGGGTGCAGTGATACATCATAGTATGAGTTATTTCAGCATACTGGATAGAGAAACGTATATATTATGTACATGTCTTACCACTGTAAATGTTGGCGTTGGATCTCCTTTCCATGGATAAAGGGGAGCATTATGTGCAGTCTGTGTATCCCAGGATCCGTGCATATCATATGCCATCAAATTGATCATATCCAAGCTCCTGAAAATCAAAAACAAATTTCAGATGCGATCTATTACGATCTACAAAGTAAAATAAAACTAGTAAACAATAAATTAACTTACTTTCCTATAGTAGGTACTTCGTAACCACCATCAATAACACTAGGTGTTGCTGATACGGCAGCAGATAATATCAGTCTGTCATATCCTGTTTTAGTAGCATCTTTTTCAAATTCCATCCTCAATTCCTGAAAATGAATCATTAGAAGATTACCATATATAACAGCATTGTTTTATTCATGCAATCTACTATGGAAACCATGCAGATTTCATTTCTCCTTTAATAGTATCTCGACACAGTCATTCCATTCCTATGGTGTGCCGTACTAAATATTGCAAGCGCCTGGATGATGGAAGTAACTCTTCCATTCCTATGGTGTGCCGTACTAAATATTGCAAGCGCCTGGATGATGGGAGTAACTATTGCTGAAAAGTGTTCTTTAGATCGATAACGAATTTTGATAATAAAATTGCATACAATTATAGTAAGAATTGTCACTTACATCTACAAGAAATTGAAACCTTTGTTTATCTATAGCTGGACTGCCTCTGTAAGCGGGATACTCCCAATCCAAATCTAATCCATCAAAACCAATATCTCTCAAATATTGAATACTTGTTCTAATGAATTCCTGTCGATTACCCCAAGTTGACACCATGGCCGAAAAACCGTCCACACCTTCATTCCAACCTCCGACAGCCAACATTACCTTCAGGGAGGGATTCAACTTCTTTAAGTCGAGGGTTCGTTGATATCTGTATAATATATATATCTTATTCTTACTACAGCATGACCTTACGTGTGATATCTACAGCACTATCTCTTTCATTTACTATTGAAAAGTCAGTCCGATTTACCTTTTCTGATTTGTCGTTTAAGAGTCGTATTGGGTGATAAATGGAATCTCATATGACAGCGAATTATGACGGCGATACAGTGCTTAGTAAAATATACAATTAATATATTTGATAAAGTCTTGTGCAATTTTCTCAATATCTTCATACTCATAGAGCGTGAGATATAATAGTTTTATAAAATTGGATAGCCTTTATAAAAGAATGGTTTACTTACAAACCGCGAGGATAATTCCAACTGTTGTCGTTCCATTCTGTAGTTTCTAATCGGTTGCCAGACAATTTAGCAAACGCAAAGATGATGTGGGTGCAGAGTTTTGGGTTGATATCTTCGGGAAGGAATTTACCACTACCAGCTCGATATTGAGACCAGTTAGCATAGTAACAAACAACCTTCAAGTTTTTAGCCGTTTCTGAAATAGTGAATGAAAGGGATATTTTACTTAAAGCGGCATTATGGAAGATTAGATCGGGCAATTTTCACTATAAAACTTATAAAATAGGCAATGTTAAGAGGATATGGTGACAATTTCAGTCTAATTACTTCACTCTAAGCCGAGAAGTCCTCATTTTGATAACACTCTAGCCTCGATTGTTATGGTTACAGTTGTTGCAAAGTCTCGATTATCCAATTTTACGGTTAATCATCAGCGGTCGTTGAACCACAGACCGGATTCATAACTGTGGAAAATCGGACCTAACAGATAGCATCGAGAGTTGATTATGGTCTAATGTTAATAAATGTCTAATTAAAGGTTTTCATAACATTTCAGGCCTAAAGAAAGATCTGCTATATGCAAATTTAGGTCTTGCATGTTTAACATTTAGATACATACATTAACAGCTAAATAATGGTCAACTTCGTAATTTTGGTACAATTCTGGTCTTATATACTCCAAGGTTCTATTTGAGTGGAGGTTGTTTTTTTAACAGCGTCTCTGTTACCTAAGTTTAGTCTTTATTCCTGTCTTCGCTTATTGTCATCAATATTTGTATGGAATCGAGCAAATCAAACTAGTCTTTTGAACACTTAACCGGTACCCGAAGCTGCTAATCAACACTACAATTAATTTAACCACATAGCAGAGCGACTAAGCATAATAAATGTTTACTTCTTAATTAAATCATGAAACGTTTCACAGGGGCTTTATGACTATGGAGAATCAGTAAATAAAATGGCGCACTGATAGCCGTCATTCGTATTTCCAAAATGGTCCCCAAAATAACCTATTTGAAAGTGGCTGTTGTGTTTTAGAAATTCATTTGTATCTCAAAAACAATATATGCCACAAACAACATTCTAACGCTTACGCTTACTGTACCTGGTGAGAAAATGATGTTAAATTCGTTTATAATAACTGCCATATCTAATTTCAAGATGGACGCGGGTTTTGTACTTTAATTTGTATCTTAGAAACTATAACTGCCAAAAGCAAAATTTGAATGCCTACTGATGCCTATGCTATATCCGACTTCATACACTGTGTATATTCCCGCCAGTAACCGCCATTTTGGAATTTTCAAGATAACCGTTATTGTATATTGCGACCGCCATTGTATATTGCGACCGCCATTGTACATTGCGACCGCCATTGTACATTGCGACCGCCGTTGTATATGGCTTTTTCGATGCTATGTCGAAATTTTGAATTACAAACAGTCCATTATTTTGGAAACCACAAAGTCAACAACAACAAACCTGATCCATCACATTTCCGCGTCATCATACCATTCAATGGCAGTTATCCTACCAAATCAGACGAATATGGTGGATTTATATAGTTCCGCTAATAATATTATGTAATAAATATATTAATAACTATGGTGCTGAGATTGTTTATGGTTAGCTATCATTTGATAATGTATTTTGAGCTTGTAAAATTGAGAATAACTTAAATAAGGTGGTTATACAAGCATCATTCACATATTGAGGTTGGATACCAAACTAAATGGTACGTAAAACAAAAATTACCCAAGGCGGATTTTTTTTTAAATTTTTTTTTAAGTAGTATGTGCTGACCTCAGCACACAAAAAAAATTTGTTTCGGAGTTTTCCCACTTGTCTATTTAAAGGATGCATTGTAAATACTAGTACTTGATCGCATCAATCAACAATCAATGTCTATAAGTCTGGACGTATTTTATTGGATCGATATTTGTTAAGAATTTTATACCCTGAGAAATGTACAGACTCTTCCTGAAAATCGGGTAAATACATAACGGTAAGGTATGGTATGCTACTGTAACGTATGTTTATAAACAATTGCATAAAATAACGTGGTATAACCTTGTCAATACTATTGCTATAGGGACCATCTTTACCCAAGTACTGTTCCTAAAAAATCTGTTTTAACCAGACACCTATAGATCGAATAAAAGTAGGTGTAATTTAGTTTCAGGGGATCACTTTAATATAACCAAAAAACACTGCAGGGTAAGTGTTTATGACATAATCATTACTTTTTTGCTATCATTCCAAGCCTGCAGAATGGAATGTGGTTTAATGTCTCATCAACTCCCTTGAATGGAGATTGAAGTTGAGATGGTGTATAGCCCAGTGTCAGTCGCTTTAGACGTTAATAATTTGCCCCCAGCAAGAAGTCACCACCGTTTCATTACCGTTTGGCGTTATTGATGTAAATCAAATCATTAGTAAATTATTCATTTATCAGTCCCTAGCGACTGTAAAACTAATATTATACTCGAAAGAATTCTCCATGGTAAGCCATTGTAAGGCAGACTATTTCTTTTAATATAATTCTAGATTGATAAATACAGGAAAATAATGAAAATATTTCATAGGAATTCAAATACGAAATAATTCACATATTTATACATATTTATTAACTTTGCCACACAATTCCATAATATATTTATCACATTTATTTACAAATAGACTGGTATATATTAAATATATTTAAAACAATTGCCTCGTCTTTCATATTTACACATCACATAATAAAGATTCTTAAAGTAAAAATTCTTTAAAATCTATCTTTTCTTCTAGTTAATTAAACATGAATTTATTAACATTGCATACGACTGCAGGATTTAGTTTGGGAGTTGAATCCGTTCCCTGCCGGACATGTAAACACGTAATCTTTGCCATTAAAACAAACATGGAATTTCTTACAGTTTCGGGGATCAGCATACAAACCAGGAGTCCAGGGGCACCAAAAATCTGTTTAATAAAGAGGAAAATACAGTAAACTGAATGCAATGAATTACAATGAATTGAAGCAGATAAAAGTCTATACAAATATTTTATCAACTTTTTTCACTGTAGTATGTAGCTTACAGGTGCATTATGTACGAGCTAAATCTGCCTATTGTAGGTCTTTATTTTGGCTTCAAAAACTCCACTAGGCCATCGGATGGCTCCGGTTTTAAGTAGATTAGATCACTTCGACCCTTTAATGATTCAATTTAAAAATGGAGAAGCGAGGCTATGGCTCTAATACCCAGTACCGTGCGATAATAAACAAGAAATGTCACATATTGTCGGAACTCCCAAAAATGATGACTTCACTCAGAATAAAGTAATTTGAATGAAGTTTTCAATATATTCATTTAGCATTATGAACTCTTATTTCTAGACCGACCAGTCATGTATCTCAATCTTATATACTACATCTTAAAAGTCCTTTAAATAAAGAAATATTCTATTATTGAATGATTTCAGTGATCGACAGATTTTGTTATAGTACACCGCTGGTTGACATCTCTAGTCCATTAAGTTATCTTGGGATTAAAGAATAGATTTAATAGGGATATATTTCGTTGGCGACTTTTTTTTTAACAATTACTAAAGAAAGTGAATAAATCATGACCAAAGTGCACGGTACGGCAAATTGTCGGCCTGGTTGCACAACATTAAATCTCTACGGTGCATTACCAATAGAAAACATCAGATGTAATAGAAATTATAACAGTGATTACGTACCCCAAGATGGTTTAGCTGTTGATGGATCATGGTTTATGTGTGGTAGTTGGCGCAACCTTGCTTTTCAGTGATGAAACAAGATTAAATCTCTACACTACATTACCAATAGATAAAATAAGATGTAATAGAAATTAAATAAGTGATTACGTACCCCAAGATGGTTTAGCTGTTGATGGTTCATAAGGCTTAGGTGTGGTAGTTGGTGCAACCCATGGCTTTTTTGTGGTTGGTGCAACCCATGGCTTTTTTGTGGTTGGTGCAACCCATGGCTTTTTCGTGGTTAGGAGATTCCAAGGTTTTTGAGTTGCTGGCGAATCTTTTCTTCGACATGTATTTGAACTAAAAATGAATCAGTAGAATAATGTAATTTGATCTGCATTTGATTATCAGATCGAATGAAGCTCTTATGGAAAAAATAAACAAATAAATATTAATGGTAAAAAACATATATCTTACCCTTTTCCATAGATTAAACAATTACTGATAACAGATAATAGAGGATATACTTTTCCACAAAAACCACCACTAAAATCATCCAAGTCTATAGCCCAGATCATAGCTCCACCATATCCTTCTGATATCACCCAATCCATCTAAAAATATTTAAGAATTTTAAATATTCATAATTTGTTTGGCCATAATTTCCAAAAACTGACACTCAATTTTCTGGTCCTAGATACGACCAGGCCGCCTAGTTCTTGTTTGATCGTAGCATTCTTCGCTGTACCTTTGATTGTTAGCGTTCGAGACATAGAAGGTTGATTTTTATGAGAGACAAAGTTTTGTCATCTTGTGAAATATAAATGAACCGTTTACCTTAGTAGCCAAACTTTTTTCATCATCAAAGCCAACCCATTGATCACCAGCTGTAGCATATGGTGTCTGCATATCATAATTTCGTACAGTTCTATAACTACCATATATACTTTCACATATCTACAAGTCGTAATAAAATCCAAAAATACAACAAACCTAATATTGCATAAAATATGTATATTCAAACATATATACCTATATATATATAAAATAATAGTACATAATTTTTGTTTTTGTTCTTTGTTTTATACGAATCTATAATATATCCGATACTCTCATTATGGATATTATGAAAAGACAGAGATTTAATGAAGCGTGTATTTTAGACAGATTGACAATGTCTTACCTCATAGTATAAAATGGTTCCAGATACACCTGAGTATGCTCTTTTCGTCCCACCTCCTGTAACTGGTGCTCCTAAACCCGAATTATACCGACTAGCCAGGGTATAAGTATTTCCATACATCGGCATACCAACAACGATTTTTTCTCTCGGCATACCCTTTTCAACCCAATATCTAGCAGCATAATCCTTAATAGAATATTAAAATATATATTGAGGGTGCAGTGATACAACATAGTATCTGATATTTCAGCATAATGAATAGAGAAACTTATATATCATGTACATGTCTTACCACTGTAAATGCTGGAGTTGGATCTCCTTTCCATGGATAAAGGGGAGCATTATGTGCAGTCTGTGTATCCCAGGATCCGTGCATATCATATGCCATCAAATTGATCATATCCAAACTCCTGAAAATCAAAAACAAATTTCAGATGCGATCTATTACGATCTACAAAGTAAAATAAAACATGTAAACAATAGGTAAATTAACTTACTTTCCTATAGTAGGTACTTCATAACCACCATCAATAACACTAGGTGTTGCTGATACGGCAGCAGATAATATCAGTCTGTCATATCCTGTTTTAGTAGCATCTTTTTCAAATTCCATCCTCAATTCCTGAAAATGAATCATTAGAAGATTACCATATTATGGAAACCATGCAGATTTCATTTCTCCTTTAATAGTATCTCGACACAGTCATTCCATTCCTATGGTGTACCGTACTATATATCGCAAGCGCCTGGATGATGGAAGTAACTCTTGCTGAAAAGTTTGCTTTAGATCGATAACGAATCTTGATAATACAATTGCATACAATTATAGTAAGAATTATCACTTACATCTACTAGAAATTGAAACCTTTGTTTATCTATAGCTGGGCTGCCTCTGTAAGCCGGAAACTCCCAATCCAAATCTAATCCATCAAAACCAATATCTCTCAAATATTGAATACTGGTTCTAATGAATTCCTGTCGATTACCCCAAGTTGACACCATGGCCGAAAAAGCGTCCACACCTTCATTCCAACCTCCGACAGCCAACATTACCTTCAGGGAGGGATTCAACTTTTTTAAGTCGAGGGTTCGTTGATATCTGTACAATATATATATCATATTCTTACAGCATGACCTTACTGATGATATCTACAGCACTATCTCTTCCACTTACTATTGGAAAGACAGTCGGATTTGCCGTTCCTGATTTCTCGTTGAAGAATCGTATTGATTGATAAATAAAATCTCATATAATTTATTATATGATATAAAATTAAGTTGGTGATAGTGTGTTTAATACATGTATACAGTTAATATATTTGTTATAAAATACATTATTAATATCTTCATACCCATTTCATCGTTTTAAAACTCTTCCTTTAGTGATCTTTGGCAGTGAAATAAATTGGAATAGAATGGACAGGTGGGGTACAATCATGGAACAACTGATGTAACTGATATATACATATTACCTTGCAATAAAAGTGGGAAAATATCTGGATAATATATTTGATAAAGGTTTGTGCAATTTTCTCAATATCTTCATACTCATAAGGGGTGAGATATAATAGTTTTATAAAACTGGATAGCCTTTATAAAACAATGGTTTACTTACAAACCGCGAGGATAATTCCAACTGTTGTCGTTCCATTCTGTAGTTTCTAATAGGTTGCCAGACAATTTAGCAAAAGCAAAGATGATGTGGGTGCAGAGTTTTGGGTTGATATCTTCGGGAAGGAATTTACCACTACCAGCTCGATATTGAGACCAGTTAGCATAATAACAAACAACTTTCAACTTCTGAGCCTTTGCTGAAATAGCCAATGAAATGATTTGGGATTTTTTACTTGGCATTTCTAAGATAGATACATTAACAGTTATATAATATTTGTTATATTGTAACTCTGGTCTTACATAATTCAATGTTCTATTTAAGTAGAGGTTTTAAGTTTTGTTTATTTTACGGCGCCTCCCGTGCTTAAGTTGTCTTCATTCCATTCAGCACAATTTATGCTATGTACCAACGGTATTGAAAATATCATTTTTAATAACACAAAAAGTTTATTCTTACCTGAATAGCAGAGTGCAGCGACAATAGAAATCGCTAGCAATAGTTTATGACCCTTCATTTTAGAAGAAATGTGAAGGAATAAGGGCGAAGAGCAGTATTGCGACATCTTCTTAAAGACAACAGAAGGGGAGTGGCTACTGACCGTAATCCCCTATTTCCATAATCCTATACAAGCCTGTCCCTTTCATTTTTTAAATTATAGTTGTCTTTGAAGACGCTTTGGCTTGAAATGTTAACCTGCTGCAAGTGATTTGTAAAAAACGAATGTTTACGCTTTACTTTATTTTCAAAGTTTGTGGGACAGTTCTAAAATACTAATGCGTACCTCTATGTTTTGAGTACTAACCACGCCCCTCATGTCGTGTCAGATCTAAATGTTAAGTGATTAGAGATTCAAATCCAAACATTTATATCTAAATACAGTTGAAGATCTTCAATCATGTATTGTTTTTTTTTTAGTTTTATCTTAGAATAAAGTTACTCGATCTAGCTTGCTATTTTTTTTTAAAAAAATAACATTCAAAGTCAAATCGTAAAATTACCCTCAGTTCCTTTTGCTAACATTTTATGTGTGAAAACTTACGATGACAATGTGATTTAGTTTGAGATATACAAATAAAGGAAAGGCAAAACAAGCGGTACAACAAAACCTATAAATTGTTTGTAAAGTTTACAAACGGCTGTCGTGAGATTATAAGATATATCCAGTTCATTGGTATGTTTTTTTTGTCACAACACGGAAATCCGTCTGTCTTTCAAAATATATTTAAATTTCACCAGGAGGACAAAAAATTGACCAATTAATGGTATGATGGATGGTTTGAGGCGTCATCATTATTCATTTATCGTTTTATTAAGTTAACATCAGTAATAATTCTTAAACAATTATTATGTACACTCCTTGGGGTGCAGTGTCATTTCAACACATCACAATACTTTACCTCATCAGTATTTGTACCGATGGGTACAAGACAGTCGCGTCGACTACTGCTTTCCAGATTTCAGAGAGAGAGAGAGAGAGAAGGAGAGAGAGCGAGAGAGAGCGAGAGAGAAATGGGGTTTAACGTCCACTCAACACAAACTAGGTCATTTCGGGACTAACACATGGTTCAATTTTATTTCAATCATTCGCTTGCGCGTAGGGTCTTTAGCAGTGGGATGAAACCGGAGGACCCGGAGAAAACCCACGAGGTTGGACAGGCGACTCTACTCCTTGTCACGTACAACCGGGGAATCGAAACCCCGCCAGTTGACTCAATGACAGACCGTATAATACAGCGCGCGCGTGCTAACCATTCGGCCATCCACCCCACCCCCCTTCCAGATTTCAAATCAATGAAGTAGTCTCAGATATCACAGTGTATCTATAGACAAACCAAACCTCAATAAAACACAGAAATTGATTTTTCTGACAAGTTAAGGCTGACCCTAAATTATTTTATCTTTCAGAAAGAGTCACTTTAATTGTTTAATAGTAATAATCATTTGCTTAAATATACTTTGTTATCTAGACACTATAATATGCGGGTGTTGGAAACGTCGCCTGGATCCCAAGATTTCAAGAAGAATTTTACACACGGTTCCTTTAACTACTTAAACATACATTATGCAAGAACTAAATCTGTCTATTCCAGGTTTCTCTTTAAGCCTGAAATATTATCTAAATTATCAATTAGACACTAATTAACTTATCCAGACCATAATTAGCTCTCGATAGCGGATTGGAATACATTTTTTTTAAAAATTAAATGTAAAGGTGGATAATCGAGACTTTGTTTTTATATGGTACCGACTTTAGTAATGATGATCGAGGCTAGCCAAAAATTTAAAAGCTAATATCTCGGTTCAGAGTGGAGCAATTTGACTGAAATTTTCAGCATATTCTATTTACGTTATCTATTTTTCAACTATTATAGCGAGAACTGTCAACTCTTAATCTAATCTCCAATAATACCCCTTTAAATGAATAGAAACTGTATGGTTTATTTGTCTGAGGTTGGTGCCATAAACATCGTAAATTGTTCTGAATGACTTGGTATGATATAAAATTATGAACGTTGGTGAACAAACGTCTAGCAATAGAATGGGTGGTATCGTATGAATCATGGCACCCTTATTTATTAATGAATAATAATCTAGTCAAAGTAAATAATTTAGAAATACAACAATAAAACTTCACAGTCCAGTCAAACATCATTGATATCAATTGATTCTGAGATTATAGACACTATTACAGAGGAACAATATTGGGATCAATTACTCCAGATTTACTCCATAGGGGCATAATATGCAACTTTTGTGGGATGTTCAAAATGCAGGACGGAGGGCCTGACAAAGACAGCTGTCTAGTCGTTCGGATGGGACGAAAAACCGAGGTCCCGTGTACATATTGGCGTGCACGTGAAAGATCCCTTGGCAGTTGGAATTCGATATAAGAGTAGGCCGTAGCGCTGCTGCCCGGGCAAAATTTTCCTCATAGCACACATTATGGCGTATGCCCGTCTTCATTAGCCCAGTTTAGGAGCAGAACAGTAGGACGTTAAACCCCATTTCATTTCAAAATGCAGGACTGAGGAATATACAAGGTCAATAAGGCCAATACTAAATAGCTCCGGGCGGCGTGCTAACACAAGCCGTTGATTGAGCATCTTTTTACCCGATTTAAGGCCGCATCGTTTGCTATTACTAAATTAATTGAGTAATATCTAAAATATTTCATTATCTTGAAAAAGACAAAACAAAAACCCCACCAAATATGCTAAATATTGTTCCTAAATATCTCTTTTACCAGCATTATATATTGACCTTGGTGTAATGACCTGTCTGGTTGGTTTGAAAAAAAAAAACCAAAATGTTGAATATTCTTGAACAATTGGATTTTTTTTCCAGTAAAGGGGAGGGGAAAATAAGACCACAAATAATAAACCAGAATTCGACGGATTCATTGAAAATCCAAAGGGTTTTGAGAGCAAAATCTTAGAAACAGAGCGATGGAAGTAAGATTTCAATGAGAGAGAAATTATTGCCCGACGATAAGATTCTCTACAATTTCGATGGCAGCAACAAACTTAGTACCTAAATTTATATGGAGTTCGTCCGTGTTTATGTCTAAGTTTTAGAAAGTATCAATCTCAAGAATTTTCGCTGGACATAGCCATTACGAGAAATTATCCGGACGGGCGAACATGGGCGATGGCAATATGCATGTACATGTTGGCTAAAGCAAAGGACATCATAATGACCCAAAATACATTTTGCATTTCTAAAAATATTTATTTAACATCCTTGGACGTTTTGGGGCATGTCACACAGTTTTATATCTTCTCTAAACTTAGTTCCTGGTGGACAGGATATTTTGTAGGTTATACCATTAGCGCACTCAAAGAAAGCATTACATGGGTCCATAGGATCTTTCATTATTCCATCTGATTTATCTTTACAATAGTTAGATTCATCTGAAATACAAAACTCATGTTTAATACTAGAATCATACAATGTCCCCCCCACCCCCATAACAATTTTAATAATAGTTTCATACAGGGTTCTATTCCACAGCATAAACATAATGATCTTATTTCACAATTTTTAGATTGCATTTTTTATGAAACGTCAACCCGGGTCTTGCTAGACTGATAGACATATTTGTTTCTAAATATGATAGGTCTACAAATATTTAAATCAAACGAGATTGAATATGTTCATATACAGAAAAACTATGAATAGCAGCTACGACGAGATTTAATACTGCGTTTGGTGTATCAGAAAGTAAGAAAACCTCACGATTTAAACTATTTGATTGGCCAGTAGACTGTAGGTGTGCTAGTTAGGCACAAGCGAAACATTCCGACACATTTACATTTCAATATTTATAAATTAACGTCTGAGGTTATTGAAAGCTTTTTTCAGAATGCGATAGTATTGTGATACAGAACACTCATTTCACATCATATAACATATATACTGCAAGGATGGACTTACTTAATACTGAAGTTGAATGTGTCACTGTGCCAACAGGTCGTTGTGTTTGGGGTACTGGAGTAACATGGTTAACAGGTTGAGTCACCTGTCCACCTGTAGTACATTGATAATTCTTTGGCCAATCACAGAATCTTGTATTAGGGTTAAATACCAATCCTTGTGCACACGCAACACTAAAACAATTTATAGAAAACAGAACAAATGTTTATTGTAGATATTCGTTGCTATGTATATTTATTCATATATAACGACAAAACAATAATGCATTATTAACCCCATTTATCTAATATTGTTTTAAGATGTTTGCATTTTTAATAGCAAGAAGGACCAGTTTACCAGAAACCGAGCTTGGTGCGATCGCCGTCATCTCGAAATCAAGTTTCATGTCGATCGTACTTGAGTTACCGGAGATCTGGGATTTTTTCGAAGAGGGTCGCTCATCAAGAAGAAGAAAAAGAACAAACCAAGAACCCACTACAAACAACAAGATTAGTAGCGCTTGGTCCAAAAACAATCAGGTCCGTGTCTTTCTGATCACCCATCAGAAATAATAGTGAAAGAGTCAGACATTTCGTAATGCATTACAAATATGAACCCATTATTTTCATCATTATGAAACCTACCTGAAGCTGTTACCGGTAGTACAAATGTAATAATGTTCACATGACGTAGCGCTGGGATAAAAACCATCGGGTTTGTTAATACAAGAAAAATCTGTGGAGTGATCAACATGATGATTGGTTGCTGAAAAAATAAGTGGAATACATGGGGAATTATGCATTTAAAAGTATACTGATTTATGAAATCATGCTTTCCATTTTAAATATTTACAACATACATATTAAGACAAATACCTTAATTATTATAATAAAAAATACCATAATTATTATAAGAGAGAGAGAGAGACATGGGGTTTAACGTCCACTCGACACAACTAGGTCATTTCGGGACTAACATATGGTTTAATTTTATTTCAAGAATTCGCTTGCGCATAGGGGTCTTTAGCAATGGGAGGAAACCGGAGGACCCGGAGAAAACCCACGAGGTTGGACAGGCGACCCTACTCCTTGTCACGTACAACCGGGGATTCGAAACCACGCCAGTCGACTCAATGACAGACTTTATGATACAGCGCGCGCACGCTAACCATTCAGCCATCCACCCCCCCCCCCCCCCATAATTATTATAATGAAAAATGCCATGAAAAATACCATAATTATTATAATGAAAAATACCATAATTATTATAATGAAGAATTCCATAATTGTTATCATGACAAATAATGTACAACCGATATTTATTAAAGGTACTGACTCATAAATGGTAAATCAAATAGGGATCAAATATTTAAAGTTATTCATTTTTTCTACAATTATTAGATAGGCGATAAAAATTAAAATTTATGGACAAAATAAATTTTGTTTGTGAATATTCTATGATAAAGAAATCAAAACCTGAAAGTGTGTTTACATTAAATTAATACTTACGTTGAGTTATTTGGGGGCCAACTGTTACAACGACATTTGGACGTGGTGTATTATGTTGACTATAATAGATTTAAATTAATATATTATTCAATAAATTATTTAGCTAAAATGTTAAGCAATTATTTTGTAAATACGTATTTATTTTGTATACACGTATTTGGATTATACACATCTTCAATAGTATAGCGCATTTCATTTTTGTTAGGATCGGGAGTACATTCATTCAAATAAATAATAAACATAAAAGAGATTTGTGTAGCTAAAGTTTCGTGTTTGTAATGGGCTGCGCCCAAATTAGAAAAAAAACACCAAATCAAAGAAAAAACACATGATTTCAAAATGGCGGCGTACAGTAAATATACGTAAATCGTCCTAGTTATTTTCATTTTAAACAAATAACGCCCTTCGATCCATATAATATGAGTAAAATGTTTCCTTCGATGGGAGTTACCATATTTAATGGCACACGATACTGACCAACATGATTTGTTCAATGCATTCCGTGTTTAGGTAAACGGTAGATATAATGCCAACATGTTTGTTCAGTGTTTAATGTTTAGCTGGACGGTTCTTGACGAAGCGGTTCTATAAAACTGTTGGTTTAACAGAATAATCTGGAAATGGCATGCTTTTTGTTACAAATCAACTTCAAATCCGCATCCACATGCCCTACGATACCATCAATAATGGTGGCTTTTGGAAAACTGTCACAATTCCATTAGCTCTAGATAAATACTTAAAGACAATTCTTGATTTTTAAGGAAAGCCAAATGATATCTTTCAAATTATTTGTAAAATATCAGGCGTGTACAAGAAATGAAACGGCGTCTGGCATTGTCATGGCGTAAAACGTTTCTTATTGATATGTTGCGGAAGTCGTATTTTTCAAAAATCTAAGTTGAAAACTACACTCACTGATTTCCGGTAGACGGAGTATTACATTCATCATTAACAGCTTTCATAAGAGGATATTTGCCTTCTCCACATGTTCCTTGGAAATCATCCAGATCCAATGCCCAAACCATGACACCACCAAAACCATTGTCTTTAACATATCGAGCCTTTTCAACAAATAAGTGTTTTCAGATCAATTCATTCGTCTGTTAGCCATGACACGTTTAAATTTCTTCCCACAAAAATAACTATACGGACTAGTATACAGCCCGTCTTCCATGTATGCGTTTTCGGTTGGTCCAATACGAATGATATGGGACCGTTTCCATGTAACCCTTGAAAACGCGAACCGAAACGCATGTAAATCAGGCCTAAGGCTAGTAATCCACATGTTTTAGTACGAAAACAATAATGAGTATAAAATACTTTGTGCTGAAATATATATATGTGTACATAATGCGATGAGCGTAATGCGTTTCTCAGATTATCTCCACATCGTTCCAGTCTGTAAAGCTTTATACGCTACTATATAATTAACCCCACCCCCTAATCTTTAGCCTAGAACATTCGAAATCTAGTATTTCTTGTGTGCATTCGTGAAAACACTAATAGATCCTGAAATGTCCATTACAGACTCTGTACACCTTGATTACTAATTTATTATGCCAATTTAACTTAATATTGTGTCATCAAACATCATATTGTGGTTTATCATCTGGTTGGACATCTATATTAAAGCAAGTTGTTACCTTTTCTCTAATACTAGTAGTATCGTCATAACCAATCCATTGATCACCTTTTACAATATAAGGTACATCCTGTTCTTTTATCCTGTGCACTTGACCGCCGGACTTCTTGATATCACAAATCTGAATAAAACATAACCGATATTATAAATAATTTTATATTTTATATTTGTAGTGTAAAAGAATAATTAGTAATTTCTGTCATATTCCTGTGCAAAATACTTAATACATAAAATTCTTAATCTTTCCTGATCTTCCCCAAGATCTGCTACTACTACTACTATACCCACAACTTGGTATGCATGTAGATATAATTATGTAATAACGTTCGTGTTTGAACAGGTTGTTAACCGTTCTTTGATACTCCTTTATGGTACGTCCGGTCTGATGCCAATCTAATTTGGTGACGATGTTAATAATATGACAATTACACATTTAACTTTACCAAGGAAGTGGTTTTAGATGACTGACGAGAAGGTCAATGTGATCAGAATCGCTTGTTTTAATACAGGAATATATAATAACCTCATAGTAGCTCAGGAATCCAGCTTCTCGGGTAAATTTACCAGCATGTCCTGGACCGCTTGTTGGATCACCGGGAAGACTGTGGTTAGGATCTTTTAAAGTAAATGCTCGTCCATAAAGATCAATTCCTACATTAATCTTATTTTTTGGTGCTCCTTTTTGCACCCAATACCTTGCTGCCCAATCCTAAAATTAACGTGAATGTACAATAAAAGACAGATACCATTATAAATACATCTTTTCGAAAAACATTTAGACCATGAATATCGATATGAGTTGATAATACTCCCTTCAAGAATTGAAATTTGAACTGAAACATTCCATAGAAAAATCTGTAAAATGAACCCTGAACAGCTATTTAAACCTGTTTTTTTCAAAACAATAAAGACTAAACGACTGGTACCTACAATGTTTCTCTCCCTTTATTAATACAGCACCGAGTTAACTTCTAAAATATGAAGGCCAAATAAACGATAAAATATATAGGAGTGGATAATATTTAACATATGCATAGATAACGGATCATGGAAATGGAGTGTTGGTTTTGATGGATAAAATGAAAAAATAGAGATATTTATGGTATTGTTCAAGTGGTAGTGTCTTATATTAATCATTTTACATACATTAACTTGACACAACAGCACCCAAATAATCGTCCTATAAACTTACCACGTTCAACAGAGCTTGGTCGCCTTTTTCATCTGATCTAGCATACAGTGGTGCATTATGACCAGTGAATGACTCCCAACTTCCATGAAGATCATAGGTCATCAGATTAATGAAATCTAATTCTCTAAAATTAAAGAAAAAAACAAACAAAAACAACATCATCTTATATTACAGTGGTTAAGGAAATATGGAATCTTGATGGTCAATACATTTAATAAACATATCGATACAGATCCTGCAATCGGTTTCATCGGTAACAGTTACTATAATCAATATTTTCATAAAAAAATTCGAATAAAAAGGATACACACTATATTCTAAAAACTCGGGTAATTACCGAGATAATATGCCTTCGAATGCCATTTACTTTAAACACCGTTGATCAACTTACTTGGATATTGCTGGGACATCATATGCAGTATCTATTTTATCTTTTCCAGCGCCAACCGCGGAACTTAGAATTAGCTTAGGTTTACCAGATTGTTGAGCATCAGCACGGAAAGCAGCCTGTATCTCCTACAATTCAACAGATAAATTAATAACAAAAACGCACCAATGACTTTAGCACATAGAATGAAGTTCATAGATAAAGTTTTTCTTGGAACTAGTTTCATTGGGTTTTTTTTAATCATCTAAATTTGATACTCCCGGTGGTTTTGTTTTGTGTCCTATGAGAGTCAATGATTATTTTAGATTAGTGTATATAATGGACTGGTTTACTGTCACGAATTGTTGTATAAATCAACTAACCTTAACTAATTCTGTAAATAAACCTTTGTCTTGTGGAGGACTTCCTCTGTTAGCGGGATATTCCCAATCAAGATCCAGCCCGTCGAAGTTACGTTTTCTTAAGAACTGAACAGTTGAGGTGGCAAAAGCGTTTCTGCCAGCAGCAGTAGCAACCATGGCATGAAATGGACCTGATCCCATATTCCACCCACCAACACCCAACATGGTCTTTAACCCAGGATTTGACTTCTTTAAATTGGTAAATTCCGCGTATCTGAAAGTATCAAACGACATGCTATGATACTGATGATTACAGATTTGTAATACGGAAATTACCTAAGAGCAAAATAAAAAAAACAACATTTTAGTAGCCAAGTTATAATAGTTCACATAGTCAGCTCATTTAGTAATATTTTTCCTCTTTTATCAACACAATTCATACAAAGCAATGTATATCCCATCATAATACATCTGCTGTATGTAAAGCAAAATGTTTGTTTTTTATGAAAAGATAGTTGACATATTAAACTTACAGACCAACCATCCAGTCTGTTGATTCGTCATTCCATTCGAAGGCTTTTAAATTATTACCCACCAATTTGGCGAAGGCGTATATGATGTGACTGCACAGAGAAGGGTCTATATTATTGGGTTTAAACTTTCCTCCTACTGGTCTGTACTGTGACCAGTTTGTATGGTAACATACCCTTCTCTGGCACCCTGCTCCTGAAACAATTCAAATTATTATAATGTCACTATGTTCATGATAAAACAATAAGCAACGTTAACCCTTTTTACTATTAGTTTAACTGTCGATCAGAATCGTCCAGTTTATAGACCATGAATATGAAGTATTGCCAAATCCAGGTTAATGATAGCAAGGACTATTGTATTATATTATGGGCGTACCTTCTGAAAGAGACACGGCTTGTAGCAAGTAAACTGCCACAGTAACAAGAACTAGCTTCATCATCTGAAATAATTTATTTAAATATTACATTAAAAGCAATAACTCTGCGAAAATGCTAAACAAAAGAGGTCAAGAACAGTCGGTACAATACTAATTAGGTTCAAAACATATTGAAAAGCAAAGGACCATAATCACATATCACTAAAATCCCTAAATAAAATTGAATAATGCTCTTAGCTACGCGAACATTTCACGGGGAAATATACCTCTCACAGATAAACCCAATGTTCTGGAAAAGGTAAGCTTACTGACTTTACTGTGCCATGTCACATATTATAGTTTAGAGACTCTAAATGTGGCCAGCCTTCCAAGGAATAAACATATTGTCGCGCCAAATAGAAAATGTTACACTACAAAAATGAGACAGGTCAAACAAAATATTGACAATATATTAATACAAATATACGAAAAAAAACCCAACAAAACAGCAATAAAAATAAAATGTATGCACTCACGAAGTCTAAATGCCACCGTAAGTAGATTTAGATATTTTAGTTTTATGATTACTTACCAAAGCCAGATGTTGTTTTGTTGTGAGGTATTTAAGATAAGTTATGTGAGAATTACATGTGTATGATAGATAGATAATTCATTTACCCTACTTAATAAAATCACAAGTACTAATATTTAACCTATCAGTGATTTTAGCAAGAGGTGTGGTCGGTAAAAATTGAGCGATTTATGTACCTCTTAAGTCCATTATTTACAAAGATACGACAGTATACATACCCGTCTTCAACCTCTGATATTATATACAATCTTTAAATAGTTTGTGTTTATTAATACATGTATATTTATTTTTCTCTGATTGCCATGCGCCATCTTATGTTAAACGTATATAGCAGGCACCTACATATGTTGAGTTAAAACATTTGAGTAATGCCACGTTCTAATATATTAACTGTCGATATCAGTTGCAATTTTTAGGGGGGGGGGGTATATTGTGTCAATTCCGTTGAGAACAGACCAAGCAAATTTGAAAAATAAGTTTAACTGGTAGACTGTTCACAAGACATTGGGGACGGGTCAACTGCAGGTGAGTAGGAAGAGAGAGGATTCGCATAACCTTTTGTAAATGTTTTTGAAACTTGATATTTGGTGTCAATAAACATAAACCGTTAGAATTGCACACGGCTTGCCTTAAAAGGCGATTATAGAATTTAATATTAAGTTATACAAATTTATGATGAAAATTGTAAAATGTAAACTCTGCGAGTTTATATTTCAATGGTAAATATTTACTTTGTTGTCACATTTGGTAAACAAGTAAAGTATAATTGATGTTTTTAATTGTTCGTTATTTATCTAGCTTATTCAAATCTCATTTACATAATCTGTCTTATCCCTATCCTTGCGGATAATGTGTTTAAACATCCAGATATTGTACATAATTATCCCCTTGATTGTCCCTCGACACTAACAGCTTAAACCTGCTCGGGTAGGTTTAAAATAGGATGATCTACACATATGTTGGTGCTTGTTAAATAGTCAAAATCCTGCAACCACTCTCTTTAGTGTTTTATTAAGATTACTTTCCCAGGGATTTCTTATATATATGTGTGTGTGTGGATGGTGCATGCTGGTTTGATTGTAGTTGCATGATTATTAACACTTGGAGAGCGTGGAGTAGAGTGACTAACAAATGTTTGATATTAGGCTAATTTTAAGTTTCAAAACTTTAGTGAAGTTTTATAAGGCTCATCCCAAAGCCCCGTGGAGATTCTGACGATTTTGATTCTGAAAGGCATATTTTTTATGACTTTCCCCGGACACTTTACTCGTGCTATATTACAGTTTCAGGCCTAAAGAAAGACTTGCAATAGGCAGATTTAGCTCTTGCATAATGTATGTTTAATCTAGGATGGCGATGCTTTACTAACTGAATTTTTAGGGGTGTTTTGGTATATTGTGTCAATTGCGTAACCTCAGTAGTCCACAAATCAAATAGATTATGCAGTTAATCGAGATTGGAAAGTGGTACCATGGAGATAACAAAAAAAATGTGACGTCAGCTACTTGAATTCACACGGAAATTGCAGTAGATTTTAGAATGCGGGCAACCAATTTTAGAAAATATATTTTACCAAACCGGTACAAGGTACACGATATTTGACCAAATCAGTACAAACTATTTTACCAAATCCGTAGACGGTATTTGACACAATATGTTTAGCAATTCTTTTTGTCGTCTATAGGCTAATCTAGGCTAGTGTCATCGATGTCATTTGCCAGCAGCCCCTACCCTTTCTCGCTATAGTATAACCTACATTGGATCTTTTTTCCACCATTCTAGAATTGAAGTCATACTGTAAATATTCTTGTATTTATTTTAAACAATTTAAACCAATACAATTATTAAATAATAACAATAAAATATTAATCATAAAAGGGACTTCTACTGTATGTATTTATCTTATAAATAATCAAAATAAAGATATTATATTTCGTTTAATTGCAATTTGGCACATTGTATGGATGATCGCAATATCCCATCTCTTCATTGAACACCGTTGATGGTCCACAAGACATGTGGTGGGTCTGTGAAAATGAACACTGGTAGTACTTGGAACAATTATAAGGATCCCTGTAGAGCCCATCTGAACGTCTGCTACAAAACTCTGTTGGTCCTGAAAAATGATCAACACAACATCATTATTGACAAATTTCAACAAACAGACATATAAGTTGTCGAGAGTAACCGCTACAAATACTCCAGTCAGCATAATACAGTATAATTTTGTATTTTTTAAATTAAATATATTGACGGGCTTTGACTTTTATGTTGTCACATAACACCCAAGAACAAAAAAAAAACAACAAATAAAATTCATTTTAACTATTTTATTAATTATTATGACTACATGGTTCCATCGTGAGTATTTAATGTATGAATGAGAAGGGAAAGAAGTACTAATAATTACTGTTCACAAATTTATATAACGTTAAATGCCATTTCAATGCAATTAATAGAATGATTTAAAAATGTAGTCTTTCAGTGAGTTTTAAATATATAGCTGCCAACATTTTATGTATATTGCATTGAATTGTAAAACTAATTAATGTTATTCAAAATATGATTTTAAAACGGATTGTCAACAATTAACACGATAGGTAAAATCACATCTAGATACAGCTTTACTAAAGAGAGTCCCTGGTGGACAATTCATTGGAAAGGCAACACCATAGCTGCACTGATAGAACTGTCCACAGTTTGAAATGTTGGGTATAATGGCACCGTTACGGCGTCGTACACAAATATTCTTCACTTCTTGTATATTGGCAATGCGTTCTAAAATAAAACATAAAATTCAATCATTGCTAGCGTATTGTTCACTGCATTTATGTTCAGTTGTCCAACACCATAACCAGTTATGTCATCCATATAGTACCGGTATTAGTAGTTTATTATAGTTTCCAACACCATAATATTTACGACAAAATAAAATACTTCGTAGAAAAAGAATGATTATTGAATCCGTGCTGTCCACCACTGTGTGCACAGGTAGGTTTTCTAGTTTCCCACATCCAGCTGCATCTTACAATACGGTCATGGTTAGCGTGTGACATTGTTAGATTACCAACTACCTTGTAGCTTATTATATTTCTAGATAAAGGAATGATTATTGAATCCGATCGGGCCACAGGTAGGTTTTCTAGTTTCCCACATCCAGTTGCATCTTACAATACGGCCATGGTTATATAGTGAGCGTGTGACATTGTTAGATTACCAACTACCTTGTAGCTTATTATATTTCTACCACCATCCATTTTCTTTTCTTCGTCATTATGAATTAACATAATCATCATGGTTACATTGTGTTAATTTCATGAGCTAAATATAATATAGTGAAGCTTTCATCTAGTTCATTAGTTTCTAATAAATGAATCACATTTTAATTTGTTTAGCTTTTATTTTGTCAAATGTGTCGTTTTGTTGTTCTGCTTTTATTTGAAATTATGAATATATACTAGTTTAAATCAACGCCCGCTTCTATAATAATATGATTACGCACATAGGGTCTTTAGATGTTAGGGAAACCGAAATGGAGTTTAACGTCCTTCTTTTCTGCACCAACTGGAGGGGGCGCAGCTGTCAAGGATTCCTTTGCCGCACCCCCACCCGCCCACCCCTTGTCCTGCACCTTGTCCTGCACCTTGTCCTGCACCACTGGCAAGGGGGAAACCACGCCGAAAATCTGACGGACCTGTCTCCGCCAACTCCTGGATCGAACCACCGCCTCACGTACTCGGCTACCACGGCAACTTACAACCGAATTATTCCGATAAGATGTAAAACTAACCAATGGCTACTATAAACAATGTACGGACTTTTAAAACCGAGCAAAAAAATAAATTGGGCTATGTCATATAGGGAGTCCAGCTATATGAAATCTTTGTTTGAATAGTTCAGATATTTGATAATCTATCTGATGACAAACGGTAATATGAAACATACTTAATAAGATAATATTTATTACTCACGGAGAGTTGACAGTCTTATTTCTGGTAACACTACGGAGTTGGTAGGGAAACCATTGTTGTTATGTTCCAACTGTTTTGACGTACGACTCGGTTCTTCAGACGTTAGTGATTGTCTGGGTGGTGCCGGGGCCTGTAAACAATTCACATTTTCTTTCCGATCGCAATATTTATTGAATTTATTATAGTAGAGCCCGGGACCACAGCTAACTTCAAATTTAACGGAGTTGGCACAAATATAGTAAGATGCACAGTTTGTTGGATTAGAATAAAAATCATCTTTTTTATCAACACATGATTGATCATGTATTACTGACAAAGTACTGGTTTTAACTGTTGTACCTGAAATAGAGACACAAAACAAACTTAAACACGGGAACTATTTTAAAATCTCTTGGATGAGACGCAAATAGATACTTGTTAGTGTCGCCTTGTAGACGTTTTAAGTAACTATTATTACTGCGTTTGTATCAACTGTTTGTCTCATTTTATGTTCTATCTATAGCTATATTCATATTATGATTGGTATTATTATTTTACTATACGGATTGTAATATATTTACCGAGAACTTGAGACGGTTGCTGAGATTGAAAAGGTTGTTGTCTAGTTGTCGGAAACTGAAATATCCGTTTCGTTGTTTGGATTGGCTGTTTCGATGTTTGGATTGGCTGTTTCGTTGTTTGGAATAACTGTTCCGTTTTTTGGAATGACTGTCTCGTTGTTTTTATTGGTTGTTGTGATGAACTTCAAAAGAAATAACAATAAAAAAGGGTTGCAACATCTGTCTAAGATGCAGACCATGAAACACCAAGGTGATTAGAATTTGTTCATGTACCACATCTAAAAATACTAAATATATTGACCTTGAACAGGATGATCTTGTAGACGCTAATTCGTCATTTATAGCATTTAATAATGGATATAATTGACCTCCAGGACAGATACCAATAAAATCATCTAAATCTAAGGACCAGACCATAACACCACCATAACCATTAGATTTCACATAACAAACCTAGTAAACAAACAACACAATAATAACATTATTTATAATAGCAGCTTAACCTAAGTTTGAAAAATCTTAAATTTGTGCATAATAGTACGGTTATTCAAAATAGAAGAAGATATACATGTATACCTTTTCACGAATGCTTTGTTCATCATCATAACCAATCCACTGGTCTCCACTAACAGCATAACGAACTCTTTGTTCCGGTATCTCATAAACTTGTTTATCCATTTTACAAATCTAAACAAAAAAGTAGATTTTATTGAAAAAATATCATAGAAAAGTTTGGTGAAAATAAATAACATCGATTATTTTTCATTTATGAAAGCCTTTAAGGTTAGAAAGGGTAGATGGAGCCTTATTGATATTTCGGAAATGATTTTACCTCATAGTAAGCCAGAAATCCTGCTTCTCGAGAATATTGACCTGCTTCACCGGGACCAGTAACTGGTGCTCCAAGCTGCTGATTAGCAGAATCCAACAGTGTAAAGGTTCTTCCATATAAAGCCATACCAATATTTAGCTTTTCTTTTGGTGCACCATTCGCTACCCAATATCTTGCTGCCCAATCCTAATAAAAAATATCCACAATGTGATCACAAAGCCTATCTTGAAAGAAGATTATTATTTGTTCGTTTGTATGAAAACAAGTTTAAAACGGAGGCAATTAAAACTGTCAACCTACCAAATTTAAATAGCTGCTATTTCCAGTTTCACCACTTCTAGAATACATAGGAGAATTGTGTCCAGTGTGATCTTCCCAACTTCCATGAAGATCATACGTCATCAAGTTAATGAAATCTAAATTCCTGTTATAAAAAAGCAACGTAACTTTACTTCCCACAAGTATAAAATACTAAATTAAAATCAGCAGCCCACTCAAACATATTGAATATCGTGGATGTTTAATATAAGCTTACTCTTCTGGAACACCTGATGCCTAGACTTACTAGTTTTACAATGTCTGATCCCCCTTCTCGTGTATTTTGGAAGTTCACATGACCGATTCTTTGTGTTCTACTTACGTATATAATTAGTTTACTTCGGCTTCTGAAATTCAAATAATGTTTTCGTATATTTGAACTTTATATTCTATTAGTCTTACCCAGAAATAGCTGGTATATCATATCCTGCATCAATATAAGATTTGCCAGCAGCAACAGCGGCTGTTAACAGAAGTCGTGGTTTTCCTGTAGTCAGCGATTCTTCTTGAAAGGCACGCATCATCTCCTGAAAATGTTTTTGATGATAATAGCTTAGAATGTTATTTGTCTATGGAAAGTATTGTCCTTAATTGGCTTCCCAATAAATATGAGTAACTCCAGAATGTTTAAGCTATATACCTGTAACAGACTTGTATATCTTTGTTTATCTCCAGGAGGACTACCTCGTCCTGCGGGATATTCCCAATCTATATCTAATCCATCAAAACCAGTTCGTCTTAAAAATGTTATACTGCTTGTTATAAATTCTTGTCTCCCGCTAACGGTAGATACCATAGATGTGAAAGGTTTTGAAGCCAAATTCCAACCACCTACTGCTAATAGAGTCTTCAGGGATGGCTTGATTGTCTTTACGGCCTGGACTCTCTCGTACCTGTTATAAATGACTCATTCAAGACATGTAAACAGACAAGGGGCTTTTAATAAAACAAAAGGTCGTTGTTACTATCATTATTATTATTACTCTTTCTAGACCACGTGATACCAGTTTTCATTTGAAGAGATCACAAATAGCTTTATAATGTTTTGTTGTACATTTGTTTTTATAGAAGAAAGTTAATTCAGTACTTACATTCCTTTACTCCATTGAGTAGACTCGTCATTCCATTCAAAAGCTTTCACCTGATTTTTATTTAATACAGCAAACGCGTATATAATATGAGTACATAGGTTTGGGTCTATATTTTCAGGATAGTATTTTCCTATACTTTTTCTATATTGAGACCAGTTGGTGTAATAACATACTTTTCTGTAGCCTGTTACAAAATGAACAATAAAATCTCAAAACAGGAAATGAAATGAAATGGGGTTTAACGTCCTACTGTTCTGCTCCGATACTCGGCTAATGAAGACTGGCATACGCCATACAGTGTGCTATGAGGGAAATTTTGCCCGGGCAGCGTCACTATCGCCTACTCTTATATCGAATTCCAACTGCCAAGGGGTCTTTTACGTGCATTCCAGTGTATACACAGGACATCGGGTTTTCGTCTCATCCGAAGGAATAGACAGCTGTCCTTGTCAGGCCCTCTGTTCTGCACCTCAGATTTGGAATTATGGACATATCATTAATAACTGATTTATCATTTATAAAACAAACGCGATTGAAAAATAACCATCGTTGTCCCAAATTGTGTACTCACCGAGAGAGTTTTCTATTAAGAAACAAAGTCCATATACCACCGTTAAAATAATCACTTGAAGCTTCATCTGAAAGAAAATTATAAGATACATTTTACATTGGGTTAAAATTATCTACAAAGTATAAAATATATAAAGTTTGATTATATCATGAACTAACCTTTGGATAATTATGGATATTGCAATATATAGTGCTTAATTCTGAAAAATATTGTCCTGCCTATGTGTTCTGTTTCTAAAGCTGAAATAAACTGTATTTAAATGTTGAATTTATAGTCAATAGATCAAAATATAAAGAGGTGCATTCCCGGTTGTTCATTTCCGAAATTCGTGTTATTCAAACAGGATGACGTTGTCTTTTAAATATACCTAATATATTATCTATATTAAATATCATTTAAATTTGGTATCAAATTATGTTTTTGAGTCATAATATTTGATAAATGAAGTGTCTGTAAACTTTTTGTGTTTGCTCGACTGAAATCGTGATAGAGAAAGTGTTATCGTCGATATTAAATATTTGTACACTGGATCATAATCAAGTACGCAAACTTAAAAACAACGTATAATACCCATATGCGCTAGGGCATTACAGGTAATGTTCATGACCTTAAACACATAATCATTTGCCAACCCAAACAATGTTAATGTTAACGAATAAAGCTAAATTATGTTTTGTCATGATTTCTTATCTTATAAATGTACGCATTTTAGGGAGTGGTAGACCCCAGTTTTCTCCCCACCCCATGTACACTTTCCTTGTCCAAAGGTGTCTTGTCGGCCCATGCCAGATTCTAGCCCGGGTCATTCTTGTACAGTGTCCAGAGCTCTGTACAAGAGAAAGCAATGGGGTTTAACGTCCACTCGACATAAACTAGGTCATTTCGGGACTAAGATATGGTTCAATTCTATTTCAATACTTCATGTGCGCGCAGTGATTTTTAGCTGTTGGAGGAAACCGGAGGACCCGGAGAAAATCTACGAGGTCATATACAAGCGGGATATCGAAACCACGCCACTTGACTCAATGAAAAACTTCTGATTCAACGCACACCCGTTAACCATTCGCCCGCTCCTAAGTAATAGAGATAACGCCTGGTAATTTTATAAACATTGCCACCCGATCCCTAGTTATTTTATTTAAAAAACGCCACCTTACCCTTAGGGAATTATAAACGACACCACTCTATCACTAGTGAATTATAAACGACGCCACCCTACTCCTAATCAATTGTAAACAACGCCACCCTACTCCTAGTCAATTGTAAACAGCGCCATCCTACTCATGGTCATTTAAACAACGCCACCCTACTATAATGATTTTATAAACAACGACACTCTATGCCTAGTGATTATATTATAAGGACCATATAAACAGATACAAATAAATTTTTAATAGACGAGCTGGAATACATCTTTAAATATGTCAATAACTTATTTTTCTTGATTAGGCTGCATATTTAGGGCAGCGGGATATAGATAAACATATGGCATGTTGTTTCTCACTCATATTGAATGGAGCAAAAAAAGTGTTCAAGAATTTCGTGACTCGTTACATTCTTTAGCCCAGTTTGGTGCAAAAAGGTAGTACGTGCCCCATTTCATTTCATTTCAAAGTGGAGTATACTCAATTAGGAAAATCTTTTGAAATACATTTTTTTTCTGCACCATGATGTTGCTTATAAGTAATGAAAAGTTTGAGAAACTATGGTTGCTGTGCTTGATTTGAATATCACTATTCTAATTAGTTGTGAAATTACACAAATATATTGGTTTCTGAGAATAACAAAAATGGACATTAAACTTTCCAAATTCACATACCTTACTGTTTAAATTTTAAAATCCTTTCATTCAAAGAACTGGGAACATGGATCTCGACACTATATTATTCATTTGTGATACACACGAATTTCCTATTTCAACCAAAAGATACTCATTATTCCAAACATGCGGTATCTGTCATAGATGTCACATCTATTACCCTATGTCAAAAGGTCTTCTACCTCTTTTCATATGTGAAGTTTAATAGACAGATATTATGACTGGCAATTTGTGAGATTAGACTGTTAATGATTGCATAGCATATACGCTAAATATAAAAAAAAACACGATACATGTTGACATGATAATTTGGATTGTATATATGATTAAGACACACATCTTAAGATCGGGACATTCATTATATTAGGTAAAATAGAAGGTTCCTAATAAAATTACATGTCTGTTTTGGATTTTATAGTTACTGCTGGTGGATAATGGTGTATACGAATTTTAATATTCCTAGTATACAAAGCGACCGAGGGGTTCACCATTTAAAATTATCACCTGCATCTTATAATATTCATAATGTAAAACATCGATGAGAATGGTACGGATTTCTATTATAACTATTATAATTCGGTTAGTTTCTTTAAACGACTACTAGCGTTTATATGATTTTCTAAAGCGGGAACCTGTATATATAAAACAGAATTTAAAAGAATTACAAATATTTAATATATTTTAAATATTGACCCAACTATGTACAGGTGCATAACCATTTCCTGTATTTATTGTAATGCACTTAATTCGTGTACAGTATTGTGAATTCTTACCTTTATAGACCTGTGTTAGTTGATATAATCAGTCTTCCTCTTTATAACTGATATTGTTTCGTAAAGATAACAATTTATCATTTTTTATGACGTTACACCTTTGCACTGATAATGAGTTAGATAATTTGATTTTGTTAACATTAAAATGTTCAATGTTTAACGTAATGGTGACTTTCCTACCAAACTAAGTGGGATGGGGTGGTGCGGGGTGGTGGAGGGGGGAGGGGGGAGGGGGGAGGGGGGGGGGTAATGGACCAGTTGGTACCGTAACAACATGATCAATTGATTTCGTTAACATTTTAATGTTCAATGTTTAACTTAGTGGGGAAATGGTGAATTTGTGTATGGTGGTGGTGGTGGTGGTGGTATGTGTGTGTGTGGGGGGGGGGGGGCGACCAGCTAATGTCGACATAACTTCAGATGCCAATTTTTCAATTTGAAATGACCAATCCCTAGTTTCAAACCAATATAAACAACGACCACAGCCCACAAGATATGTCGTGTAATTTCAGCAGGATTCTTTCTTGCAGTGAATCGAATACAGTTTTCATTTTGTTTGTTATTCCTTAAAACTCTGAGTAAAGTTGCTATGGGAGGGGAGATTTCATGAATTTGACTTTTAAGTTAGGAATCTGATTTAGAGATTCAATAACATAATAATTTTGGAATATTTATTTATAAATACACATACTAATTGACACACTGTTTAATGTAGTGTATAACAGATATTCTTTCAGTTATAATGTCAGAATTGTTTAGATCATTATTTGTAAAAACCGTTATTGAAATTGTCATAAAACAGCAAAGCAAAATAAGCTAAATTAAATCGTCTTTTATAGTCAGTGTCTAGTAGCCGTACTGTCAGTAGAAATAATATGTCAGCAACTGTTCCTTTCACATTTAACTACCTTATCTTATCATATTGTATATGTGTTTTATATTATGTATTAAAATTATTAATATATGAAGTAGTCCTTTATATATATTTACAGATTAATTACTATTCTATCACTGTAAGTACATTCAATAACTATTATTTAAATTAACGAATAGGTACCTATCAAATGAATTCTGGCTCATCAATGGTATAGATTCTTATGGATTGTTAAATTTCTTCCACCATTTTAAAATAATTCGAAGTACTATGAAGAAAGTAAGGATTTTATAATATATATTATCAATGTATTTATATTTATTGTGTTATATTATTTGTTCAGATATAAAATGAATATTCTCTGGTGTTTGCTGCCAATCTTTGTTTTCTGTCAGGTATGTTCAGGTAAGAACTTATCTTTATAATGTAAGCACTAAGCAACACTAGCAATTAAGACAGGTGGGTTATTTAATAGTAACGTTTGATCCTTGAAGGTTGGTGATATTTACAAACCCTCAAACCAACAAGCTGGTACCAAATTTGAAAGCAGTCAGTAACGTATCAATTTGGCAATTGCGGCTGTTGGGAGGAAATCACACATTAAAGAGATTAACGGACGATAGACAACGTACATGTCATACTCCTCGCAGTGTTTCGTTTGATCAGAGCGAATCCCATTTAACAATGATGCAATGGAAGCAAATTATGTTCTATGTAAACAATACTGTTTGGAGACGAACAATACGTCCACTGTTTTTAATACCTTTAATCACTGTCCAAAGTTTTAGGGAAAACCCCAGATTAAACGAAGGGCTGTCATGTTGGTGTATTTTGGATAGGTTTGATTGAACGGGAAGAATAGACACACGCCCTCAAAAGTTCAAGTATCAGAAGCCAATCCGGCAATGGCCAGAGAGAGATTTCTCAGGCCATTGCTTCAGGAATATGCGTACATGTGTATGTTAAGCTCTCTCATAGACCTGATGAGTTTTAAAAAAATTACTCTGTTTTCATCAAGGAGAAATAAGTTTACATTTATAAGGATGGAATAGTAGAAGTTTATATCGATATGCATATTATCCTGGTTGTATAGCATTTTCAAAATATATACAAAATAATATATTTTTATTATTAATGACGTCATATTCATTGCGGGTGGACTCACCTGCTTATTTAAAACAAAATCAATATATATTATGATTTAGGTGAATATAAGAGAGTTTGTTATGTAGAATCGTGGGCTCGATATAGACCTGCTAGAGACAGATTCACACCAGAAAATATAGATGTACATCTTTGTACTCACATTTTGTTTGCGTTTGCTACTCTGGATGATACTGGTGTTCGTTTAAAAGCTGATGAGGACGGTGACGATCCTTCAATGTAAGTCAGCTATAATTCTCATAAGTAACTGTTTAATCTGGCACAAGCGAAAACCAAACTCGTGTGAAAACTGAAGCCATTATCATTTATTTCAGTCCAATAAAACCAAGGCTAGTCCGAAACTTGTACAAACCAGCACTGGCATTATTTTTCAATCAAAAATAACTTGTGTTGGACGTCTCATTTAAATGTAAACTGTTCTGGCTAAATGAGAAATATTGAGTCAAGCAATTTAAGTAACGTTTTAAAAGGTCTTTAAATTAGAGAATTTGGTTTTCTTCCTGCAACATGTGTCTGATTTAGCCACATTAGATCTCAAAATATTAGAGTAGTTTTTACTGCAGACATTGATGCCTGATTGATTTATATATCCCCGACATAGCACAGAAACATAATAGCGCCCCTTGTTTGTACTCCACTTAAGAATTGCAAAATTTGTAATTCACCATATGTCTATGAATCATGGTGGCTGAGTGAGTTCTCCAGGCTGGTCAGTGATACAGGGCGGAGGTCTGGGCAAGGGTTTGCGAGCTCGTAAAAGAATCCTTTGCAGTGAGAGTTCGATGAAGAGTTGATAGCCACTCCAATGTCCTTGCAACGTTTCCATCAAAGAACTCTGTATGGTGAATTCCGTCTTCGTTAAATGTATCGCAGTTGATTTATTTCAGGTATAAAAGATTCACAGACCTTAAAAAACGAAATCCACTCCTAAAAGCAATTCTATCAGTTGGTGGATGGTCTATGGGCTCTGCTTTATTCCATAAAGCTGTCGAGACTGATTCGTCTAGACGTACAGGAGCCCAGAACATAGTTCGGTTTCTACGCAGTCATAATTTTGATGGCATTGATATAGATTGGGAGTTTCCTGGTGATCGCGGTAGTCCCGCCGCTGATAGACATAAATATACTTTGTATCTAAAGGTAGGCACAATTATGTTTCTAAAAATATATAAATCAAACAAATAATTACAACTTGTTTTTAAATTTCACTTTACATACAAACTAACTGATGCTTTGACACTGTTTGTTTTGTAACATTCTTTCTACAGGCAATTCGAAATGCTTTTGACAAAGAATCAAAATCATCAGGTAAACCGACATTACTTTTATCAGCTGCTCTCAATCCCATGCCGTCAATGTTTGATAATTCATATGAAGTACCAGAAATAGCCAGGTTGTATAATTTAATAAATCTCATGATCAGTAGCGGATTATCAGTGAGGCTGATGAGGCTGCAGCCTCAGGCCCAAAGATTTTGTAAAAAAAAAAATTTTTTTAGACAATGAATGTTAGGGGGTGGGGTTTAGGCCCAACGGGAATCAACATAGGCCCTGACCCGAAATTAATTCGGCCCACGCCATTTTAAATAGGCCCTTTTTAAAAACTAAATAGGCCCTCCAGCAACTGCCGCCTCAGGCCTTGGTGGAGCTTAATCCGCCACTGCTCATGATTCTGACTTACCTTGGGGTATAAGGAAGTATCCTATCGAGATTTTTGCTTGTTCGGGTGCAAACATTTAGAGTTTATAGCTTTTGAACACGAACGAAACGGGGCGTATTTGTCTTCTTTATAGGCGATATTTATTTCAAACCGAAATAGAATTGCTCGTTCCAACTAGTAATCCTTGTGAACACGATATAAAAAAATCTTGTAGTGGTGGTTGTGGTGTGAGTTACTGACGTTTTTTATAGCTTTAAAACTGTTGCTGCATGCAAGGGGTATGAGATGTCATTATCATTAATTTTTTGTCATACTGCTGATATTATGTCATCATGTATTCTAGAAGAATTGTTTAAGTGGGTCTTAAACATAACATCAGACTGATGTCGCATAAACTGGCTTGTATACTAATTTCATTCTGATTTCAGATATTTTGATTTTATAAATTTGATGTTTTATGATATGCATGGTACTTGGGAACATGTAGTTGGACACCATGCGCCTCTCTACCCTTCCAAAAAGGGCGATACCATCAATGTGGTAAATTGTAAAAACTGTTTGTAAATTTGCTACTTTGTAAAGTATATCTCCCTAGTTTGAGTGGGTAAACATTCTACCAATATAATGTAACTGTTACTAGTTTCTTTTTAAAATCTCTTCAAGCTAGTTTCTTAAAAAACAGAATTAGGGCAACTGAATGAGAAGCTGTATCGGTTGAACTAGAAACGGTGTGCATACAGATCTCAAAGAGCTAAAAGTCTGGCGGTAAATGTAGATAAATTTATTCCCTATTCTGATTGGTTATTTCAGGATTATCTTGTCAATGAGTGGATTAAAAAAGGTGTTGAAAAGTCAAAAATAATCATTGGTGTTCCATTTTATGGAAGAACGTATACCCTAGCTGATGCTTCGAAATCAAATATCGGAGACAAGATAACTGGTCCTGGAGTTAAAGGTCCACTAACTGGCGATGCTGGTACACTGAGTTATCAAGAGGTATACTTTAAATACTGCCATTAAACAGTTACATAACCACTGACAGAATTTCAATTAACATTAAAACAGACAGCTTTATAAATAAGTAAAAGGTCATCATCTAATTACAGATATGTTTGTTGATGAATAGTGGAGTTCCTGTAAGAAGATTAGTTGATCAGAGAGTACCTTATATTGTTGATGGTACCAGATGGACAGGTTTTGATGACGCAAAAAGTCTTACAGAAAAGGTAGAATTTAATAGATATAAAAGAGAATTTTGATAATCATGTATACTTTGTAAATGATTAGTTTCCAGTACTATATTTCTTAAATTTATTTGCACCTGATTTTGTAGTATTAAGCTTATTATAGAATGGTTTAAAATCTGTTTTTTTTATTATTATTATCTTATTTCATAAAGATGGGATACATAGTAAAGCATGGTTTTGGTGGTGCAATGGTTTGGTCTATAGATCAAGATGATTTTAACGGTATCTGTGGTGGTGAAACCTATCCATTACTTAAAGCAATGAACAGAGGACTGGGTACACGAATAATCGGCTGAAATGATTATAATATATTGAAATAAGAATAAAGCAGATATATATATATATATTGCATTGTGATATTACTTTCTTTGCTATAAATAAATGGCCATAGAAAATTACTCTATAGCATACACGTAACCCTCTGGTGTTTGGCGTAAAACATTACTGGTTTAATAACTTAAAGAAATTTAACAAATACTGTAGCGCATGGAAAACGGTGTAGAACGTATTCAGGTGTTTCGGATTGGTATTATAATTTTCACTGGAGGGGCAGTTTGGGTTTGTGTTTATGTATCACTTTTACTTGGATCGTTCTATTTTTTACTTAGTTAAAAATTCAAGATCAAAGCTGTAAATGTTCTGTATATTATTTGAAATATCAAGCATTGGATTTAAAAATTGCTGATAATTTCCCAGATTACCATACCCATGACATCTTTACACTTTGCGCTTGCACCTTTTCTTTACTGAAAAAAAAATACAGGTGGTGTTTTCACAAGTCTCTGACTAATAGATATAATCGATCTTATTAACAATTACAGTCCAATATCTACGTGAGCTCGGTAAGTGAATGCTTGTTATTATTAGTAATAGATAAAAGGTTCTAAATTTATAAGAATTAAGAAATAAAGAAATAAAGAAATGAAATATCAGAAGTTTTAATTTGATTCTAATAATGATCATCTTCCATATTTATGATTCTGTGTATCATGTGTGAATTTTACTAGTCATAATATATCTTTCAGTAGTAAAAATGATGAAGATTTTACTTTTTCTGTTGTTCATAACTGTCATTTCTGTATGTTCTGGTAAGATTACTATTCATGTTATAATATACTTGAGGCCTACACACGGCCAATCTTGGGATGGGGGTTGGGTTGAGGATATATTAGATATTTCGATGCTTTCTTGAATATTCTTAGTGAATTTATTCACGGCCTTATAAACGGCTAAAGAACCATATATATTATGATTAAATGTCATAATCTTAGCAGTAGAAAAAAACCCCCACTGCACTATTGCCTCTCATGATAATTGCTAAACATTTATTTAGGGGATGAATATAGAAGAGTCTGCTATTATGAATCCTGGGCTCAGTACAGGCCAAAAATTGGCATATTTGTACCAGAAAGTATTGAACCACAATTATGTACCCATATTAACTTTGCGTTTGCTACCTTGGATCCCAGTGGTTTAAATATAAAAGCTGTTGATTGGAATGATGATCCCGTTATGTGAGTATATGCCATTATATTTATACTCTATAGTAGCTTTGGTCGTATTTGTAATAATGTGAATTTCTGTCATTCGCTAATCTAAGTGATGTAAAGCATTTAGCTTTGATTGAACGCTAAGTAACCCGAAGTTGTTAATCCATCTGTGGTTTCTGTTCATGTATTATGTTTGATTCGGTTTGTATCACTGTAGTATAAGTTCTGTTCACGATGGGGTTTCCCGTCCTATTGTTTTTGTACTAACTGGGCTAATGGATACGGGCATACGGTGTTCTATGGGGGAATTGTTGCACGAATATTGGCGTTGGCGCCTATCCCCACGTACTGTCAAGGATTCTTTTAAGAGCTCACCAATGAGTACACAGCTGGACATCAGTTTCCGCCTACTTATCGTTGATGTCCAACTGCCAAGATATCTGTTATATGTACAGCAACATGTGCACGGTACCACGGCTTTCCATCTCTTCAGAAAAACTATAATCTGTCCCATGTCGGGTTCATCGTCCTTCACCACTAGAAAATGTTTCGGCCAACACCGGGGTCGAACCCGGGACTTTCTGGTTACCAAATGGCGCAAAGTAGCGACCTATTAAAAATTGAATGCCATAATCTTAGCATTAGCAAAAACACCGCACTATTGCCCCTCATGATAATTATTAAAGATTTGATCTCTTTCGCAGGTACAAAAGATTTACAGACTTGAAGATAAAAAATCCTCGTTTAAAGGTCATGTTATCTGTTGGTGGTTGGAGCATGAATTCAACCCTCTTCCATAACGCTGTTGCCATCGAAGCTACTCGAACCACCGCTGCTAACAACATAGTCACCTTTCTGAGGAGTCATAACTTTGATGGTATTGATATAGATTGGGAATTTCCGGGCAGTCGTGGCAGTCCTCCAGAAGATGTTCATAAATTTACCCAATATGTAATTGTAGGTATTATTTAATAGTTATATATAGAAATTTCTGTTAAACACAAGTTACTTTTAAAGTAGAAATTATTCTTTCATCACCAAATTGCGCGGTTTCCTACATCATCATCACCACTTATATATCCATCTAAGAATAATTTATAAGTAAAAGAAAACATTGTTAAGAATTCAAACGTCAACTTTATTCCAGGCGATTAGAAACGCATTTGACAGAGATGGAGTCGAATCCGATAAACCAACTCTACAATTATCTGCAGCTTTTGGACCAAGACTAGAATCTATAAACGATACGTATGAGGTTCCAGAAGTCACCAGGTGAATATTTATTATATAAATTTGTCAAAACATTCCCATACACGTATAACATTAATAGGAATTTAGCTTTGACAAGAATGTAAACTGATGTTGAACTTAGTTTGTAGTCATTTTAAAAAATGTAACCTTCTTGTTCTTCTAGATATTTTGATTTCATTAACTTGATGTTTTATGAGTTACATGGTACTTGGGATAATATAGCTAAACACCACGCACCTTTATTTGGATCATCAAACGATGGGGATGGTCTCGTCATAGTAAGTTAAACTTATTTTACTCAACTTATAGTGGATCAGACTTAGTGTTATAGATATTGACTATTAAAACCACATAAGTAATCATGATGTTTAATTTAATCAATTTCATTGATTATAAAAACATATATAAATATATAAATAACCCGCCAAATATATCGAGAGCTCTGGACTGTCTACTTTTAGGATACTTTAATCAATGGATGGATTAAGATGGGGGTTACTAAAAACAAGTTGGTTTTAGGAGTTCCTTTCTATGGTAAAACCTACAAGCTAGCCGATGCATCTAAGTCTGGTGAAGGAGCTGTTATTACTGGTCCAGGAGAAGCTGGTTCTATTACCAAACAAAGTGGTACTTTAAGCTACCAAGAGGTGCAAAGTCAATACCAAGAGTTTTTATATTTTTTCTTTATTTTAAACATATCACGTACATGAATTTATTTAGATGTTTCACTCGTAACAATCTAGACTACACCATCGGCGTTTTAGAGAAGATCCCTTCATTTGATCTAAACCTTTAATGTGTATCTTTTCTGTACGTAAAATCATATTGCCGAAGGATTCATAGCCAGCATGATCAGCACATACAGCACTTTAACCATTGTCACATTTATGGCCGATTACCTCCATTACAATAATCGTTAGAACCTCGTGTGTTTTGATTTATTGAAACTATGGTCAATTTAGTCTATATCATGTTCAGATGGGACGAAAAACCGAGGTCCCGTGTACACATTGGCGTGCACGTAAAAAATCCCTTGGCAGTTGGAATTCGATATAAGAGTAGGCCGTAGCGCCGCTGCCCGGGCAACATTTCCCTCATAGCACACTGTATGGCGCATGCCCGTCTTCATTAGCCCAGGTTAGGAGCAAAACAGTAGGACGTTAAACCCCATTTCATTTCATTTCATTTCAGTCTATATCATCCAAATGGGCTTCTATTAAGCCTTTTGGAAACATGAAGATAATTCTAATCAGAGATGAAATCTTGAGGCAATTGTGTAGCAAGTCATAACAACATAAACAAGGAACATAATGCTCCTCTCTTAGAGACAATCATAAAGATGAAGATAACTAATCAGAAACATATCTTTACAATATCATAATACTCGTAGCTATTACTTGAGGAATATGTGGTATACTAATTATGATGAATATTATATTATAGATCTGTCTAAAGATTAATCAGGGGGCTGTTGTTAAAAGATTAACTGGTCAGAGTGCACCATATTTAGTAGATGGGGATACATGGATTGGTTTTGATGATCAACAGAGTTTAATAGAAAAAGTAAGATCGACTTCTATATATGTAACCTGTTATCTGTACTGTAGAAGATTTTAACATATTGATATGTGTATCTGTATTATTCTTACAAACAAAACCGCCCTTTATTAATTTTTTTAAGGAAGTTTTCTTGTTTATATTTAAGATGAGATATATAGTAAAGCATGGTTATGGTGGTGCTATGATTTGGGCCATAGATATGGATGACTTTAATGGTGTATGTGGTGGAGAAACGTTTCCTTTACTGAAGGCTATGTACAGGTCTTTATTGGGAGGACTTATAGGTTAATCGAAGTAAACAGAGGAATCTAATAATGAAATAACGGAATTTATGTCTAATAAATAGTTATATGTACAATGTATGTGGCGGAGAATCATTCCCTAACTGAAGATCACTCCAACTTATTTTCAAGTCGGTGATGTCTGACAGACATCAGGTCATTGGGTACAAGCCGTATAATTATACATCCTATAATAGGCTTATATCTAATCCGATTTTATATTTCATCTTCCGCGCAAATGATATTAATAAAATATACTACCTACATCAAATTGCCATATTCGATTTCACTAATACCCTAAATATATGTACTTGTGTATTTTATTTGGTGTGTGTGTGTATGAGCATAGCTAGCTTCTGATTTAATGTATATGTATGGGTATGAGGGCGAAGGGGGTATGACAAGATTATTATATAAGGGCAATCTCTCTAATAGTAAGATAAACCAGGATGCGATCACCGTATTTGTTTCGTATAGACTGATGTTAAAATACAACAGACTATAAATTACATAATGGTGTCATTAACACTGCCAAGTCAAAATTGTAAGTTGGTATACTTTTATTTACATATATACAAAGATTGTTGTGACATACCAAATATATAAAAGTTCTCTACCTAGAACATCATTTGCATTCTTTTAATATATACATTTGCTTTTTTCAGTTTTCTTAATGATTAGTATTCTTATTATTGAACATTTAACAACACTATCTAAAGCGATAGTCCCACCAGAACTATATTCGGTAATTGGACAACACTGTGTGAAATCTAATCCTGGATTTCGTGCATATCACCGGAGGTCGCTTTCAACCACTTCATTAAAAATAGTCTTCTTTAATATTAAAGGTTTCCGCATTCATTTTATTGTTCAAGGAAAAAGACCACATAATCCGTAGCGACACTAGCGTGCTGGGATGGAATTTCCTACAAGTTGCTTATGTAATGTAGATAACATAGGAAATCGACCAGATCCACACGAATTGAAAAAATCATCTGATGGCATATTCCAGAACATCACCCCACCAATACTACGGTTCTTAATAAACTTCAACTGAAATGAAATATTTCAATTACATTTGGCATTTCATAATGGATCGGAAAGTAGTGCTAAGGAAAGGTCAAATGGATATATACCCAAGGGTCCGGCAAACTATAAACCATGTGGATATCACATCGGTAGAAGCGAAAGTTATATAAAGCTATTTCACACACTCGAAAAGGAAAAATCCACCTTTTAGCGTTTCTGGGCTATTGTAACATATTACTGTCCAGTCAGGAAGGGTTAAATATGAAATAATAAACACACATGATTTACATTTAACGACACATACCTTCTCATTAATACTTCTTTCATTATCAAAACTAATCCACTGATTATTATACACCATAAACGGTACTTTCTGTATATCATCCCAAAATATATCAGCATCTCTGGCAATATCACAAATCTGCGAAAACATTGACAGGGATAGGAACTTTTCATGACAAAAGGTGAACAAATCGGGAAATTTTAAACGCATATTCGATTGGCAATTAACTTGGAAAATAACATGCAAAAAGACACCTAATTCTCTGCTGAGTGTGCATGTGTTTTCACTACCAATCTCTACTCCTAGCGATGTTTTCGAATATTAATGGGTTTAAAAGTGTAAAAGAATACCTCATAATAGGTAAGTCCACCAGCATCATGTGATATTTTACCAGGTCTGCCAGGTCCGATAGATGGTCTACCAGGTAACGTATTGTTATTTACATCTATAGTAAATGTTCTCGCATAGGGAGAAATACCAACATTTATCTTACTAGGTGGTGTTCCATTTTCCATCCAATAATTTACAGATGCATTCTACAAGAACAGTAAAACAATTAACACCTTCCAATTGGTTTAACATGAATGACAAATTGTCTTATAAAGTCTTTTATTCCAAGATCAGAAATCTGGTTGAAATTTGCAAATAAAGTATTTTACTTACTACGTTGTTATAAGCAAAAGAACCTTGTTCATCCGCTCGACCATACAATGGTGCACAATGACCCGTCCATCCATCCCAATGACCATGAAAATCATAGGTCAACAGATTCAAGAAATCAACCTGTCTATAAGATATAATTCATCAATATCAGTGGTCTGTTAAACTAAAACTAGTTTTTAAATTGTTTCTCATAAAGTACAAAAGAAATTACTTACTCAGTAACAGTACCTATTTCATAAGCATCATCTATAATATCTTTAGTAGCAGCAACAGTAGCTGATAATATTAATGGTATAGAACCTGTCTGGGTAGATTCTAAACGGAACGATTCTCGTGTTTCCTATAAACAAAGTAATAGTAGCTTGAAGACATTTCATAATGATACATTATAAAAAAATGCCAAGGTTTGGTTTATTTTTGGAAATATATTTGTTAATTGGTATGTTTGATCAAAAGGGAGGTATCCGCGAAGTACAATGTCGAATAATATAATAGGTTCTAATGTACCTCTTTCGTTTAGATCAAAATAAATTCTAAAATTGAGTTGATCAGTCGAGTTTATTTAAGAACGGTAAATTTTATTGCAGTTGTATGTGAATTTACTAAATTTCTTTTACCTGCAACAATTTAGAAAACTTCTGCTTATCACTGCTTTTACTTCCACGTTTAGTAGGATATTCCCACATGATATCTAAACCATCAAATCCCCAGTCTCTCATAAATCGTATAGCGGATTCTATAAATACAGCTCTAGTTCCCTTCGTCTGAACTATCTGTGCAAATGATGGACTTAAAGCATATCCACCAGCAGAAATCATTGTTTTCAGTTTAGGGTTTTCATTCTTCAAACCAATAAACTGGGGGTACCTAGGGCAAAAGAAAAGGCTTACTGATAGAAATGAAAGATAAAGACCCTCAGTGTCTTTCCGTATAGGAACCCATTGCATTTGGGCAGGTGAATACGTATATCTTTAGTTCATAAGTTATAAGCATACGCGTTTCCAGATGGGGGTCCGTCCCCCCCCCCCCCATCTCACCCGCCAGTTCGCTCGGGTTATATTTTTTTCTCGAATATTCATCGAAATAACGTCGAATAAACAAACGTGCGATACAATGCCGCTGCTTTGGCCACATTCCACTCTAATCTTATACACGTATACACCTAAATAAGAACAAATAATTATAATTTCAAAGCTTCCGATTTTGGTATAAAATTAACGGGTAATCCCCAGGACCTCACACCAAAACTTGACTTTGTATCCACTATGTACCCCCCCCCACCCCCCCGCTGCTAAAATTCCGGGTCACATCTCTGGTCAGTCATTTAAAACTCGTCGTATGTGTGTTGACTTTATACTGAACTATTTCGCCTGAGAATCATACTCCGCGTAGTGTTTCGTTTGATTAGTTTTAGGGAAGGCCCCTGAATAAAAGAAGGGCTGTCATGTTAATTTGCTTGAGGATAGATTCGATTGAACGGGAAGAATAGACACACTCACTCCAAAGCGCAAGTATTAGAAGCTAATCCAGCAATGGCCAGAGAGGGATTTCTCGGGCCATTGCTTCAGGAATATGACTGAGAATAGGCTTTGTCGACTCCCCCTTTTACGCCACGGAATATAGCCCTTCCACTCTTGTTCGAATTAATTGCATCACCCATCTTTAATTATCGAGTTAATACACACAAAAAAAATCATAAAGACTTCACTATTATCATTATGTATAAATTGGTTTGGCGAGTAGAAACAAGGTAAAAATAAATCTGTCACTTGACCTTTAATTGAGATATTGTATAAGCTTTCTTCTAACTTGAAATTGTTTGAATTCCGAATCGCACATTTATTACTAATCTAAATGGTGAAACGAACCAGGGAATTAACTTTATATATAACTAATAATATGTTGATAGCGATAACTTACATTCCAGTTGACCAATGTGAAGGTAAATCATTCCATTCTGTCGTCCGTATGGTAAAGTTAACATTAACACCAGCATGAGCGTATACAAGATGCGTGCATAATTTCGCATTAATATCCCTTGGTTCGAAACTCCCTTGCCCCGTTCTGTATTGCGCCCAGTTTGTATAATAACAAACAACACGTCGGGGTTGAGGTCGAGGTTGCGCTTCAAATCCTAAAACATCAATAAATATCATGGCTTACAAATGTATTAGAACTATTCCCGACGGTTGACATCACATGAAAGAAAGTTTTAATTTCATCAATGAGCACATCCCTAGCATAAAATTTTAAAAACATTAGCTCCTGTTTTAAAATAATAAAATAATATATTCAATACTATTACTTACTTTCTAATATAGATAATATCAACCATACACTATAAACTATCTGTAAAATTAATATAGATAATATCAACCATACATTATAAACTATCTGTAATATTAATTAATAATTACAACCATACATTATAAACTATCTGTAAAATTAATAGTTACAAACGTTAGTTTACATTTCGTTTTTTTTTTAAAATTTGGTTTATAAAATTGAATGACCGACCCTAGAAAGTAGTAATTTAAAGATTAGATAATTATTGAAAACCAAATAAAAACTTACGATATGTGTTATATCCATTGTATATTATTTTTGGAAAATGTATTAACAGAAACAATTCATCAAACCTGATAAATTTCACCTAACACGGTTATATATTTCGGAAGAAATCAGCACGAGTTAATATAGCCCTAGTCTACCTTAAAGACAAAACACTGTGACGTATGATTAAAGTAACACAATAGCTAATATTATTCTCAAGAAGGAAATACTTCTGATCCCATTTGATGTGGACGGAAAAAAATAGACGAATAACTTCCAGTGTATCTCTTACTTCCTGATTCTAGTCATGAGACAGGTTAAGACTAGATTAGTATTCTCTATCTCTTGTTTTAATTAATCTTATTAATTATTGCATACGTCTTTGTGATACCTTTCAATCTTCACTGGTTGACTGCTATATTTAGAATGTTTTTTTTTAACAAAATGCTTGTGTTACAGGTGTCTTAATACATAAGCACACTCTTATTTATGTCACATTTCACAACTTTACCGCTAATCTAGATGACTAAGGTCTTTATCAGATGGGTTCATACGGTAAAGGCACTCTTTTTATAGAATAAGCTCCCATCCTTTGTTAAACAGAAAACTTAATTTTCTAATCTTAAAGATTAATTTCCCTTTTTTTCGGGAGTGGGGGGATTTGCATTTATAGAAGATAATTTTCGGTTGTTTAACTGGTTTGGCCAGATACCAGAAACTGTCCACCACAGGAATAGCTAACAGGAGCGCGTTACGTAAGCAAGGACAAGAGTTCGGGTTAAAGGACAATATTGGTGCCATGGTCATTATCACATATGTGATAGAACTGGTTAAACACGTTCCAAATATTATTTTATCACAGAGATCATTGCTACGATAGATGCGTAATCAATGCTTTAACAATCGGAAGTGACGAACGCAAAAGGAAAACAAAAGTTATCCCTCTATATAACTGACCGAAGTGACGAGTGATAACAGATAATGGGAGAATTTCTACTCCCTAATAATTCCTTCGAAGACCAAAAGTTGTTATATAAGACTGTAAGAGTATATCTGACAATTCAAAAAAGTAATTGAATGTCATTAGATAAGAGAACACGAGAAAAATAGAAACAGTCTGTACATTCACGTGTGTTTATTCATTCTATACTTATAACCAGCGGCTTCCAGGCAGGATACGCCCACATTTTCCAAGAGATGGTTAGAGAACAAATAAAATCATAATCTTTAAGTAGTATTTAGCGATCGGAAACACATTAACAGTTTTTATGGGATACAATCACTAGTTTTATTCTAAAAGCACGACGTTTCGACAAGTATCCTCTTATCGTTATCAAGCACAATGACATTTAGTAAACTTGAGGTCAATATATATGAAATTCATAGTGAAACCATCTACATGGATTAAAATAACAGTAACAAAAATAATATAAGGGGTAAAGGATATTTAACAAAAACAACAAGCACAACAAGGTAATTTGCTGGCTGGATAAACTCTAATGCATGAGTAGGGGGTTATTAACTAGTATGAAGCCCTTCAAAGGGTGCTATGAATAAACAGGGTAAAGCTGATTAGACACTGATAGTGAGGCCATATATGCATAAATTAAATATGATATGAATTTATAAATACAAATATAACAATACACAAATAATAGACAGGTTTGGGATGATTTATAATAGCGAAAACTTAATCAAAAAGCGGGTGGGGAGGATTTTAATACAACCAAGGGTGCTAAATTACCACAGTTAAATTATATTATGCAGATTAAATACTCAAAGCCAATGGTAAGCAACAACCAATTGTCCCGATTCAACCGGAAGGAGTCGTCTATCAAGTAACTTGTTCCTGTAATCAAACATACATTGGGGAAACGAAACGACCAATTGAAAAAAGAATAACAGAACATAGGTCCAAAGCTGCCACTAATAATTCAGCCATAGCAGAACATCTACAGAACCACCCACAACATCGAGTTAAATGGAATGAGGTCCTAATACTCACTGCCAACCAACAGAACAAGAAAACCAGGAAGATCCTAGAAGCTATAAACATCAGAAGATATTCACCCGAACTTAATAGGGACTTAAGGCTTTACATCCTCAGGGCATATGATGATGTTATTAATCTGCATAATATAATTTAACTATGGTAATTTAGCACCCTTGGTTGTATTAACCCCCCCCCCCCCCCCTTTTGATTAAGTTTTGTCTAGGATATCACCTTAGGTGGAAGTGAACGTAAAACCCCAGAAACCTACCTACCTATCTACTAAATGTCATTGTGCTTGATAACGATAAGAGGATACTTGTCGAAACGTCGTGCTTTTAGAATAATACTTGTGATTGTATCCCATAAAATCTGTGTTCTGTCAAATTAAATCAAAAGCAATTTTGCGTACAATAAGGGGCCATAATCCAGATAGTTATGGTCTGAAGTGCGCAAATATGGGAAGGGACATAAACATATATTTTAAATTTCATCAAAATGGATAAAAATTGTGACCTCTAGAGGGTCCACATACTTCCTATTACATAGATTTTTACGAAATTCAAACACAACCTTCATTGATGTGTAACGGTGATATATTTAAACCTTTTTTTAAAATTGAATACAAATTGTGACTTCTAGCGGGTCCACAAGCCCAAAATATGATTTTTCGAACAATCAGGGGCCATAATCCAGACAGTTACGTTCGGATATGCGCGATTATCGATATCAGGAACCAAGATCTTTGTGACATAAACATGCATTTAAAGTTTCATCAAAATCGGATTTATTATGGCCTCTAGAGGGCCCACAAACCTTGATATACTATATTTTTACACTATTCGCGCACATCCGGCGACCATTTTGTCCGGCAGTTTTGGTCCGATTTTCATCAAATTCAAACTCACCCTTCATTACCGTGTAACAATGATAAAATCAAACCTTTTTTTAAATCGGATAATTGTGACCTTCTGAGGGACCACAAGCTTAAAAGGGCGATTTTTCGTACAATCAGGGGCTATAATTCAGGAAGTTATGATCCGATATGCGCAAATATCGACAGGAACCAAGATCTTTAGGTTATGAACATGCATTTCAAGTTTCATCAAAATCGGATTAAAATTGTGACCTCTACAGGGTTCACAACTTTTATATACCCTATTTTTACACTTTTCGCGTACAAGCGGCGGCCATTTTGGTCCGATTTTTTATTATGGTGTTACGGTGAGATAGTCAAACGATTTTTAAAATCAGATAATCTGTGACCTTCAGAGGGACCACAAGCTAAAAATGGCGATTTTTCGTATAATCAGGGACTATAATTCAGGAAGTTACGATTCGATATGCGAATTAAAATTGTGACCTTTACAGGGTCCACAACCTTTATATACCATATTTTTACAAGCGGCGGCCATTTTGTTCAGCAACTTTGGTCCGATTTTCACGAAATTCCAACTCAACCTCCCTTACGGTGTAACGGTGATATAATCAAACGGTTTTTTAAATCGGATAATAATTGTGACCTCCAGAGGGACCACAAGCTAAAAAAAACCCCCAAGATCTTTGGGTTATAAACATGCATGTCAAGTTTCGTCAAAATCGGTTCAAAATTGTGACCTCTATAGGGTCCACAAGCTAAAAGCGTTATTTTTCGTACAATCAGGGGCCATAATCCATTCACATTAAAAGCAGGCAAGATCTTTTGGATATAAACCTATATTTCAAGTTTCGTCAAAATTGGATAAGAATTGTGACCTGTAGAGTGTCCACAAACAATTCTGGACGGACGGACAGGGGCGACGACAATATACGTCCACATGAAAATGTGGGCGTATAAAAACATGGTAATGCACGGACTTTTTCTATTTTTCTTTCATGTTCTATTATCTAGTGACAGTCAATTCTTTTTATGAATTGTCCTTTCACAGTCTCACACAACAACTTTTGGTCTTCGAAGGAATTATTAGTGAGCAGAAATTCGCCCATGTATCTGTTATCACTCGTCACTCCAGTCAGTTATATAGAGGGATAACTCGTGTTTTCCTTTTGCGCTCGTCACTTCCGATTGTTGAAACATTGATTGCGCATCTATCGTAGCAATGATCTGTGTGATAAAATAATATTTGGAACGTGTTAAACCAGTTCTATCACATATATGATAATGACTGGCACCAATATTGTCCTTTAACTATAGCTTTTAGAAAGATACGTCCACAGTAGCTAAGTCGCCCATGCAGTCAACAAGGTGTGTCCCATATTTTTTTTCTTTTGGCAGTAATGAAGACATTTACAACACATTAAAATCTGATTACGAGTAACTACTAACAACCCAGTAAGTATTTATCAGAAATCATTAGGATTTGTCTGTCTTCTAGTTCTGCCCTATACTAACGTTTAGTATGCAAAACATTTAATATCAAAGGTCCTAACTCTGGAAGTAATTATCGGAAATCAGTAGGATTCTTCGTCTCCTATGAAGGCTTAAACACTGTACATCAATTTAAAGTCAATCGGATAGTAACTTTAACCTATAGAGTCTTCAAAAGCAGTTGTGGACGCTGGACCGACGGACGGACAGAGGCGACGACAATATACCACCACATTTCAATGTGGGCGTATAAAAACAATGAGTTGACGTACATTTATTCTGACTTGAAAAACTATGATTAAGTATAATTTTCGATCTCAGTTTACACAGGATGGATGAATGATTTACTAAATTTCCAGTAAAAAAATCGGATGAATGGCAGGTCTAATTATTTTATTCGAATGAAAGTTAAAAAGTCAAGACCTCTTGTCGTGCAAAAGTGCCCGTTGACTGGGCGAGAGGTCGAGCTGAATGGTTCGCGCTCGAACTCATGATGGCTATCTCTTTGATCCTGATCCTGTCTCAAAGAGTAAACAACTATGCAAGTCTAAGTTCAGGCTTTTGCTTTACGAGAGCGAGCCTTAACTTCGAACGGCTAATTAGTCAGGGGCCTGTTTCACGAAATTTTAACTAAGATAAAATCCAAATTTTAGTAATTTGATTGGATAATATTAGATTAATTTTAGTGCTTAGACAATCAAAATTGAAGTATCTACTAAAATTTGGATTTATCTTTACTTAAGATCTTAGTTAAAATTTCGTGAAACGGGCCCCAAGTAAGGTTCCTTGGCGAAAAGCGGGTCGGTTTAAAATTAGTGGATAACCGTGGTAATTCTTGATCTAATACTGGGGAAGAGTGGGGAACGGCATGTATTCTTTAATAAAATAAAGACAAGATATAAAAGATTCTGGTGTATTGAGATATAGATAATATGACAACAATAATAACATATATTATGTATATCTTACAATATAAATCTATATAGAAAGTTTTAATTACTGTGATCGTGAACTTACTTAATAAGACATTATTCGCAGTATGGCTAATTCTCATAAAGGCATGACTGTTAGGGATTAGCTGACAAACTGATAGACTCCTTAATCAGCAAGTATAAGTAAACTCTTTGTAATTGAGTCAAAGTAGATGGTCGCAGCTACATTGTTTCATCAAATTGCTTTTTGAAACATAAAATGGCTGCAGCTGACTATAATTTGCCAAATAACAAGGAACTTTTTTATTTTTGTGTTTTTACCAATTTTCAACCCTTAAAGTGTAAATAATTTAATTAAATCAACCTGGACATAAAATAATAGTTACTATATTGGACTTTAAATCTGGAATAAACAACAACAGCAACATCCCTGGTGTAGATTATTCCAAACAAAATTCTTTCTTCAGCATCTTGATCTCAAAAGTTAACTTATGCAACATACACCCACTAGCAGTTAGCAGTTCTAGCAGTTAGCCTTTCTCATTAAAATAAGATAGACAACCTATATCAATTTCAAAAAGATATTAAGGTTATTGTCGCCTCTATTGGGCTAACAAAAAATGTTAAAATAGACCAATGGATGGATCACAGACAGATGCACAGACAGTGGCAACAACACAATAGGACAACATTCAAATGCTGACATATAAAAAATATATAAAAGATGTAATTATATGGTGATCCTATTAGATACCAGTACAAGTATTTTCTTTCTTAAATAGACAATATAAATATGTATACATGGAAGTCTCACAATTGTTGTAGATATTTAATCTCTCGTTTTTAAAGATATTTAATTCTTTCAACAATTTTATGTAGTTAGTATTTCAGCTGAAAATGTTATAATAGGGATATAATAATTGGAAATAATATACATAAATACAAATATAAGATTTTCAACCCATTTCTACATGATCACTAACAATTTAAGCAAATTCAAATTAACATACAATCAATCTGATTAAAATACAGATCTATATTTCGTTTTGTTTTTTTATACTTTCGATGGCCTACACTACATGAAGATCTGAACAGTTGTAGGAGTCGTACGAGCAGCTTTTGATCCTGTGACATCAGACATTGATAAATCAATCAGTGTTGACATTTCTAGTGGTTTACCCACAGTTCCGTGTATGGCACGCCAAGAAGTCGCTGTAACAGATGGTTTCATTGGCTTATCCCTCGCGCCATTCAGAATGCTTGTTATACAACAACTCTTCCAGATCCTAGTGTAGTACAGACAAATAAAACAAAATTTTGAACTATAAAAAACGAAAAGAAATAGGATCTGCGTTTTAATCAGATTGACATACCATTAAATACCAATTCTCAATATAGTTATAGTTAGTTCGAAAAAAATATTCTAAAACTTTGACATTTTGCCTTTATTAAATACTTTTATAACCGTTTTAATTATGAATGCATTTACAGACAGTCTATCTCCAATAATTTATTTATATTCTATTTTTTGACAACTATTTGCATTTTAATTTAATGACTAGTAGTATATACAAGCAAGATGTCAATAATAAACAAACAATAACAATGATGAAAAGATATTAACAGAAAATAACAACAAACAAAGTTTCCTCAAGATAGTTCAAATCTGTATTTTAAAACAAGCTTAATATGTACACCGACATTCAGAATGTAGTTTACTATACTACAAAATACACTATTTGTCATTTTTAATGAATGCTGATACTTCAGAAAAATTAGAATAACTCTGACCTAAATAAATCTAATCAATTCTACTTCCTGGAACAATAATAAAATTTTGCAACTTAAATTCGATATTAAAAAGTACCTCCAGCCAATGTTTACATTTCGTTTTGTTTTTTGTTATATATCCAAATATGTATAACCATATACTGCAGTACAGTTCAACTATATGCATCACAATACAAGAGTTGGCATATCAATATTTTTTACTCTACTTTCACTTTATTTTCAAATAGACTGTTTCATGTTTTTTCTTTAATTTAATTATCTACACAGATTTATTTCATTTGATTAATTAAAACTCTGCAAAACATTTTTGTAAAATATTGATAATTTTAAACCTCTATTTACTGGTATTTTACAGTAGTAATCCAATATTCTAACCAAATCTAATATTTTATTTTTTAAAAAGTTCAGAAAATTATGGAAAATTGCACCAACAGGTGGTTGTCATCTAATAAAAATATGCTTTCTCCTGAAAATGGATTATTTTATAATATATTGCAATACATATTCCAATACACATTGATGTATATATATTGCCCTATGATACTGGATGGCAATACAAGAATCAGATATTTTTGCAATGGTTGTTCATAAAATAGAACGATCTGAATTGTATACAAAACATAATACAATTTATCTATATAGAGATGAATATTGAACTGTCTTTGTTCATGTCATCTGAATAACTTTGGTTAAATCTATAAATATTTCTTCAAATTCTTTTTCTAATTTTAAAATGTCACCTGAAAGTAAAATAAAATAAATACAAACAAACCTATATGTAGATCTTCATTCAAGGCTACCCTTTCAAGGTATTTCCCTGTACCCATGAAACTTTTCAACAGAAGTCCAAAAATTTGTACATCAAAGGCTGACAAACTCTACAAATTCAGGACAGTCGCAGAACTTTTAAAATAGATTTAATATGTAACACTCACTTTGCTGATAATATTATATGATCAGACAAGTCTTTCCCCGAGATATAAAAAAAGAGCTGGTAATAGAAATAAGAAGCAGAATGAAACAACAAAAGTGATGATGTGTGAAACACTATTATATTTTCCAAAGGAAGAAAATATAGAAGTCTCTATACTACTGATTTTATTCCAGATTCATGTAAGGGCAGTAACTCCAATTTTTATCTAATTTCTACAATTTGCATTGTGCCTGGAACTTTTAAAATTATAGCATTATTAACTGTATCAGTTTCAGAGATTTCAAAAGTGAAAATGTCAACGAGGAAAACAAATCTTTGTTACATCCATATGTACCATCCTGAGTTTTAAAAATTTATTTGAAGCATTTAGCTCTGTATTGAAATTGTATGTCTGATAATTTCGATAGGGTTCAATCTTATGACTTATTGTCAAGCAGGGACATACAAAAATATCAAGATAAAGAAAATTCTATTGATTTATTTGACTAAAATCGTTACATATTATAATTTCAATACTTTGAAATGGACCAAATTAGCCATTTTTTAAATTTAACAATGAATTGTTTTAGAAACAACCACAAAAAACATTGTTAACATTCAGAAACTTATGAATATGCCTAGTTTCTAAGAATTATTGACACTTCAGTTTATTGAAATATGTTCTACGGGCCACATTTAAACCCTTGGTGGGCCAGATTTGGCCTGCGGATCATATGTTTGACACCCCTGCTGTAGAGTGATGATTTGAAAAGCTGGACAGACAGATATACATATGACGGACACAGGAGGCGACAGTATTATAAGTTCACATAACATATAGCTGCAAAAATTTGGGAAGTACTTTATCAATGAACATCTTAGTAGATTTAGATAAATACCTGTGTTTGCCTCACTAGTGGCTATCATTGTAACTAATAATGGCGACTTATTAATTTGTACAACCTAAAACACAGAAACATTAAATGAAACAAGGCTGTCAAATGAAAATAAAAACATTGTTGAAAACAAATGGATTAATTAATTAGACCCTTTTGTTTTTTTTCTCAAATCAATATTAGACAGACATATATATTCTTTGAATGTCATTAGTCGTGTTCATTGATTAAATTGACGACATTACATTATATCTACAAAATGACCTTCCTGAGTTCCGTCAAGAGACAATGTTAATCAATTAACACACGATGTAAAACTTGATAACATTACGGTAGTCGTAGAGCTAAATATAAATTTGTCATTGATCAGTGTCTACTATGAAAACATGTATATCTCAGACAAAAAAAAGTTGAGCCGAATGTTTAAAACAAATTTTAAATGTCAAATATTTATACTAACAAATTGAATGTTTATAAAAGGAATTTAAAAGATAAATATTTTACTCGGTTATACAAGGTTGGACAGAGGACACTACTGCTTGTCACGTACAAGACGGGAATCAAAACCATGTCACTTGACTCAATGACAAACCCCTTCATCTAAAGCCAATGTCTTAGACCAGTCGTCCACCCCACCCCTTTAAAATATGTACACAAAATATACACCATATTACATTGTCAAATGTATTCATAACATCATTAAATAAGATAAATTTATTACCTGGAAATTTTCATACAAAGAAAGAATAGATTTATTTGTTCCTAATCCTAATTTACTCGCTTGATCACTCATTGCACCAAATACAGAAAGAAACGGTGGACGGGTGGCTTGGTCTGGTACACTTTCATTTGCAACTAAAAAAAAAATCATTGACTATCAGGCCTAAAGATAGGTTGCCAGGCAATGAAACATATATACAGAGTATCTAAGTCATCTGAGCACTGAGCAGTCCATAAGTTGTGTTGCACTACAAATATAAAGCAAAATCTTTATACTTTACTATATAATTCAATTACCGCATTGACAAGACTCTGTGAGATAACCAAGGGCAATAATTCTATAAGTAATTATCACAAATTGTTGTAATCCTTATTCATCACAATAATTGAAACAGAGTAAGTAGATCAGATGACGACAAAGTTAAAGTATTCACAAGGTTCTAGAATGTGAAACAAGGAATGAAATTCTAAAGCTAATTAAAAGAAATTTTACAACTTTGGCAGTCCTCTTCATTTCATTAATAATATCAAGGCAATCAGGTGATATATTTCATTGCTAGAATGTTAACAAGATTCTATAAATAGAAAAACAAGGGCGATAACTATTAAAGTAAATAACAGAAATGGTTCAAAATCAGTAGCATATTCATTTTATTAATTCAAACAATACATATAAATTTCGAACATCTTGACAAGGGAGGGACTGACGAAGTGGATAACAATATAAATCCACATTTCCATGTGGACCTAAAAAAATACACTAAAGAATATATGTAAATTGTGATGAAAATAAATTCAAGGATCATCTAGAATTAAGTTATTGAGTAATGGTAATTTGATGACAAAATTAAATTGTTTATCCTCAAAGTTATCTTTAATAAAAAAACCAGGGAGAGTTTAAATATACACAAGTATGTGTGTGGGTGTGTGTGTGGGTGTGTGTGTGTGGGTGTGTGTGTGTGTGTAATAAATTTCTTACATCAAGAGTGAATCCACAACTAGTTAACTAGTTTGTATTTATTACTCCATTATCAGATAATAATTGTTTTTACTGGGGCAATTTCCAAAAACATAATTTAATTTTCCTTTCTGTTAGCAAAAGTCTTGCAATGACCAACATTAAAAAGATGAGGGTGAGGGTTAAATATATAAAAGTGCAACTTTATCTATAACATGCTTTTGATCTTTGTTTGAACCTACAAAAAACCCATTATCTTTTATTAGATGTGCTAACAGTTATGACAAGCCAACAGTGAGGCTGATGTCCCCCACCGGAACCCCAAAATAAATAGATGACACATATTGATTAATTGCACATTTATCTTTTTCAAAATTATTGAGCAATCAAACTGATCATCTATACTTAGTCTAAACATAAAATGTTCCTGATCAAACTCAGTCAAGGTTTTTATGTACCTGGTAGTGAAAATATACACTAAGTTTCATCACTCTCCATCAGTTAGAATCAAAGTTATCTTGTGCCAAAACATCGACCAATAAAATTGCTTAGTTCTGCTTAGCTTAAGTGCGCAATGTTAATCATTGAACTCAGTCAAGACATTTACCTAATGAACATCTACATCAACTTTAAACATTCTTCCTCAATTAAAAGCAGACTTGTTATGTTCCAAATACTTGATCAATCAAATTGCTTATCGCTATTTAGTCTAAGCAGAAAATGCTCATTATAGAATTTAGTCACGGTATTAATGTAATGAAACTATACACCAAGTTTCCTCACTCTCACTTAATCAGAACTAAAGTTATCATGTCCCAAAGCATCAACCAATCAAATTGCTTATCTCTGCCTACCCTAAGCAGAAAATAGTCATCTTCGAACTCCATCAAGGCATTCAGTCGCGACCATTCAAATTGCTTATCGCTCTGCTTACCCTGAGCAGAAAATGCTCATTATTGAACTTAGCCAAGGTATTCATGATGTAATGAAACTATATACCAAGTTTCATCACTCTCACTTAATTAGAACTAAAGTTATCGCGTCCCAAAGCATCAACCAATCAAATTGCTTATCTCTGCTTACCTTTAGCAGAAAATGCTCATCTTCGAGCTCCATCAAGGCATTCACCTAATAAACACCTACACCAAGTTTGAACATTCTAGCTCAATAAGGAGTGTTATTGTGACCCAAAAAGTGTGACAGACAGAGAGATATAAAACTGCTAGGTTATTCAATAGCTACTAAGTCTGGAATGATTCTTCAATCTTTTAATTACTGAACTTATATCTTCTAATGACAATAATTCAATACATACAGTATAATGTACACTTCCAGCACAGTGGATGACCGACATAGCTGCTACTAAGTCGGGTGACCCAATGACTTGCCTATTAATGTACATTAGCCTTTTTATATTCTAACTACAAATGGATAAGCTCAAGTGTTAACATCAAAACATATACTATACAGGATTATCACTAGAGACATTAACATAAATAAACAATAAATATTAAATACTTAACTAATTAGCTTCTACCCATATGTGCCATGTCGAAAATATAAGCAAACATGCTAATCTTCAAGAGATATTGGAATATTAAATTGTACAATGAAGTTACCAGAGCTGATTGAAAACATATGTGTAAGTTTTTAAAAAGCTATAATTAAGTATTGTAAACACTTGGATGGGATGGATAGCTTCTCTTGTTCAAACATGACTTGTTGTATCTTAATTTTTAAAGTTCAAATTTTCAGTTTGTTTTTTGAAAGGTAAGGATTGAACTAAGTACAATAGATTATGGTAAATTAATTAAAGACTGACCAGAGAGTATAGGAAGAGACCATAGGACAACAGTGTGGCCGGGATAATAGATTTCTGTTTAAAATATGTTGGTAGACCCATATTCCACCGGAAAATATTTCACGCACATGTAACAGTCATACCACCTCCCCTTCATCATTAGCCAAATCAGAGATGAATAGTGGGATGTTAAACCCCATTTCATTTCATTTCAATAGCCATACCAAGAGAACAACTAAGATATATTATAATTCAGTTTGTTATTTGAAAGGTAAGGATTGAACGAAATACAATAGATTATGGTCAATTAGAAATGATGGGCTGCTATTGTCTTGAGTTGAATGAACATAATACATATACATGTACATTTGTACATAGATTATGGTAAATTAATTAAAGACTGACCAGAGAGTATAGGAAGAGACCATAGGACAACAGTGTGGCCGGGATAATAGATTTCTGTTTAAAATATGTTGGTAGACCCATATTCCACCGGAAGATATTTCACGCACATGTAACAGTCATACCACCTCCCCTTCATCATTAGCCCAATCAGAGCTGAATAGTGGGATGTTAAACCCCATTTCATTTCATTTCAATAGCCATACCAAGAGAACAACTAAGATATATTATAATTCAGTTTGTTATTTGAAAGGTAAGGATTGAACGAAATACAATAGATTAAGGTCAATTAGAAATGATGGGCTGCTATTGTCTTGAGTTGAATGAACATTATACATATACATGTACATTTGTGGGAATCATTTAAAGGGACTATCCCGATTTGAACAGGGACTAAAAAATAAATGTCCGAGTACGTATGAAATGAAATGGGGTTTAACGTCCTACTGTTCTGCTCCAAACCTGGGCTAATGAAGACGGGCATATGCCATACAGTGTGCTATGAGGGAAATTTTGCAGGACAGCTGCACTACGGCCTACTCTTATATCAAATTCCAACTGCCAAGGGATCTTTTACGTGCACGCCAATGTGTACACGGGACCTCGGTTTTTCGTCCCATCCAAACGACTAGACAGCTTTCCTTGTCAGCCCCTCCGTCCTGCATCACTGACAAGGGAGAACCACGCCGGAAAATCTGGATGAACTTTCTCGGCCAATGCAGGGATCGAACACCCGACCTCCAGGCTTAGCGAACTAGCGTCTTACCCACTTAGCCACGTGATCCCCACCGAGTACGTATGAAATTTAACCGCCAAAATATAGAGGAGTGACGTATTTACCTTGTCTCAAAATTTCACGTCAAAATATTGAGTCATTTGGACGTGAATGTCAAAACTGCTTATCCGGGCACATAATCCTTTTAAGAATTCGGGTAAATCTTTTCGTTGAATGACTTGATGATCGATTCCCGTTGAAAGGTCTATATAGTGCATGACTCACGTGCTGTACTTGATAACGAAAGGTAAATTTCACCAACACATTATTTTTATAAAAAAAAGTCTTATTTTATCCAGATACCGCATAATACATCATGAGACACTGGTCTCCATTTCCAGATGAAGACTGACAGGTTTAAGTTGTTTGAAAACATATCACAAATATTGAGTTAGTTGCTTGGCCCTTAGGTAGACAATTTTAAGGGATTTTAACACAAAATTAAGCAGTTTTATTCTCCAAAATATTATCGGGATTGGCCCTTTAAACTGGAGAAGCATTTAAATAATCTTTAAATTAGCCTTTCAACATGACCATACCTCACCCCAATGCAAACCAGCTAACTCATTAGAGTAAATCTGAATAAGCTTCTTGGCCAGTGCCTCAATCATGACATAACATAATATTGAAGGGAATTTTTAGACAATAACAAACAAATCACAAGACTAAAACTATAAATCAAATGGTAGGCAGGGGGCAGTTTATTTTCTAGACAGCACAGTAACACACCATGTCCAAAAATTAATCCTTTGGACCAGCGGTTCTCAATCATATTTTGCCACCGCCACACTTTGGAACACATGAAAAAATAGTGGCACACCATGACAAATATATATGAAAAACATTTGAATTTTGCAAAATAAAAACATGGCAAGTTATAGATGGCATACAACCGTAGACACAGACTAGTCATAGACACATAGAATGAATCAAACTAAATAAAGAAAACCACAGTTATGAACTTACTTTATTGCAATGTTTCAAATTTCATCAGTCAAATAGCTGGCTTCTTTAGTGAAAAATTTTCTTATTGTGCCGTTCAAAATTTTGCGGCACACTTAGGAAGATCTCACGACACACTGGTTGAGAATCACTGCTTTGGACAAAGGAGTAGATTTACATCTATCGGTTTCTTTAAAAGAATCCATTGTGAGTTTTTGGAGCTAATTATCAGCGCTAAGCTAAGTGTGTTAAAGATTATTATTTCCAACCTGATTTATGTTCACTGGAATTTATAGATATTTTTGAGAAAGGAAATGAAATCCTACTTTTCTGCACAAACTGGGCTAATCAACATGGGCATACTCCATACAGTGACTAATTTTGCCTGGACAACAGAGCTCCAGCTATGTCAATATGTAACACCAATTGACACAATTAAACACACAATACATGGACTTGGAATTCTCACGCATGGAGTACATAGATCAAGTTTCATATTCAGTGAAATTGAAATAATTTGTACTTTGTTAATTTTTCATTTTGATTTTTATTTATACTATTTTTTAGGAATAGAGGTGATATTTATTTGACTTTTAGTCAATTAGGAATTATGTGAAGTTAACTCCTTGTAAGAATACATTGTTTTATTTTAATTGCTCAAAAGCTGAATTCGCTTGACTGAGTCGAAATTGGGCAGTACCAGTATTTATCCGTTCCTGTTCGTAACTGTACCTTTCAGAGATTAAACACAGTGTGTATTGATAATCCTTATAAGACATATAGAGGTAGATTTCACAAATTAAAAACACTTATATGGATATACTACTTCTGAATTTATTAACATGCTACGTTTCGATACATACAGATATCGTTATCAAGCAAATATTGATAACGATATCTGTATGTGTATCGAAACGTAGCATGTTAATAAATTCAGAAGTAGTATATCAATATAAGTGTTTTAATTAGTGTATTGATATTAAATTACTGAATTACCTTTTAACATAACAACACCATCTCTATCTGTTACAACAATAGCATATAGACCATCAACACTGTAAAATATTATAAATCTTGATTGATAAAATTAATCTTATCCTCACAATAAATTATTCTGATTTTTTATATGAGGCATGATTGTTTAGAGAAGAGCTTAAATCCCTTTAAATGACTTAATGAACCATGCAATTGTCTACCCAATATATTAAAATATCAGAATTAAATAAATATCTATGTCAGGTTTGTAATTACTATGTTTAAGCTTACTCTTCTTCAACTGATTATTAATCAAATTTATTTACACAATAACATCTTATTTTTGAATTTTAATTAAAATTAACACTGAGACAGCGGTTTACACTGTAAATGTAACATTTTTGACAAAATATCGATCGTTCCGTTGTCAATCTTCAGCCAATAAGCATGTGAGAGATTTGTCAAACGGAATCATGTGCTATATGCTATGGAAATGTGCTGTACTTACTTGGCCATAACCTTCATCATATATCTCTTTAAATCCTAGAAAAATAATTACAGTCAAATATACATTATTATGTCAGAATCAGATAAACAGTTTAACATTTTCTATTACCATATCCCTGATCCCGGCGCAAAAAAATAAAAAAATATCTATCTTTATTACTTGGCAAAAAGATAATGTGTTTGGTTGATCGAATTATCTTTATTTCCCCTTTTATTTTATTTCTGTGTGATGTTGATCTTTTAATAAACTACATGTATCTTTGTGTTTTTAATAAGTAACCACACAAAATGTTCGATTGTCGACTGTATATAATTTGATGTAGTATCTTCCAGTTTAGCAAATCTATCTACAGTTAAAGATGGGTTCCTGCGTACAAACTGGGTAATTTAATGGCATATATGGAATAAAAACATATGCAAACTAATTAAATTGTCATAACTTTGCTTCAAATCCTTCTCAAACACGTCACGTGACTTACCTCTCTTGGAAGTCAGAGGAGAATTCATTGCATACATAAGACGATGTTGTCTTTAATCGCTTACTATTTATTACAAATATCGAATCCTAATTAAATTCTCGGATTATCCAAGACCCGCGTCTTTTTCTCTCATTTTTATCTCAGAAAGTGTCGTACGTCTAACTCTTCATAAAGTTTATCAACTTGTACATCAAGCGTTCAATGTTCGCGTGTGACCTTTGACATCACACGTGCAGAAATTCCTAATAATCGGGCTGTTGATCAGGGGAACCCTTACATTTTTGTCTTGTATACGCTCCATGAGTGTTTTTCGGGGAATCCGGTATTTTTCTAGTAAGATTGGATATCTCTACTTTCCATATATACCAAAATTACAATACTTTTATTGGAAATAACCACCCGATAAATACTTTTCTGGGAACCCATCTTTAAACAAAAAGAAGATCGCAGAATGCTGATTATTGATAGGATTCATCCTTGATGGACAGACCCCCCCCCCCCCCAACAGAGAATGATAAAATTGATAGATTTCATGCAAATTTTATCTTACTTCTACATGTACAATGCCTCATCAAAAATGCTAGAAAATGGGTTAATTTTTGTAGAGAACTTTTCGTGCATTGGAATATTCAAATATACAAGGTATTTTAATTTAACCAGGGGAAATTTCAAACATATGACTATGATGAGTATGATGAGTAAAAGTAAGTTCTTAAATAACTTTTAGTTTATTCATCAATTTCATCTGGGACAACAAAAAAAACACCCTATTGTCTTAGCCCACAAACACAACTTTTATCTCTCAGAAATCAGACGTCTTTGGTAAATAGGTTGATCTAAAGAAATTGAAGGAATTAAATTTCAAGTACTTGTGTACGTTATGATTTGATCACGAGTTCTTTAGGAGGATACTAAAAAAGAAAAACAATGTTGACAAACAACACATGTCAATAGAATTCAGTGCATTTATAATATGAGTTACAACATTTTGGATTATCTTATAATATTGTTTGTTTGACTGTTTTGTTTTGGTTTCTTTTTAAATATAAGATTAACTTCGTTGTTCTGCGTTTTTTTAAAGATAAAACATGTTCTATTACGACAAAACTATAAGTTACCTCCATCATCTTGAATATCTTTTTCTTCCAGACTTTTCTTATATGGTATTGGCAATGGGCGTACTGTCTTGACAACCGCGTCTATCCTCAACGAAGACCTTTATTGACTTCAATATAAAACCATTTAACGGGAAATAACTCTCTTCTTAATGTGGATTCAGACGGCATTAATTAAATAATGGCCATAGAGTATAGGACGAGACCACTCGTCACAGATTCGGAATCATAGGGACAGTGTGGCCGGGATTATAGATTTCTGTTTAAAATATGTTGGTAGACTCCATCCTCGGTATCCCCAATGGTTTCATTCCGTTCTACTCCAGTAACCCCTGGGCGGACACGGTTAGGAGTAAGCCTAAATGAGAGAAGTCCAAATTATTCTAACAACAAATAATATAACATTATATTAATTAAGACCGGACCTTTAAATTTATTAACAACAAATAATATAACATTATATTAATTAAGACCGGACGTTTAAATATATAATCTTCAAAAAAAGTAGGGGATATTGAAATGCAAATACCTATGGAGGTTGTGATATGATAAATAGTCATGGACACTTGACATACTTTGAGAGTATGTATGTTCACAGATGAAGAACTTATCGCCCCAACAGAACCACTGAGCTGCACATGCGACACGCAATAGCGCCATACACGTGGGAGGGGTTCATTGTCAAATTTGACACTTTAAGGAAGGGTTGATGAAAACTGCCGCGTGCTGGTTTATCCTATCCTTGTTTGCTTTCCTATCGGTCCTTGCATAAGAATTACTGTTTAGCGTAACTTTGCTTTAGTGTGTTACGTTTAATTTGATCGGGAGACGTGTTCGTCGACGTCAACGTCAACCGACAACACTGCAAGAATTGGCCGTGGCACTGCAAGAGGAGTGGGCCAGATTGCCCCAAATTGTGATTAGGAACATGCCACGACGAATTGCTGAATGTCTGAGGATTGGTGGAGCAATTACTCATTATTAAGACAAAAATCAAAAACGTCCATTTTCACTTTTGACAGTGTATCTCTTTGCGAGTGAAATGGGGCCGTCAGATAATGTTTATGATCATGTGTAGGCAATTGCCCTGTTATTAACATACACTGGTTACCTCTAATAAAAACAGCAGTGCATTTCCGCAGTTTTGTATTGTTTCTGAATATCCCCTACTTTTTTTTAAAAGTGTATGTAGGTTCAAGAGCTTTATTGAGAATCGTTCGTTCCTTCTCGGAGTTTTACGACCACGTGATATTGTAGACAATTTCTAATTTCTTATTTTTCATTTTTATTATCTTAGCGCATGGGCATGGGTCTTTCCTGTGGGAGTAATCCGGAGTACCCGGAGTAAACCCACATACGCTCACACCAAGGATCGAAACCACAACCGCAAGCCAGTGGTGATCGGCCAGCTAGAGGTCCAAGCGCGACGCCCAGTCATTAGCCCAGTCGGAGCAGAACAGTAGGACGTTAAACCCCATTTCATTTCATTTCATTTCAACATTCATACCAAGAGAACAACCAAGATATATTATAAATCTTTATGCTAATTCATATTTTATTCGTAAAATTCTTCAGCTATCAATATACCAAAGAATGAATTTGAAAGAGTTTGTGAGTAGATTTTTGTGTTCTCAATTTTTGACTGTCGCACAGCGTGCTTACTTTTTCTAGAACACCCAGTATCACGTCTCATTCGTTCACATGGCTAACAATTTTTCATTGTTGTTGTTTTTTATTGTACTTAACAAATGCTAATTTACTGTACCATCGAGCTATTTTAGTTTTTCGAATATTTATCGCCTTTTAACAGAAGGGTTAGTCAAAATTATCAATAAAGGTGATCAACCATTATAGAGTATTATAGCTGATGTTCAGATGTCTAAACTGTGGTTTTCATGTTAAAAATATCGCAGTATCTGTAAAAACAACTTGAAAAGCTTAGATATGTATTCACATATATACATGCCTACACCCCATCACTACGAATATAATATAAATTGATTGGTACGTTGATGTGCCCAATCGCGCCCTGACCGAAGTTAGGCTTTCGATATAGAAGGCACATTGGTCCGAAGGTTCATTGGCATCAATGTCCAATATTCCATATTTAGCTCTTTTTTATGTAAAACTATAACATCAAAGAGCATGGCTGGAAATACATAACACCTTGAAAATCATCAAAAACTCTTGTCTAGACATGGGCGTAAGTAAAACATTTATTTAATTATTGGGTAAGCGGCTAGACTAAAGAGAACACTTAATTAGCTTGATTTAAAGTTAGAGATTCTTGGAGGTCATTGATTGACAACCAGATGCTTTGGTTTTGTTTCTGTTGAGTTTTGTTGTATTTTGGTTTGTGTGATGTAGGTTGCGTTTGTTTAATGATGTGTGCGTGTTCGAGTATGTGTATGCGAAGGGTGTGTGTTGGGGGGGGGGGGTAATATTGTAATAAAGTCTCTATAATTGGACAGACATAATAAATTTAATTTCCCATTGGTTCAAACAATCCAGACAATAGTTAATCTTTTGGGACATTAATCCATACGTATTTGTCAGTTACAATACTGTAATAATGCTAGGGTAATATAATCTTATGTTATAAGATTGTATTGATCTTGATAGCCGAGGTGCATGTAGTGTCTGGAAATTAATTTAGTCGGGTGATTAATCTGTTTATTGGTTTTCATGATGAAAATTATGACTACTACTCCGACGAATCTTGTTGATTTAGGGAAGTTTTAAATCTATAAAAGTATCAATAGTTGTCTGGTTTTCAGTCGACCGGTGGTCGATACACGGTTAAAAATAATAAGTTAGTTTACATTGAATTCTCACTTTCAGCAGTGTACACCCCCCACCACCACCACCCCACCTTTCGTGGTGTGGGCTGAATATGAGAAACACTTTTGCAACTCTAGATACGGTGTAAAATTGGCACTGTTTTGAGAACATTTACGGATCACACATTTTAGTATCAATGAATTGGCTACAATTGTAGGGATGTAGCTCCCCCAAAAGATCCCTTCGGGTGTTCATAAATATAGGATACACTTTTTTGGTGTAGTTCATTGAGTTGGTTACACTTGTTAAGGCGGTATATTTTAATTGTTTTTAATTGCATGCATTTTAACAGTGTAGGTAATATATTTAATGGAGTGGCAGTCAGTGTCTGAAGTTTGTCAGGACGGTCTGATATACTGTTGTTTTCCATTGCAAATTACATCTATAAACCTCTGACTCACCATATTAAACAATTCCTTCAGTGGTTGCTAATTGCCTATCTTATTGCTTGCTTGAACCTCGACACGAGACACAAACCATTACACTAGAAAAAATGTAGTGTTTAATGTCACAGTTTTTATTCAATAAAACCATTTTTATTGAGCTTAATCATTAGTCCTTTAGTTGCGCACGAGTCGTTAAGAAAGCATTGAAGCCATACTTTCGCCGAAATATGTTTCCTGCTCTTTATTTTATATACTGTAGCAATGAACCGCTGGCAAATAACTCATTCTGGACAGTTTATTGCAGCAAAGACTCCTGGGTATTATTATTGAAGCCAGTTTTACCGACTGACTGACGTCATTTTGTCCAGCTCAATGATCTAGCAATGAGAAAATTGGCAGCAAGTCTAGACACTGATATACGGAACGGTATTAAGTGAATATAGATATCGGTAGTGAATATTAATCCAAGCGACCAGTTTCATCAATAAGATTGGTTTATTTAACCAGCCTGTTTAATCAGAGCTCCCCTGCAACCTTTCGTTTGGCTTTTATTGTACTTACATTGTATTGTGCTTCATCCATTTATGTCTGCTCAGCACAGAAGTTCGATACCAATCTGTATGTCTCGTAAACGAAATAGATAGGCTGGTTAGACTTTCATAAATCTACAGACTGGACAAGGCAATCAATATTCAACTTATCGCTATCCCTTATTATTATATAGAAAACTACTGACAGAAATGTAGTAAATTTCTTATTCGGTGACTAAATAAAGTGATCACAATTCTACGGAGCCTTTTCCACCGCCACCCCACTTCGCCTCGCTAGCGAATTATTGACGTATTGTTTGCCTCTTTTCGTTTTCTATTTTTTTATATTTATTTAAGTGTTTCCACTGGAGCAGTAGTCTTACATCTGTAAGCGGGTTGTGTTCTTCTGATCTAACCTTATATCCTATTCATTTAATGAAGAGGTGATTTTCCATTGGCAATAATGGTTTTAGCCAATCACGTTGGTTCAAATCAGGGTCCGTAACAGGGCCTCCGGACCTTAGGACAAACAACTGGCGGCGAAGCGCGACACTGGCGTGCTCATCAATACCATCATTGTAGTGTTCTATGGTACCGGACTAGGATCCAATTACCTGCAGGGCTCGAATACCCTGACATTGACGAGAGCCTGAAACGGCGTAAAGGCCCGAGCAGGTGGTTTATAGTTTTAAATTCAACAATTTTCCCCAAAAAGGTGGACTGACAAAATCCGATTCTAATCCTACCCACGTCACTAGGTACACACATTCAGAAAAGTCACCGGTTTTCTTTTACTTTACGATCAAGTAACAGTATATTTTCTTTATTAGTTTATAGGCCTACAAACAACTGAAACAATTAAAACATTAGTCGGCATACCCCCGGGCCCCTCTAGGCTTCAGGGCAAAATTTCCTTCATAGCACACTGTATGGCGTATGCCCGTCTTCAATAGCCCAATCGGAGCAGAACAGTAGGACGTTAAACCCCATTTTATTTTTTTTCATTTACATTGTGTTTAAAACCTCAACACAAGCCTATGCCCAGTACAATTTGTGAAAGAACAATGTTACCGTCCACTAATTTTACATAATATGTGATATACAAACTGCAAATGTTTAAATTGATTTCAAATTTAATTTTATCACAGAAATCTTTGTCATGGTTGATCCTAGTTCCTTTAGGAACTGTCTTCGGTACCTGCATTGGCCGAGAAAGTTCATGCCGATTTTCCGACGTGGTTTCCCCTTGTCAGTGATGCAGGACGGAGGGCCTGACAAGGACAGCTATCTAGTCCTTCGGATGATACGAAAAACCGAAGTCCCGTGTTAACATTGAAATGCACGTAAAAGATCCCTTGGCA